ATATGTCTGGTTGGTGGTTTCAACCCCTCTGAAAAATATGAAAGTCTGTTGGGATGATGAAATTCCTTCCCAATATGATGGGAAAGTCATAAAATTCCATGGTTCCAGTCACCACCAACCAGATGTGGATCATTGTGGATCCATGATCCACGGCTCTCCCGTGAAAATCCCCACCTCAGCTCGCTCAATGTCTTCTGATCTTTCACCACCAACCAGATGTGGATCATTGTGGATCCATGATCCACGGCTCTCCCGTGAAAATCCCCACCTCAGCTCGCTCAATGTCTTCTGATCTTTCGAGATCAACACTTGATACCAATCCACCGAGAGCGCCTGGACAAAGTGTCCCCAGACGCACGGAGACTGAGGTAAACCAGACATGCGGGGAATACCTCAAACATCCTCAAACCAATGGCTTTGGTGGAAAATATTGGATTTCAATTCCGCATATTTTTGCAGGTTAAAAGTCTTCAGAAACACCGACGTGGATATTAACATTCCACTTCCAGTACAACACTCTGTGTCCTGAAACCTCTGAGACTGCAGGGCTGTCACTCAATGACATGTCATTGACATCCTTACTGTAGAATAAACTTGAGGCGAGACTGCTCAAGGACTTTCCAATGTTTCAGCATATTCTTTCCGTTTGTCAGCAATCGACTTTCGTTCACGAGACAACACACTGATCTTGCTGTTTTTCTCAATCACTCTGACAACGAACAAAATCGGATATCAAGAATCAATCATCAACTTCTCTGATCTTGATTGTTGTATGCTGTATTTCTTCCAAGCGTGTTTAATTCCGATCACTGCTGCCAAAGAATATGGGTCATGAACGACTAACTGGTGGATGACTTGCTTATTCTGTGGGAATCTTGGTTAGGTTTCCAGGAATCTTGCTTGCCAACATATCTCTTTCAGGAATACACGTTCACATGTTCACACTGATGATGTTCCTCCCCATCAGTTTTTACCACTGAGTCCTGACATAAAGCCACCTCCAACGTAGATTGATCCTCTTAGAGGATCCCAGTCGCCACCATTGTGTCTATGTGGCAATATTTTTGTGAACCAGGAAAATCCATGTTTTTTTTTTTGTGGTGTATTGCCATCAAGAAACCCTGTTTTGACATCAAGTTTCCAAGACTTCAAGATTACCATCCCAGTAGCATTGTTTGACCCCTTTCCAAGCCTCGGCTTCAAGCCAAAACCTCAAGCGCTGCAACTTTGGCACCAGAACCAGCAAGTTCACCAACAAAACTAGACTCCTAGAGGGGTCTCAGTCCGCATGCTTTCTTTCACATAGAGTTCCCGGAGTTGAGGATCAAGGCCTTTCCTTCCACCCATCACATTCCATGGTTTCTATTCATTTTATGTATTTACGAACAATGTCTCAGACTTCTCCAGCTTCATGGATCCAGTAAGTATACAATCATGAACCGTCACTGATAAATATGTATATATATAATTATGTATAAGTATATATATATATATACACACCTGTATCTTCATTATATCCCATGATATCATGATATTCCCACTATATCATCATGTTGGTTAATTACACCATGGATCGCGCCAAGAGGCAAGATTCCATGCGAGATCCGTTGACACTCAAGGTCTAGCTCGACCTTCGCAGAACACATGGTGTTCTATGGGAATATCATAGAATTCTATATATAGAATTCTATCATGATGGTATCATGGGAATGTCGTCAATCAAAAATGGTATAAATCTTGCGCTTGCTATCGGAAATGGGGACATAAATGGACACAAGAATCAATGAAACATGGAGAATTAAGCAGCAAACAGAGTCTTGTCCGTGATTTCACCATCAAACATTGCGATTTAGTGATCAACATACAGGGGCTCATATAGGGATATCATTGTTTTTTTTTCCGGTATTACGGTAAGAAAAAACATGGACAAATCTATGAACACCTGGATGTTGACCAAAGAATTATGCGGATTCAACAGATATTTTAGATTATTTTGGTTTGTACACAATGGGATTCACCCCCAAGCTTGCAATCAAATCAATCAAGCAAACCGTTGTGTTATCCTCTGGAACTGGGCGTGCTTCATTTTAAGACAAACACACACATACTCACCAGTATAATGTGGTACGCCCAATCCATATGCTCCATGTATTGGAGAACTACTTCCAACATCTTCCAACTAGCCAACAAATGACCCAAACATACCCAAACATGAGTGAACATACTACCGTCCATAAAAATCATAAAACGCATGGGAAAGAATATACTACCCCCCATGACTTACCAGAAATGAGTGGGAGAAGATCAGTCACCTCCCATCCCGTACACCTCCCTGAGACCATGATTCAAGGGAGGGTATCACATATATAGGGGTCTGAAAATCTTGGGGGATGGTAAGGACATGTAAGGAAGTAAAATCACTCATTTCCCACCCTTGGGGCCATTATTTCCCAACACTTCTTTGGAACAACCCTGTAAATCTTGGGAGGATGCTACTGGCCATTGCCAGGCGAGCCTCCTCTTGCTGCTGAAACAGGCTGAAGCGTCCCAACTGCCGGGTCTGATGGATTTTGAAACATGTCTGCAGCCTAGCCATAGACCACCTGTTCCAGTAATTCACATACACAATGTGAACATAGATGAGTTGTGATGAGTTCATAATCAGAGAATGGATGTGTTCATTCAGGAAACAACACTATGTGAGTGATCTGTTCCAGCAGCCTGTGGATGTGGCAGTTGCATCAGTAAAAATCAGTCGCGTAATGACTGGCGTAGTGAAGCCATAGAGGAAACGGCCAACATTCGCATACACAGTGTACCCTCTGGTAATTTAACATAACTATGGAAAATCACCATTTTCAATGGGAAAATCCACTATAAATGGTGATTTTCAATAGCTATGTTAAATTACCAGAGGGTAGCTCTTGAAAAGACCCAAGGGATCCAAAGGGTATTCTGACGGCCAAGATGTTCAATTCCACACACACAGTGAGGCACCCCCTCTAGCACCGCTGGCCAACTGTGGTGACAGTATGAACTCAAAAATGATATGGGATTTCATCCAACAGTTTAAGAACGTTCATATTACATTCGCATCACATTCATATCACATTCATATTACATTAATATTTAGTACAGTAACCGCACTAAATGATGCGGAAAAGTCCAATCCCAAAACATAATGGTAAATTATATACTTTTCGATCTTTTGAGGGATTGCTATAGTGATTGTCATATAAACGGGTGTGAAATAGTTTTAGGTTTTTTTTTTGAACAGGTTTGGGATTTTTTTTTGGATTTCTTGGCTGGTACCATTTGCCTAGTGTTTGCAACGGTTTGGAACTTGAATTTGTCATTTTGCATGGTATTTGCCACATTTGGGCATGTTCACCTTCCATTTTGCATGGGATTTACTACATGTGGGCATGTTCACCTTCCATTTTGTATGGTATTTGCCACATTTTGGCATGTTCACCTTCCATTTTGCATGGGATTTCCTACATGTGGGCATGTTCACCTTCCCTTTTGTATGGTATTTGCCACATTTTGGCATGTTCACCTTCCATTTTGCATGGGATTTACTACATGTGGGCATGTTAACCTTCCATTTTGTATGGTATTTGCCACATTTTGGCATGTTCACCTTCCATTTTGCATGGGATTTCCTACATGTGGGCATGTTCACCTTCCATTTTGTATGGTATTTGCCACATTTTGGCATGTTCACCTTCCATTTTGCATGGGATGTTCTACATGTGAGCATGTTCACCCAAATATTTACAGATGCGGAAGCTTGGGATTAGATAAAAAGCGGGTGGGGGGGGATTGAGGGAGGGCGCTAGCTATCTATCCAGCTAGCTAGCTATCTAGCTATCTAGCTAGCTATCTATCTAGCAAGCTAGCTATCTATCTAGCAAGCTATCTATCTATCTAGCTATCTATCTATCTAGCTATCTAGCTAGCTATCTTGCTAGCTATCTATCTACCTATCTAGCTATCTAGCTAACTATCTATCTAGCTATCTAGCTATCTAGTTTTCTATCTATCTAGCTATCTATCTATCTAGCCATCCAGCTGTCTATCCAGCTATCTAGCTATCGAGCTAGCTATCTATCTAGCAAGCTAGCTATCTATCTAGCTATCTATCTATCTATCTAGCTATCTACCTATCTAGCTAGCTATCTTGCTAGCTATCTATCTACCTATCTAGCTATCTAGCTTTCTATCTATCGATCTATCTATCTAGCTATCTATCTAGCTACCTCTTTATCTATCTAGCTATCTATCTAGCCATCTATCTATCTAGCTATCTATCTAGCCATCTATCTATCGAGGTATCTAGCTATCTATCTCTCTAGCTATCTATCTATCTAGCTGGCTATCTATCTATCTAGCTATCTATCTACCAAGCTATCTATCTATCTATCCAGCTATCTATCTATCTATCTATCTATCTATCACATGTAATCCTGTCAGCTTTCCAGAGAAGGTTAGTTCGCAAAAACCAACTAATGTAACTTGGGTTTAAGTTTAAATAAAAAAAAACGGGAGGGGGGGATTGGGGGGAGGGCGCAGCGCCTCCCCCCAAAGCAGAATGCAAGCACCTCTTCTCACATGTTACGTTGCTAGTTTTCAAGAGAAGGTTGGTCATGTGATACTCAGGGATGTAAATACTGTGCAAAATGCATCTTACATGAAAATCAAGTATTTAAAGCAGGCAAAGCAAAAAAAAAAGCAGAGAAGCAAAAAAGCAGAGAAGCAAAGAAACAGGAAACGCACAAAAGCAAAACAGCAGAAAGGCAAAGAAGCAGGAAAAGCAGAAAAGCAGAGAAGCAGGAAAAGCAGGAAAAGCAGAGAAGCAAAGAAACAGGAAAAACAGAAAAGCAAAAAAGCAGAAAAGCAGAGAAGCAGAGAAGAAGAAGCAGAAAAGCAAAAAAGCAGAAAAGGCGAGAAGCAGGAGAAGCAGAAAAGCAAAAAAGCAGAAAAGCAGAGAAGCAGGAAAAGCAGGAAAAGCAGGAAAAGCAGGAAAAGCAGGAAAAGCAGGAAAAGCAGGAAAAGCAGGAAAAGCAGGAAAAGCAGGAAAAGCAGAGAAGCAGGAATCCAAAAATAATTCCTAAACCTGATCAAAAAAAAAATCCTAAAATAATTAGCCCTCCATAGAAAACAAACATAAACAAACTATCACATATCAATAGCAATTACTATATGTCACAGTCGTGGATTGCTATAGATGGGTCAAAACCTATCATTTCCATATGACTGGGGAAATAACCATTTATCCACCAGCTATGACTTAGGGTACCATCCGGGTACCAGGGTTTTAACTCATAGCCATACACTACCATAGTTTCTATTGTGGAGACTACGATCATACTAATGTTTACTATTGATTACTGTTGATAATGATATGATTAATATATATATATATACCCATAGGATCCATGTATGGTATATATGCTAACATTGGGGGTATATTGATGGTAAATGTTACCATATATAGCATACATGGATCCTATGGGATATATATATATATGAATATTACCATTGGTACTAATTATTATATAATCATATATAATCTATAACATGCCATCACTCCTAGCCTCGCGCTGGGGAGAGCTGACGACCAACAGCTGCAGGCTGAGAAGGGGCCAAAGATCCACCGAGCGCTGCCCTGGTCAATTTCCAGGTGGCCAGGGCAATGGCCACGGGCTACCCATCAAACACGGGCATTTTAACCATCAGCAACTACAAGGTGGTGCCCCAGTTCGGAATCGCTAAGTTGGTGCAAATAACTCCCATAACTATGGTTTCTGGCAAATATAACGAACTAGTTACTGGGGTTTATAAACCAACGTTCACATCACTGGGGGGCACCATCCTGTATTGAACATCACCGTTTCCTGGGATTTTAAATGGGATTTCACTCCTCACACATTGGGATTTTTTGGCATGAAAATGCCTGGCCTTTTAACGGGAGTTTAGTGGGATTTTACTATCAATAATGTGGTTTTGACCATGAAACATATGGGATAGATATATCTATATATATACATATTATGTTTGATAAATAATGGTTGGTTGAATGAGTAGTTTGGGGGCTGCACTACCCCCATTGTCTGAATCCATTATGAAAATCCACATGAACGCACCAGTACATGGGAAACTTGAACACTTCTCATGTGAGTGTGTCTGAAACATTGGGGTATATATATATACTTCCGTCTCCTGGCATTTCTGAATTTGGAATGGGACATGCTATAGAATATCAATAAACCGGAAACACTGTTACATTAAATCCCCATTTTCATGGTTGAATCCAGTTTATTTCATGATCATACCCAGTTCAATCGGTTCAGCCGCTCCTGCATGCAGCTGGTTCAAGGCTCGTAAATCCAGGCCTACCATGGGCCAAGGGTGCCAGGGTGGACTTAAGCAGTCATTTTTAGGGGAGTTAAGTACTAAACAATGTGGATTTTACAAGAAAAACATGGTGAACCATCGAAAATCGGGAGTAACAACAAACATTGGGATCTAACAAACGCACATATGCAGACATGGGAATTTAGTCATCTAACATGGGACTTGACGATCACAACTGGGTATCTAAATGATTTGGGTCCGGAAATGGGGCATGGCACTTATGGCCATTCATGAGGAAAATCAATATTTGAGGTACCTGTTTTTGGACTTTGGTGATTGAGCCGCTGCCCCAAAATATGAAGACAGGCAGTCAGAGGCGAAGTTGGGAATTACCCTCATGTAAACGTTTACCCTCTGGTAAACTAACATAGCTATTGAAAATCATCTTTTTTAATGGGAAAATCCACTATAAATGGCCATGTTCAATAGCTATGTTAAATTACCAGAGGGTACATAGAAAAAACATGAGAAAACCATCCATTTCTAGATAATTTCTTTAGGGAAACCGTGGGTTTTCCACATCCATGTTAGTTTACCCTAGGGGACCTGCTTGACACCACTGAGAAATCAAGACATTCAACTGTGCACCAAATGCAACCAACAAATCCGCAACGCAAATGGGACAAAAACACGACAAAAATAAACCAAACAACAATCGACCAACAATATGATTAGTAGCAACTTACAATCCAAGCGACATGATGAACAACTTTGGAATGTGTGACCGAACTGCACCATCTGTCTGCACCTTTAAAATGGAAGATCATGGCACTCCAAAATCGCCATTTCCAATAGATCCACTAGGAACATCATATAAGTCAAATCCATTCTTCGGATCTCTGTAACATTGTTTTTTTGGGTAGATTCCTGCCAAGAAAATAATGCAGCTGGGCAGTATGTTACATTGCTACTGTGAGATGCCGTGTAGATATCTACATCTAATTATCTATATATATTATATTAAATATATATATTATATTGTATATATTATATATATTATGTATATTATATATATCTATTATATAATATATAATATATATAATATACATAATATATATATATATCATAATATATATATATTATGTATATTATATATATTATATATATTATATATTATGTATTATATATATATTATATATATTATATTATATATATTATATATAATATATAATGTATATATGTATATATATTATATTATATATATTATATATAATATATTATATTATATATATATCAATCATTCCTTGTGGCTTTAATTCAGCTGCTCAGTCTCCTTTCAGGGGCGGGTTGTGTATTTAGGTCGTTTCTGTCTGAATCTGAATCAGATTCTTTCGTTTCTTGGACAATTTTCTGCTTTGCAGATATATTTTCTAGACCGTATCAACCCAAGATGTGACCTGTGTTGCGAATAAGTGCTGGTGCCTCAGTATGACTATGTGTGACTCTTGGATAAGCGCAGCAGTGATAGTCTTGCCGATACCCCAACTGTTCAAATACTTTGTTCGAAGCCCTACAGCAACAGGCCGAGCAATGGTCAACTGGTCTCTTGGGCAAAAACTAGAAAAAAAACACATCAAATTGGAACATCATACGGGGATGTGGTATATATAATGTTATATTATATATATATATTATAACATATGTATATATATATATATAATTCACTTGATGGCAAAACAACACCATCAAGCTGTGGGCTGTATAGAGGGCTGTATAATACATACAATAGATTGCCAATTTTGGAACAAATAAGCTCTGCTACAGTATCTTTTCGAATCTATTCATATATATAATGGTTCGCACATTGAGCCGGTTATACAATATAATATATATATACATATTACATGCATATTTTTGCAAATCAAGCAAACTGTGTATGTATATCTACATATACATATCTACCAATACTGGCGATTCCAGTTGCAGTATTGTATATGTACATAAACCTCTCTATGTATATATATATATGTATATGTATGCTACATACATGTTTTAATCAGTTTAGCTAGTTGAAATATAAGTACACGCAAACTATCCGAAATATCTACTCACGATATTATATATATATACTGTGTATGCACATGTAGGTGTATTACGTATAATCATTATCTGGCTGAATCAGGAAAAATCACTATGCTGACACTAGATGTAATAAGCCACCATTGGCACGATGTCCAAATAGCTGGCGAGCAGCTAGTGGACATATAATGCAGAACAGATCAGTAATATGTACTTGTGATATTATACATGTTCATGTATTCTATCACTGTACATACACACGTGTATATACATATATATATATGTATATATATATATATATATATTTGTTTGCTTCACCGGTTGTTCTACCAAGCTCCATGCGTCGATTGAAACTTCTCGCCTCTCCAAGGCGTTGAATCCTCTGGCAGCGGCCGCAAGCGCCTGGCGATGCTGCGGCTTTGAACAATAATGGTATAGTATGATCAGATAACAATATCAATAATAATAGGTCAGGTTATATGATTCACAATAAGGGTATCTATACATATGTATATTATATATATACTGTATATATATATATATATATATGTATGTTTTTTTTGGATCCAATGATAACATACGCATATGTATATACAGTATATATATACATATCACATCAATACAATGGATATTCATCACTATAACTCAGAGGGCCGTTGTATTGCTTGGTCAGTATATACATATTCGATTGTTGATGATCATCGGTTGTACATATTTACCCCCTGCTTATTTAACATAGCTATGAAACATAACCCATTTAGTTCGATGATCTATGATGATTTACCTAGCCTTAAATAAACACAAAACACAGGTTGGTAAGTGGGGTTACTGAGTAGTTACTAAGTGTGCTCTGCTTGGTGGTTCAATGGGAATTTCAGGATCCTAAAATGGAGGTACCTACCATATATAAGGCCTATATAAGGCCTATGCAAGTGAATATCACCACAACATATTGCCTTATATGGTACAGTACCTCCATTTTAGGATCCTGAAATTCCCATTGAGTAGTTCACCCTACTTAGGAAGTGGGTTAGCTCACCCCAGTTACTGGTATGTATATATACATATGTATGTGGATTGATCCTACCCCAGTTGTAACCAGGGACACAAGCTACTTTCGAAGTGAGATGAGCCACCAAGTATGGGATGTGTATTTAATGGGAATTATATAATCAATTTTAATCTTAAAGAGATTCAATGGGAAACACATGACCCAGATCACTTGGTTGGTGGTTACCAAGCTTGTTTACCAAGTTGGTGTAACTAAGCTGGCTGATGGTTGGGTCTAATGCGATTATAGCTACAGTATGCTTAATTATGGTTAAACACTTGTAACAAATATAAGTTTCGGGGGGGCATCTTGTAACACGTGCTCTACTATCCTAGACTTCCAAAGCTGACAAAGTAATCTGGGTAGGTTTGGGAGGTTCAAAAGCCTTCTCAGGAGGTGTTCGTAAGTCTAGGAACATACATAAGATCTTATGATATCTTACAGGAGTGCATATCTATGGACTTAGAAGGGCCCCTTCAAAAACATGTGATTATCGGGTGCTCCATGTATGGTACGTTTATTCCCATCTCAAACAGTTCTACATAGTAATCATAGTACTGTATATATACATATATACAGCATATAGTAATGTAGTATTTGCAATCAGTTGGTTTGAGGATATCAAGGTAAACCCAAGAGAGCAGCGGCATACCATTGAGGCAAGTACAGTTGGGTACTCATGGCCACTTTCAATTTTGGGCTTCAAGTTCCCAATGTGGCGAGGTGTCATGGCCCCAACTATCCCCAACTCCAACCGCGATGCAGACATGAACTGATGTCGCGAAGCACATCCCGTGTGTGACATGGGCCACAATATGAATATATATTGAATATAGCATGGTATATTCCCATATATTCTGGATGAATATAGCTATATCCAGAATATATGGGAATATACCATGATATAGCTTCTGGATGCAAATTAGCATCCTTTTTCCAGGTACTTCGGTACTTCAACCCAAATCATAAGCCACATACCAAGCTGAGGTGCTTCGATTGGCAACCAACAAGACACTCACATCACTCACTGGTGATTCGGTGATTCGACATGATATTGAGAAATGAATTGTATAGAAATGCCCGATGAACCACCAAAAAATTTTGTTGACTTTCTCATCAACCGGGATTTCCCATCGCTGTTTACCCAATAGCAGCTCATCAGCTGTCCTTTGGGGAAGCTGGGTACCAGGCATACCAGGCATGCCACTATTTAAACATAGGGATTCAACCAAAATCCGGGTGAAAAGAGCTTACTGTTGTGGTTGCTGATGGTTTATACCCTCTGGTAAACGTTTACATAACTATGGAAAACCACCATTTTCAATGGGTAAATCCACTATAAATCACCATTTTCAATAGCAATTTTGACATAACCAGAGGGTACGTCCTTAGTAAACCATGATTATCATGATTTCTTGGAGGAGTCACCGAACTGATATTGACATGGTTGACATGGATTGGCTGAATCAACACGATATTTACCCAAAATGGGGTCTAAAAATAAGCTAAGCATGCTAAGCCACATGTTCCCAATTGAGATTGCTATTTGGGGGTACCCCATTTTCAGAAAAATCCACATGGTTGTGAACATCCAGGGGCATGGGCAACACCTGATCAGATAGGCTGGGAGCGGGACAGAAAAAAACTCATTGAGCGATCACAATACTCCTTTCAAACCATTTAGATCCATCTGGTAGTACAACTTAACTTTAGTAAAATCGAAGGTAACATGTCAAATGACATGTCAACTCCAAATCCCAAACGTTCAAATCTGTCATCTGTGACAGACACACATCTGGCACTTGAGTGACACAAGCTAGAAACCCCTGGCAACACAAGTGCTGTTGCACGTGCTAAGGGCCGGGAAAACAAAGCATGATGGACTTAACTTTAAACAAAGTCATACAAAGTCAACTGGTTGGTGGTTGACCTACCCCTCTGAAAAATATGAGTTCGTCAGTTGGGATGATGACATTCCCAATATATGGAAAAATACAAAATGTAATCAAAATGTTCCAAACCACCACCCAATCAATATAATTGACCCATGTACATGTAAAACAGTGTAAAACCATCAACCCAGGGTCGACTGAGCCTCGATTCCCCCTACTTCAGACCGCGCCTGTCCAGCCATTCGCTATCGAAGGCGCAGCATTTCAAGCACAAAGCTGGTGAGGCTTCGACCATAGAGGCCTGACAGGAACCAGAAAAACTGCTTCATAAACCTGGTTAGTAAGTGCCCTGGGTGGTTGTCCCATTGATACATGGGATATATATATAAAATATAATATATATATATATAATTATATAATATACGATATATAACTATGAACTATGGTTACAAACCGGGTGATCATCCAAAGATTAGGTTATTTTAAGGGAACAGTCAAAAGACTACTATAGTATACTATACTTTAGTAATCTATAGTATACTATACTATATATATATATAATAGAATCTATAGTATACTATCTTGTAGTAATGGGCTTTAGACACCAAGATGCCATCTGGATCCCTCTGGTAATCAGTCACACCATTTAATTCGATGAGTTTCCCCCATGTTTCCCAGCTATACCCTCTGGTAAATTAACATCGACCCTGGCAGTCATCGGGGTTGGAAGACTAGTTTCCATTAAAAATTGGTGATTTTCAGGGTCTATGTTTATTTACCAGAGGGTGATCTATAAATATGCATTCTTTTAGGATGTTCCATTCATTTTCCAGTGTTCTTTTGCAGCACCCAGCTTGCACCTCGTATCCTGCCATTTCCAGCGCCGTCTTGAGCTCGGAGGCATCATGAGCCGCTTGCAGCAGGTGCCTCAAATTTCTGGCAAGGTCTATGGTGAAATCAGCGGAAGAGGGATGAAACACCATACGTTGGCTGATTAACAAATCGTTCCAATTATATGGAAATTCCCTACATCCACCATGGTTTCTAAGGGGGTGTTCAATATTAGGGGGAAGGGATTATTCCAGTTGTGTATATATATATATGGGTAAATCATACTATTTCACTACTGTAACCTGAAATAAGGCCATTTTGGGATGATTCCCCTTATTAACCATGATTCCTGTGAGGGAGAACAGTGAGGTCGTGAATTTGCCCAGAATATTTCAACATATTTCAACCAAGATGAATGAGCGCCTGTTCTTCGAAATCCTCATACCCTGTGGGACGCACCACTGTATGTTACCACCAACGTATGATATGTTTGTCATTCGAAGGCCCCAATAGTGGCCCAGCCAGAGACAGCAGGATCGATTTTTTCTGCAGGTTGAGGGGTCACCCCATCACCAGATATTTTCTATATCAACCCTGGATTTATAACCCCAAACGGCTGTTAAATTGGGAGGGTTAAAAAAGTATCAGATTATGACTATTGGAGGAATACCCCCTAATTTTCATAAACCATGGTTTATTAATCCGGGCTTGACATTATATGTACCCTCTGGTAAACTAACATAACTATGGAAATTCACCATTTTTCATGGGAAAATCCACTATTTCTATGGCAATTTTCAATAGCTTTTTGTATGTTTACCAGGCCGGGTATATCTTTGTACTTATACAAATACGTGCATGTTCATATTCTTATGTGGATCCCAAATTATCCCAACACATCCCCCCAACACTGTCAACACTACATCGCCGGCTTTCAGCCATTCGGTGGTCATTCGTGGTGGTGGTCTAGATGAGCCTCTTGGAAACCTCGGAAATTGATCAAACCCACCACTGAAACCTCGGAGATTTTGCCGGATCCCGTTGGGTTCTTGCCATTCTTGCCAAGTTTCGGGAAAGCCCAATCCTGTGAGGTGGTCTTAATGATCTTAATGCTTGGGCATTGGTCAAGGTTGAAAATTACCAAAGTGAGAACAATGACCCTTCAAAACATCGGAGCCCGGCAGGCAGTTGATCCTTTCACCAACCAAGGTCTATGGGGGTTTCCAAAGTCATGGGGGTACCCCCAGTCATCATCCATTTTAGATTGGGGTTTTCCATTATAAATCAACCAGCTATTGGGCTATTGGGGTAGCCCCATTTATGGAACCCCCCCCATATTTATGTAAGATGTTATTTATGTAGGCAGATGTAGGCAGGTACTTTCAAATCGGGGTACAAGTCGCCCCAGGAATCTCCAATACCACCGGCAGATGAATTATTCTTTGAGTACTCAGGATATCAACGATGAGTCAAACCGCTCGCCCGCCCTTTTTGAAGTTCCGTTGGCCATTTGGTTTTGGGCTGACAACGTAGACGGCATGTTCCACCATATCTGCAAACCCCAAGCAAATTTTGAAGCTCAAAATCACCAAACATACCAATCAGACATGGCAATTGAATATCCTCAGTGGTGTTTCAATGGGACACTCAGCAATTGGGGGATACGATGTTTTCACGGGAACCTATCATTTCATGGATTTTCCAGCACGCCATAGGGGCAAAAACCGGGTACCATCGCAAGGCTACCCCGGTCCTCGGACAGCTCCTCATACCAGGCTTCAGTGAAGGCACTCCAGTGCTCCGCGGGATAGTCCTTCGCAACATTTTCTCCAACGGCAACACGGAAGATTCACTAATGTGGGTAAAACAACAATAAACCATCCCCCAAATCACCATAAATAGGTACTATAAGCCATTCCCAAATGGATCGTTTATGATTGTTTTAACCACAGTATGAGAGTGACTAATTGCGATTCATCATATTGACGTATTACATCATATCAATCATATCATGTTTTTGTTTTGCGTTTAGCATTTTCATCTTCGAAGTGACGAAGGAATTAAACAACACTGAAGGGATTTCATATTCAATGTGTTTTCTTCTTTCCCTTCAAACCAGGCATTGTTCTCAAATTGATTGAACATAAATAACATTACCCTCTGGTGAACTAACATAGCAATGGAAAATGGCTATTTATAGTGGATTTTCCCATTAAAAATGGTGATTTTCCATTGCTATGTTAGTTCACCAGAGGGTAAATATTTTGGAGGACATCCATTTCTGTTCAACATAGATCCAAACCTTTGTGGTACTAACATCATGACATCGCGGCCTGGAGTAAGTTCTGCGCCAGCATCAGAAAGTCAAAAGCGGCCTCGGGGTCATCCCATTTTACTGGCCATCACTGGCTTGTCTCAAAACTCTGTCCCCAAATTCGGTGGTTGTTTCACCTCATGTTTCCCGTTGAATCCGTTGCATATCTTGGGTTTTACCCTCTGGTAAACTAACATAGCCATGGAAAATATTGGAAAATCACCATTTTTAATGGGAAAATCCACTATAAATGGCCATTTTCAATAGCTATGTTAGTTTACCAGAGGGTAGCCATAACTTGTGCTCTAGTTGACCAACTCATTTTCCACGAGCAAAGAACATCTGTGAGGATGGCGTAACTTCATCCCGACAACTCAACTTCCGTGACATCCCTACTTAACATCATACATCCTTTTTGTGCAATGATATCCCATTGAACAAACATGAGAAAAAACGGGTCACCCGCATCTGATTTGTTTAATCTCATGTTTTTCTGGTCATCATGATCGATCGGACGGGGCATCCCGATCGGACGAAGCCGTCGGAACGCTTCAGATGCTGGGACTGGGACATCCTCGCTATCTGTCTCATTGTCTGCCTGAGTCGTGTCAAATCGGTTGAAGATGGTGGCCGAGACTTTCGGGACTGAGAAAAGACGGTGATATTCAGATAACCCATAATAGCCCGTATATACATATGTAAATGCAGAAAACATCATGTTACATTATGATACATTATGATACTATATGTAACTAATGAGTTTCTGGTCTAGATTGTCAGCTGCTATCCATTAATGTCAATTAAGTTGTACTTCCAAATGCTGCTTGAGATATTCTTCTTCCAAATCTGGTTGGCGGTTTCAACCCCTCTGAAAAATATGAAAGTCAGTTGGGATGATTCTTCCCAATATATGGAAAGTCATAAAATTCATGTGGGGATGGGTCAAAACCCTGGTACCTAGTGAACCCCAAAATAGCTGGGATTTATGGATGTTCATTCCACTAATAATGGTATTAATAGGTATTGACCCATACCCATGTTCCAGTCACCACCAACCAGAAATACTTGATGGCTCAACATGGTCCAGCCGCCCAGCCATCTCCTGCACCCATTTTCCCAGCCGCGTCGGTGATCGCGGTGATCTGATATTTTCCTGTGCCTGACCTCATTGCTGAACTGGCCATGTGATTAGCTTTACCCTCTGGTTTTTTAACAGTTTGCCATGGAAAATGGCCCATTTACTAATAGTGTATCTTGAACTATAGTAACTGTAACTACTGTACCCTCTGGTTATGACTAACAGTTTGCCATGGTATAGATGGCCCATAGAAATAGATGGTTTACCTATTATAAATGGGTGGATCTTTCCATGGCAAACTGTTAGTCATAACCAGATGGTACGTTTTGTAGCACGGCTAGTCGGCTAGATATCCAACCACTTACTGTAGAAGATTTAGCTGGGCAAATCATGATCTCTCCATTGAAGCTTCATCCCACATCACGGCACTTTTTGCGCAGAAAACTGTGAAACAATAGCTGAACAAAGTTGAGATCTTCAGAAATTCTTGGGCCTCTGGGACAAAACGGAGTATGGCCCCTAGTTTTGGAGTTTTCGACATATATAGTCTCACTGAATCTCAGTACAGGATTAGGCGGCAATAACCATCATCTGGTTGAGAAACTCTTTGTAGTTCTAACTGGCTCCCCATTTACAAAAAAATATGGATTGTAACTCCATTCACCACCTTTAGTAGATCATCGATTTGGCGCCGTCTGCTACAGTTGGAACCCACGGTCATGGCACACAAAATCTCGGCACTACGTTGGCCTTCACCGCGCTGTACGCCCCAGGCCTTCACCAGCCCAGCGCTCACTTCACTCGGTCCAAGCATTCCCACATCATGATGCTGTTTCCTCAGAAAAATAGGGTCTCCAAAAGAAAGACCAAAATGACCAACGCAAAATCCATGTCTGATTTTGTGTCTTATTCTTGTGGCCTTACGTTTCGTTGAGGGGGTGTCGGATCTGAAACTTGACTGGTTCCAAAGGTCCATTGGCCCGCAGCAACGCCTACCCGAGTCCTGAGCCTTTCATATTGGCAACGCATTCAAAAGATTTCAAAGGACATACATTGGCAAAATCAGATCCCAAAAATCAAATCTGGACAACAGCAGGACTATATCAGGTAAAAGAAATCCCAATAAACAAACCAAACAACAGCAGCAAAACAAACAAACATATGTCAGGTGTAGTTTGGCAAGGCTTTGCCACCAGGCAAAGTTGGCAATCCGCTGACCTTTATTCCATCGATATCTAGAGCAATATCTACCAATTCCTTTCTGTCAACGTCTGGAAACCAATGCAGGTTGAAATTTCATTGATTAGAATTGATATTTCGCGACACTTTGCCTAGCTCACTTAGGGGTTTGGAAATCAACCAAAATAACATATGCCACATGGACCACGAGTAAATCCAAAATAGGTTACAACTTCTGCCGCAATCCGCTTGGTGGGTCCCAATTCCACACCAAGGTTGTCACACTTTTTTCAGCAATAAACCAAGGTTTTTGACCCAAAATCTGGACAACCAAACAGTATCAAAAAAAGTGTTTTTCACAATTTATAAGATTCACAGCACCATTTCAAATGATGTTCTGATCCACCGGGACAACGGGACTCCGAACATCCAAGTGGCCGCGGATCACCACCATGCCGATCTCGTTCTTCTCGGTTGGGGACACAATCTCCACGGTGTTGTCCAGGACGATGTTCATGAACTGGTCATAACCTGGCCGGTTCAGGAACTCCATCGTTGTTTTTCGCCGTGAATCAACAACAAAAAACGAAGATAGAACATATCGGTGTTGTATATATATATATGTACATGTAAATGTAAATGTAACTGTAAATGTATGTATGTATGTATGTGGGTGTGTGTATGTCTGTGAATGTATGTATGTGTATGTATGTCTGTCTGTCTGTCGGTCTGTCTGTCTGTCTGTGTATGTATGTCTGTGTATGTATGTCTGTGTATGTATGTCTGTGTATGTATGTGTGTATGTATGTGTGTGCATGTGTGTATGTATGTATGTATGTATCTATCTATCTATCTATCTATCTCCCTGTCTGTCTGTCTGTATGTATGTATGTATGTCTGTATGTCTGTATGTCTGTATGTCTGTATGTCTGTGTGTGTCTGTATGTTGTGTATGCATGTATGTATGTATGTATGTGTGTATTTATGTCTGTGTGTGTAACATCTAATATAGATGTAAAACTTTTCCTTCTTCCTTTTTCTTTCTTCTCTCCTTTAAAAAAAATCGCAGGGGATCACCTGTTGTGGGTTTGTGCCAGGGATGCACACTGGACTGGCACCAACGAAGACGCAAGTGTGTCATCTGTGATATCGCTGGGGATGCTCATCGACGTACCTGCACATTCTTTTTCTGTGATGGGAAGAGGGGCTCAACCCAAGAACCTCCATGTCGGTTTTTTACATTACCACTGCACTGTTGCCGCAATCTATGTTGGATGACGATTTATTTGCAGGTTTTTGGAGTCTGGTTTGGGCTACGTTGGATTTTTTCGGAAGACCCATCATTATATTCATGAAGTTCAACCACAAGATCTACTTTAGGTCTAATTGTCTAGGCTGGTTGCACGTTACAGGACTCAGTTCCTGATGGATCTCTTCAAAGATCCAATTTTGTCTAGTGTGTGTATGTTTGTGTGTGTAATTATGTATGTATGTATGTATGTCTGACTGTCTGTCTGTCTGCCTGCCTGTCTGTCTGTATGTATGTATGTATGTATGTCTGTATGTCTGTATGTCTGTATGTCTGTGTGTCTGTGTGTCTGTGTATGTTGTGTGTATGTATGTATGTTTGTATGTATGTATGTATGTATGCATGTATGTATGTAATGTAATGTAAGGTAATGTAATGTAATTGTGTATGTATGTGTGTATGTATGTGTGTATGTATGTGTGTATGTATGTATGTGTGTATGTATGGATGTATGTATGGATGTATGGATGTATGGATGTATGGATGTATGGATGTATGGATGTATGGATGTATGGATGTGTGGATGTGTGGATGTGTGGATGTGTGGATGTGTGTATGTGTGTATGTGTGTATGTGTGTATGTGTGTATGTGTGTGTATGTGTGTATGTGTGTATGTGTGTATGTGTGTATGTATGTATGTATGTATGCATGCATGCATGCATGTATGCATGTATGTATGTATGTATGTATGTATGTATGTATGTATCAATGAATCAATGAACCAATGAATCAATGAATGAATGAATGAATGAATGACTGACTGAATGAATGAATGAATTAATGAATGAATGATATGCACACATATATATATATATATACATAAATATATATTATAGACATGCATGCGTACAAAGGACACACACATATATATATATAGTTTTGAATGTTTTTGTACATGATGTATAGACATATACAGTACATTTGTAACAGTATAAAAAATTGTATAGACATACTTCTATAATCTATATGAATGTTTAGGTATCAACCAAAATGTAAATATAAGTTTTCAACAACCAAACACATAAATGCCATGGCACCTCGCAGAACACCCACCACGTGCCGGTTGGCCGTCAATTTCAAGTCCTGAGCGATGCAGTGAGGGTTGAACCTGGTGGAGGACCAGTGGAGGAGGGAAACAAACAGACCTGGGATATCCCAGCAATCTATGCCGTCAAATTGCCAATGTCTGTCCATTCCTAGATTCCAAATGATTCTCCACAAAAATAAAGCGGGTCATTTCCCATTGCCAGTCCCAGTCCTGCAAGCCTACACTGCTTGATTAGGATAACAGTTTTATTGCCAGTGAACACTTATGACGGAAAATTATGCAAAAACCCACACAGAACACGCCCAGACTCCAATCGCTTCTCCATAAACTTTCGCAAATCGGCGCCGGATCCGGTCTGGCATCGCGAAATGAGGTCAGATCCGGAAGAATAAGGGTCTGATGAAAATTGCTGAACCTGGGGTGTGAATTAGCCATAGTTGTTTTTTCACATGCAAAAGCAGGATACCTTGCATATCTTAAGGCATCATTCAGCAATGATTCCGGCTTTGTCGCAAGCGGATTGTCCTTTTCACAACGTCAACGTCTACAGTAGTAACGTCTCCTTCCAAACACGACCAGTGAGTTGCAGGTCATCATCAACCAACCCCCTTCCAGCCTTGGACATGGTGCTCCTGGAAGCTGGTGATGTTCGTCCCAAAGATGGTTTACTCACCAGGATTTATAGATGTTTTGTATCAGCCATCCCACATAAATGGGAAAAAACAGAGAAAAACGAAATGATTTTGGATGAAATCTCGTAACACCACAGTCATATTACATACCACCCTTTTTTCACCGAGTATTGGATCTTTTCATTTTGGCGGCCCTTGGGGAAGCTGTGGACGCTGACCATGGCGGGAATCAAACATGGGCTGGGAAATCCCCGAACCATGGCTGGAGGTTTCGTTCGCTGGGAAAATCATCTCACTAAATGGTAGATTTCCCAGCACGTCATATTTGATTACCGAAGGGTACATAATATAGATTTATGGATATATGCTATATATATATTAATATCTATATATAAATATATATGCTATATTCTATATATCATGTAGAACATGATATAAGAGACCTTGCGGAGAGGTTTTTTAGGCAACTTTTTGCAACATGTCTTTGCTCGAAAATCGGGGAAACCAATGGGAAACCCACATGTTAGACCAGTTTTTTCGAGGGAAAATCATGAAAATCCCCATGAAATCTGCAGGAAATGCCCAATAAATCCCAATAAATTTGGTGAATCCTCTGCGTTTCAATCCCCTGCGCTGCCCGCAGGACCCAGATAGACGTTGGTGAAATCAGAATCTACCATAGTATACCATAGTGTCAATGGGTTGGTTTAAGGGAAAATTTACAGGAAACTCCCATATTTAATGGGAAAATCTATGGTTTCCTGTAGATCTTCCCTTAAACCAATCCATTGATAGTGATAAATCATGATATGTAATGCTATATAATGATATATACAACAAAAAAACACATAAATCACGAATTTCTATGTCGGGGTTTCCTATGAACGTTCACCAATTTGGGTGTAAACTTGAAAAACACATCGATCTCCATACAACGATGTGTGACACATAGAGCGATAGATGGAGATCACATAGATAATGATGGCTATCACTAATATAGCAACGATAGATAATGATGGCTATGAAACATAGCTGGGACACAGATGGACCTGAGCAGCGTCGAAAACACCTTGGGAAATCCAAACGAATGATTGACAAATGGGATTCCTAGTTCATGGATTATGCAACAAAATATTCACTGTCACTATACATTGGGAATATAATATATATATACATAATATGTATAATATATATAATATGTGACATGTGTATATCATTGTATACCACTATATATCCCCCTACCAGTCAACCTTCGCCGTTTTTTCACCACAAATCAGGCCCCCGTTTCGCCTTGCTGCAACTCGGCCTTTCTTGATCTTCCAGGGCAGCGGTGCTTGAGCCAAGTTGCTGCCAGGGTTTCCCTCTTCGTACCTCCAAGTGGCCCAGTTTTGCCGGACAGGTTGAGTCGGTTGAGTAAAATGGGGTAATGTCAACCCCGGATTAATAAACCATGGTTTATTAATTAGGGGGACACTCCTCCAATAGTCATTATCTGATACTTAAATGGTACCCTCCCAATTAAACAGCCTAGGGGTTTATTAATCCAGGGTTGACATTACCCCAAGACCATGGCTTTCGATACTACAGTAGACTAATGACTTGGATGATTTGGGGATCCCCTATTTTAGGAAACCCCCAATATCTGGGGATTTTTTGGGATACCAATGGATGCACTGCGAAAAATGCAGGAGACTTTTCATGACCTGAAAAACTTGTCTTGTTGGTACTTGAAAAACCAATCTCTGAACATACAGGTATGGACTAATTTGGACCAACTGTCATTGACAATTGCATCAATTGCGAATTTTGCAAGTTTGAAACCACCAGCCATATCGGATAATTACCCTCTGGTAATTTAACGTAGCTATTGAACATGGCCATTAATAGTTGATTTTCCCATTAAAAATGGTGATGTTCCATAGCTACGTTAAATTACCAGAGGGTAAATGTTTACAGCATCTTATATTCCCCTGTGTTGGTTCAATCCCCATATTTCCGATATGTGAAAGCGCTAAGCTGATGTTCTCATCTGCCAATCAGTTGGGCCGGGGCCTATCAATCCATGGACATGTGTTGGATGCCTGGGAAATCCGCTGGGCTGATGTGCAAGAGTTAACATACAAAAACTGCAAGACACGACGTTTTGGTGGACGTTCTATTTGCAAAAAGTGTACAAGACAAGATAATCAGATAATCCCTTCCCGCTCATTGTTAACACCCCAAAGACTCAGTGCTTTTGATTGTTTCATGGCAGGCGGTCAGCGGCGTCTTTTTTCCGCTGCACCAGGCGTTTGATGGGTTAGTGTGTGGCTTAAGTCGTTCAGAGTTTCCATGCCTTGGAGACTCACTTCACTCTGTCCAAGCATTCCCACATCATGATGCTATTGCCTGACAGAGGACCCTGCAGGGCATTGCTACATTGCTGCCGTCCAAAATTTCGCTACTCCAACGTATATACTCTTACAATGGTCACAAGTGCGGTCACAGTACAAGTCCCCGTGGAACAAGTACTGCTTTTGTGGGGGTGTGGCTGGGTGGAACACGGTGGAACCATGTCCATCCCAGCCTGAGACCTAGATGAACAAGTACTAGAGGCGAAGCATAACATGCTTCGCAGGGTGTTAAAAGACTTGGTCAACTTTTCATCCATTTTACCCTCTGGTAAACTAACATAACTATGGAAAATCACCATTTTCAATGGGAAAATCCACTATAAATAAATGGCCACTTTCAATAGCTACGTTAAATTACCAGAGGGTATCTTTACTCATCTTTACTTCCCTTGATTTCCATGGCATTTTGCCCACGCCCGCCTCGGATCACCACCATGCCGATCTCGTTCTTCTCAGTGGGGGAGACGATCTCCACGGTGTTGTCCAGGACGATGTTCATGAACTGGTCATAACCTGTGGCGTTTGATGGCCCGGGGTCTGTTGGCGAGCAGTGAACCACTAGGCGAATTGGGGTTGAAAAGCTAGATTTTTAACTATTAGCTATAGATGGGGGTATCCTGAAATGGGGCTACCCCCAGCCATCATCCATTTTATCAGGATTGTTCATTCTAAATCATCCAGCTATTGGGGTACGCCCATTTTAGGAAACCCCCAGATGGGTGAACATAAACCCACATAACTGGGGAGCACCACCTTGTGATGATGGCTGCGGCATGTTGTGATGGGGTTACCTGGATATACTGCTGATTTTTCTACCAAAATTATTCTCTATCAACTCTATTGTATATTAACCTATTGATTGCATTCATTTATATATCCAACTCCCATCCGGTTGAATTCGCTCAAATTTTGCTGGTTGAGTTCTAACGTAGAATGGGAATATGAATGAATATCAAATATAGAGCATATGAACCATACTGGATAAATCAATGTCACCCAAAAAGGTCGGCCACCACTTGAGACAATTACCCCAACTATCATTTACGTCGTGACGTCCATGTTTAAAATACATGCTTGCTATAAAAAATGAGGGGTCATCCCCAATTTTAATGGACACTCTCATGTCGTATTGTTGGCTATATTTCCCAGTGTACCCTGAACTTGGATATATATATATATACATATGTGAAAATTTTATGCTATATTATATTGTTGGTTATATATATAGTACATAATACAATAATATACACATAGTAAATAATAATATATATATATAATATATGTTGAATATATGTTATATATATATTATATTATATCTAATATATATTATATTATATATTATATATATTATATTATATATTAAATATAATATATATATTATATATATTATAAATATATATATATATATATATTATACAATATATGAGATATTATGTATTATATATTATATGTTAAATATTATAAATAATATTACATATATATTTTATAAAACATATCTATCGCCATTACCCAAGCCATATTTGTGAACGGCGCCTCTCAAGACGCCTACCACATGGCGATTGGCCGTGAGCTTCAGGTCCTGTCTTGACATAGCACATGGGGGGAAGAAGGGCATATCCGTGGTAAATCATGGTAAATCACCAAGAAAAACATCTTGCAAAAAACATTGAATAATATGTGTGTATATATATATATTTATGTACATGCTAGTTTTTGCCAAGTTAGCTCAGATTGGGGTATTGGAGTAGGAAACCAAACCCCAAAGCAGCAAAGTTTTCAGTCCACAAGTAAGCATCAACCCACCATGATGTATGGTTTATACCCTTGGCTTCAAGGTTTAGCATTGCTTAGCATACCAATTTCTATCAATTTGACAGAGTTCGTTAAACGCCTGTTGATTGATTTTCTCTGAGCTCATACAACTTATACTGCATATAATATCCAGTATATTGTGGATTGTTAAGTGGGGATGGGTCAAAACCTTGTACCCTGGTGAACATCAAAATAGCTGGTAAATGGATGTTAATCCCCCTGAAGTTGCTATTTATAGGTATTGATCCATAGCCAAGTTACAATATGTTACAATCCATAGGAAAATCCGCTCCAGAACCACCCAGTTTTAGACGACCGAAAAAAAGCCCTGCTGTTGGCCAGTTCCGACGTTCCGACCCAGTCCAGGCGTTTTTCCATGAACTTCCGCAAGTCCGCTCCAGAGCCGGTCTGGCGGGGTCTGGCGTCATGTCATTTAGCATATGCGGGAAACTCCATAAATTGGGATACCCCATTTATGAATGCTTTATAATGGAAAATCCTATTAAAATAGATGACTTGGAGGTACCCCCATTTCAGGAAACCTCCATTTCACAATTCTGATTGTTTTTGGATACCATTTAAACCTTGACACGCTCATGTCACCAACCCAAAATAGATCACTTTGAATTGAAAAGGCTATCCATCCATCCATCCATCCGTCCATCCATCCATCCAGCCTTCCATCCAACCATCCATCCAACCATCCAGTCAGCCATCCATCCGCAGATGGTCACATATACTACTGTAATGTTGTTAGAAATGTGCATATATACATATATATATATATCTACATATATACATTCGTATATATATATATATATATATATGTGCATGCACATATGCATATATATATATATGCATGTGTATATATATATGAATACATGTATCTATGTAAATGTGTGTATGTAAATATGTATCTGTTATATATAACATTATATATATATAACATGTGTATATATATAGCGTGGTCCCCTCCCTTGCAAGTATCAATACTCAAACCTAGGAGTGCTGATGACAGAGATGTCAGGATGACTTTACTCTCCATACCAGGGAATGCCTGTCCATAGTTCTAAGGGATTGGAGAAGCCTACGTGTGTATATATATACATATATATATATATGCACATATATACATGCATACATAAATTTATATTATGTGTATATGTGTTTCTATATATGTATATATAATATATATTTATATATATTGTATGGTATGTACGGCTCGCCTTCGACATGGCGCTTGAATTTTCACGCAGCGCCTTGGACAGCAGATTTATTCCATGGCGGGATCGATGTTGTTTTTCTTTTGAGGGACATTGGTTGGTTTAAGCGATTACCCTGGGGTTATATAGTTAACATATGGGGGTTCCATAAATGGGGGTACCACAAAATGGTTGGTTTATAATTTATGGAAAATCCAAATCTAAAATGGATGATGACTGGGTTTACATTAATATGGAAAACACATGTTCTTTTCCAAGGAAAATGATCTAGAAGTGGCGGGTTTTCCATTGAAGGAAAATCCAGCGGATGACCATTTGGGGGTATAATTTTGCTACTAAGCCAAGAACAGTTGGTGATAAATCCAATATCTATACGGTGCCAAACGGACGTCTGATTCTGCGAGAGAAAGACCTTCAACTGAATGTATCTAAATCTGCATGTATCTTTCGATGTCTGTACGTCTATATTTATGATGTACAATCATATACATCGAAACATCTACAGCTTGAGTGTTGTACAAGAATGCACTGTATAAGAATTTGAGAGGCTCGGTTCCAAGATGGGCTATATATTTTCAGCTATACCAAACACATAGCACGTTAAGAATTTGAGGGACTCTGGAATCGGACTGCCAAATTCTTAAATTACTGCTTATACGTGACCCCTTGTACTGGAGACTTCGAAATTAGGCGGGATCCGTAATCCTCCTAGTCCTGGTTCTTTTCACTAATCCAATGCGTCATCCGGTGCTCGAGTGTATACCCGCGTTTTTGCGTTGGCCCCGCGGCAAGCAACCAAGGCCAAAAACCAGAGTAGCCGGAACAGCTACGCAGGATTCCGGCCACGACAGAGCCCAGCGCGGCCAAAACACCGGTATAATGCAAAATCGCGCGTAGATCGTCGATCTACGCGCGTTTTTGCGTTTTCCTGGCGCCGCGGCCCCGCTGCAAGCAACCAAGGCCAAAAACCAGCGTAGCCGGAACAGCTACGTAGGATTCCGGCCACGACAGAGCCCAGCGCGGCCAAAACACCGGTACAACGCAAAATCGCGCGTAGATCGTCGATCTACGCGCGTTTTTGCGTTTTCCTGGCGCCGCGGCCCCGCTGCAAGCAACCAAGGCCAAAAACCAGCGTAGCCGGAACAGCTACGTAGGATTCCGGCCACGACAGAGCCCAGCGCGGCCAAAACCCTGGTATAACTTTTGCATGAGTAGTCAAATCTGCCAACTCCACCTCGTTACCTTGTTTAATCTTGCTCCAAATTGTGCAGATGCCTGCAATACAATACCAAGAATGCCTTCAGAATTTGAGGGACCCTCGGCCTGTCGTAGTGCAAATTTGCCTGTATTAAAAAATAAGAATTTGAGGGACCATGGACCTCAAGCTTTCGGATTCTTCACCAGCGCTCGGGCTGTATTTCACTGACGTCGGGCACGTCGGGGGCTAGAATGTTCTGGGCGTCCGAGTTGGAGTTTTTTCACATAAGATACTTCTTCGAGCTCAATATGGCCAAATCAAAAACACCTTTTGATCTGGTCAAATTAAATTCAGCTAAATATCATAAAATCTCAACTGCCAGACATTCAATCACAAATAATATGATAATAATGATAATGGTATTATCTCAACTGCCATAATATATTCTCGAAACTCTGCAAACCATAATATGTGTTCACTGAGCTGCCCCACGCTGGTAAAAGGCGAATCGGAGGCAGCTTGGCTTGAGCCAAGCTTTTTGGGGAACGCAGGGTTGTAGTGCAACGTCCCATTGAATGGACATTTCAGGACCAAAAAAATAGAGCTGCTGTAGTTGCTGTACCATATAAGGCCTTATCCATGGTAGGTACCTCCCATTCACGGACAGGAAAAAAAGGATAAAACAGATTAAACAAAGCAGTTGATCATCAAATGATTCATCAAATTCTGCGATGTTTACATGGGACGTTTCAAAAAATGTGGGGGAGAAGCCTTGGCGTTTTTTTTTCCAACCCAGAAGGATGAGTCGTGCCAGTTTCTGTACTCACTATTTCTATTTTTGGACAAAAAAAATATTTCTATTTTTAAAACATGGAAAACACTTTTTTGGGACCTCATTACATTTCTTTTAGACCTGGACACTTTTACTGGACCTTATTACAATTCTTTTGGAGATGGCTACCCTTCTTTTGGACCTGCACACCCTCCTGCTGGACCTCATCCTTCCCTCCTGCTCGACCTGGCCCTTTCCCAAACCATACCCTTTTCGGATAGATTCTACAGTTTCTGTCCAGCCGCGTCTGCATCGCAATTTTTCAGACAGTAGGGTGCTAGAGCTGCGCTAGCATGCAACTGGGCAGGAAGTGCCATGTAGTGTTGTCCTCACAGCTTGAACCGACTTGGACACTCATCCTGGTGAGTTCGTTGCTGCTTGCGAGGGGTATAGCCAGTCTGGGAACCTTGAACTCCAACCTGTGTGACAGGAATGACAGTTACCCTGGCTAGCGTGCCTGGACGGTAGGGGGCTAGAGCCGCGCTAGCAGCGTCTGTTTCGCAATCCCCAGGAAGGGGCATTGGTGAGTTCGTTGCTGCTTGCGAGGGGTATAGCCAGTCTGGGAGCCTTGACCGCGCTAGCAGCTAGCATGCAACATGGCAGGAACCTTTCCTGTACACGGTCTGCTCCCAAACCATACCCCCTTTGGATAGATTCTCCAGTTTCTGTCCAGCCGCGTCTTGATCGCAATTCTTCAGACACAGTTCTTGCATTCATCTTCTTGCATTCCAGCCGCGTCTACATGTCCATACGTCCTGTGACCGAATACTAACCAGTGAGGTTACATTGATTTCGATGTCGACTCATGTGGCACCCTCAGCTGCGACCATTGCGCCCAGGAGCATCCCTCGCCGGTACGCTTACACATCTGTCCATGACGGTCTTCGTTGCCTGCAGCCGATGCGGGTTCAATGTCTAGGCTTCACCCGTCAACTCTCAGCAACTTATTGCGCTCATCTTGTTCTAATAACTAACTTTCTCTTCCCCCAATGTGCCTTTCAACTTCCGGCATCCATTTGGTTTCATATGTAGGTTTCCCCCCGTTGGCCTCTCTACAACTTCTTGCCTCTATGCTGTTTCAATATCCGAATTTCTCCTGCGCCCCTGTGCCTCTCAACAACTTCCTGCATGCATTTGGTTTCAATATCTCGGCTTCCCCTGTCTCTCAAGAACTTCTTGCGCTCATCTGGTTTCAATATCTAACTTCCCCCCTGTGCCTCTCATCAAACTTCTTTAACTTCCTGCATTCGTTGGGCTTCAATATCTATACTCTCCAGGGAGTGCAGCACCCATATCCTTGTGACACGTTGGGTTTCCCACCTCCTTCCCATTCTGCCCTCTTCTTCTCAATTTCTACTCTTCACACCTCTGTGCCCCACGTGGGAGCATTCACCTGGCTTCAATATCTAAACTCCCCCCCCTGTGCCTCTCACCAATTTCCTGCATTCATTCGCTTGCTCTCAAAAATTCACCTCTCGCCTCTTAACAACTTTTTGCATGCATCTCAACTTGGTTTCAATGTCTAAGCTTCCCCCCTTGTCTCTCAACAACTTCTTGCGCTCATCTGGTTTCAATATCTAACTTCCCCCCTGTGCCTCTCATCAAACTTCCTAAACTTCCTGCATTCATTGGGTTTCAATATCTATACTTCCCCCGCAGCCTCCCCATAACTTCTTGCGTTCATTTTGTTTTGATATCTAAGCTTCCTCCCCGGTGCCCCACAACAACTTCCTGCATTCATCTTGCTTCAATATTCCCGATGCCCTGAGCAACTTCCTGCATTCATTTGGTTTTATATCTGGTTCCACCGTGGCCTCCTAAAGTCCCCCCCACCTGTGCCTCTCCACAGCTTCCCGCATTCATGCGGTTTCAATATCTCAGTTTCCCCTCGTCTCTCCACAGCTTCTTGCATGCACCGTCATTTGGGTTCAATATATCTAGGCTTCCGGTTCTAGTCTCAGCAACTTCTTGCGTTCATCCTTGTTTCGATGTCTAACTTTCCCCTCTCCCACCTGCCTCTTTCTCACCAATTTTCTGCGGGCACCTGGCTTCAATATCTACGTGTTCCCCCGTTTCTCTGAACACCTTCTTGCATGCATCTGGTCTCAATATCTAAATTCCCCCCACCCTCTTCTGGCATTCATTTTCGGGTCCCAAAAATTCCCCCTGCGTGCCTGCGTCTCTCAGCAATTTTTTGCATGTATCTTAATGTATCTTCATTTCGTTTCAATGTCTAGGCTTCACCCCTCATCTCTCAACAACTTTTTGCGCTCATCCTGTTTCAATATCGAACTTTCCCTTTCCCCTATGTGCCCGTCAATTTCCTGCATCCATTTCGCTTCATGCGTAGACTTCCCCCAGTGGCCTCTCCACCACTTCTTACGTTTTTATTGTTTCAATACCGGAACTTCCCCGGCATAAACAACTTCTTGCATGCATCTTGTCTCAGTATCTAAATTCCCCCCACCCTGTGCCAGGTCAAAAAAAATGTGCACGGGATCCAGCCCAATGTGAGCGCCTATAACAGTGGAATTTCCCCCCCCACCTATGGAGGCAAGGTCCAGGAAGCAGGCGCACGGGTCCAAAAAACAGGAAACCGAGCTCAGAAACAATTAATTTGGCTGTCGAAAAAAAAACCTGGGTCCAGCACAAATACATGCAGGTCCAAAAAAAATACCCCCACAGGGTCCAGAAAACACACAAGCAAGTCCCCCACATTTTTTGTGACCCTAGGTCCAAAAAAAATTATGGTTAGGTCCAAAAAACATGTACAGGTCCAAAAAAAGGGTGCCCAGGTCCAAAAAACATGCATCCCTTAAAACATGCTAGGCCAACAATGGGATGAAATTGTTTCAAGTGAACTTTCCCATTTCAAACAACTCATTTTACTATCCTTTATATACATATTGTTTTCCCTTTTAGTATCTTTTAGGTGCAATGTGGAAAACCCAAAACCCTAAACCATCCACCATATCACCAAAAATGGGTGGGTATCAAGCAAAAAAACAGCAGGCCCCACCTTCATAGCTCCTGGTGAAGAAGAGGGGGTGTGGTGATACTTCAGTTCTGCAAGGTGGGGCCCTCTAAACGTTGCAGTGGGAGTCTTTTTTAGGAGAAAACTTCAGTGAAACCATACTGCTGGGAATGTATATGGGAGCAATGGATGCATAGTGATGGTTGGTTGATGATTATACTATATATGATACTAACATTTCAGGGGAATATGTTATGGGAATACAGTTATAACAACAATAGTTGCAAACAAACAGGGGGGTCTACTGGGTATAATGGGGCCCCAAAACAATGGGTCAGTTGCTTCAGTTCAGTTAACCGCGGCCGAAAAAGTAGATAGAACTTCAAACTCTGCTCAGATGGGTGAAGATAAATCAACAAACACAACTGGGGCACCACCTTGTTTGATACATCACCAAGTTACCCAGTGCCAAACCAACACACATCACCGGTATGGTTTGCCAAAAAACTGGAGACCCCAGGATCCAGTTGTCCTCGTATTTCCCTGTATTCTGGCTGGGGTATGGCCAGGGATGGCTTCATCCTCATGATAAAAATCTCTATCTTCATGACTCAAATCCTTATATATCCTTTTATCTGGTTGGTGGTATACCTTCCCGGCCCCTCTGAAAAATATGAAAGTCAGTTGGGATGATGAAATTCCCAATATATGGAAACATAAATTCATGTTCCAAATCACCAATCAGTTTATATATACTTTTATTATGTATTCATATGGGACAGATTTTTGGCCGAGAATTGCAATGGCCGAGAATTGATTCTACCACTGGATATGTCCCTTGTGGCGTTTGATGCGGAATGTATTCCAGGCACCTCCGATAGGATTGCAGCGACCCCAAGAAAGACAGAAAAGTAAAACCCTACTTAAAAAATGATCCAAGTACCTTCTTAGGACGTATTTGGGGTATAATTGCGTGGCTTAAGTAGCTTCTCAGAAAGTTTGGATGGGGGATAAATGCTTGTTCTACATGGAGGTTTCCTGAAATGGGGGTACCCCCCAGTCATCATCCATTTTAAATTGGGATTTTCCATGAAATAAACCATCCAGCTATTGGGGTAGCCTCCATTTATGGAAACCCCAAGTTTCAATATTTCCCCAGTAATCCATAACTATGAACTAAGCCCGAAGCCCATGTTTAGACACCTCCATGTTTACTATACAGTAACTCCCTATTTTCATGTGAATCTGCGCCTGCAGGTCGCTTGCGGCCTTGCACCTGGAACAATGTCAAAAAGTGTCACGTCTCGGACAGCACATTTTTAGCAACAGAATTCTGGAGATCACAGAAGCTAATCTAAAGTGACAAATTAGTGATTTAGATTGATTTAGATTGTTTTAGATTGATTTAGATTGATTTGGAGATTTTAATCTGCAAACAATCTCGAGAGTCAACAAGAATGATGGCAATTTAGAAGCACAATGAAAATGTCTTGGCTATGGCTCAAAGCTGCCGGCTGCCTCCTGTGTGGATGGACAATGATGGACATCTGATGGTTTCGACATGTTTCAACCCATCCGAAGAATGGCTGTGACTCGGTCCCATCGTACGGTTGATGTATGGCTATGGCTCCAATGCCTTTTTTGCGTGGTAGAATTTGACCCATAGCTGACCAAAATCGCATGAAAAACAACGGTCTTGGATTCCACCTGGGCCGTGTCCAGCAAAGGTACCAACTCGCCAGTCTTCAAGGCCTTGGGGGACTCCAAGGCCTGGTATTTAGTAAAGTAGATAACTATATAGTGTTCATGGATGTGAATGGGGGTTCCAAACCGACTGGTCTATAATTCATATTAATTCATCCCATTCTATCTCCAACTACGATTCACAACCGTTTCACCCAAATCTACCCTCCTCTTTCTTTCTGCTGCTTGATATATACATATCTAATTATATATATATATATGTATGATGTATATATATATATATATATTAATATATATATATGTGTATATATATATATATTAATATATATATATATATATATATATGTGTATATATATATATTAATATATATATATATATATATTTATATATATATATTAATATATATATTAATACATATATATATATATATATGTATACATATGTACACCCATTTATTGCCAAGATTCACTGGTATGAAACCACCCAAAGTCACCGGTTGGTCCAGAACTTTGGATCTCCAATCTTCCAACAATGGCTGTGTCTAAACATGGGCTTAGTTCATAGCTATCTGGTTGGTGGTATACCTACCCCTCTGAAAAATGATGGAGTTCGTCAGAGCGGATGATGAAATTCCCAATATATGGAAAGTCATAAAATTCATGTTCCAAACCACCACCCTAGTTTAGCGACGTTTGAAACCACCAACCAGTTATGGATTACTGGGGATATCCTGAAAAATGGCAATATACAACTCTGTCCAACTCGGGTGTGACAAAATTCTGATGGGATATGGAAACCCCAGCTAGTCATGTTGATGTCAGGAACGTGATCATCAACGAATAGACTTAAGATATCAACCAAGATTCAGGGGTGCCACATGTTCGAAACCAGGAACATTCACAGGTGGAAACAAAAATGGGGTTTTTGTCGTTGTATCCTGTCCAGCGATTTAGTGGAAACAACGAAGATCAAATGTGGGATTTTGGGTTACCAACATTTCAAACAGACAAGAGCAGGGTTCAAGACGGTCTGTGATTCGGGATTTCCCGTTCATGGATGATATAATGTCAACCCCGGATGAATCATCCATGGTTTATGAAATTTCGTCCCCCAATAGTCATGATTTGAATAGGGGTATAAAAAAAATCCAGGGTTGACATGATTGAGTGGTCGAGCCCCAAAACAAATCGTAACTACTCAACCGACAGGGTTTGGTAGCCACTGATGACCTTCAGATTTTGCAGCCAATTTCGCCCTGGCCCTGAATTGGCCCTTGGGCTTCCCCGGCCACCCTTATCTCTGACCGCTGATGATGCCGTGCAAACTTCTGCACGAGGGTGGCATTCAAAAGGCCACGGCCAACCTGGGAACGCCATGGGCTGATCACAGGTTCTTGGATTGTTATAATTCCCAGTTTGGGTAGTAGAATCATGTATAATCCCCCAACTCATCATCAACCAACCAGGGTTTTGAACACTGCTCAATTGCTTTGTAAGTGGCATACTGTATCGATTTTTGTCGATCTCGGTCGTACTTTTTTTTTGGCCCCAGTTGGAAACCACTTGGCTAATTCTGGAAACAACTCAGCAGCCAGTTCACTAGTATCATTTCCGAAACCCTGCTTAGAGGTGGTAGTGCAGCTGTAGATGGGTATGGGTCAATACCTATAGATACATTTTTAGTGGGATGAACATCCATTTACCAGCTATTTTGGGGTTCACGGCACGGTACCAGGGTTTTGACCCATCCCCAGATCTTACCTTGGTCACTATTAAAATTGTAGCCCTATTCATGATTCATACAGCCGATGTTCCCAGCCTCCAAATTCCCCTGGGGAACAAACTCCCGAACTAAAAAAGGTTGAAAACCTGGAACCCAGTGACATGCGCCCAATAATAGGTTGGTGGTACCGTGGTACCTGGCAATTAATGATGAGTATGACCGATGGTAAAGGGTATAACTGTTTAGTAACCCAGGAAAAAGGGGTAAGCCCCAAATCATCATCCCCATCTGATTTACCAAGAATTGGTTTACCACATTTACAAACAAATTCCATGTACCACTGCAACAAGTACGAGTACCATAATAAGATATAATAAGTACCATACTTATGGAAAATGGCCAGTCTGTAGTTGATTTATATACCTCTATGAAAAATATGGTGATGTTCCATATGTCAATTTTTCCCAGTCGGGTAGTTTTAAAAAATGATAAATGAATAGAAATGAGATTTTCCATCAGCATACATTGTCCTTGGGTGATCTCTAGATATCTTTAGGCAGGCACTGGAAGATGATCGAGTCCTGTGAGTTGGTCTACGACATATCACTGGCTTTTCAGTATGTGGAAACATGACAAGAAGGGTCTAAAAAGAGACCATCCAAAAATAAGGCTGTCAGGCTGTCCAGTGAGTTTTCCCTAAACCATGGAAATCATCCATAATTTGAATAATTTGCTTGATATTCTTATCGAATCTTCAAAAAGAACAGGCTCCATTTTTGGCCGCTTCGGTGCCCGGAATGGTGTCTGTTGCTGCGACTGCAGCGTGCAGCGTCGCACCGCGTTGGTTGGGTGCTGCGAATTCTGGTGCAAAATTCAGTTAAATATTGAGAGGTTCCAAGGCAAAAATTCAGCTCTTCCAAGCTTGTGAGCATGTAATTCAGATACTTTGAGGTACATACAGATACAAAATAAGATGATCATATTGGAATTGAGATTTTGATTGAATTTATCCATGTGTAAATGCATCATTATACATACAGTAATATACATACATATCATACTTATGCACAGATTCTTGATGCAAGTATATAGTGCTTTGCAAAAAAAACAAACATCAAATACTTTTCAGGCAAACCATGAGCCCTTGGAAAACAACCATAAACCAATCATCTAGTCAAACCTTGAAGATCGCACAGAGAAAATTTCACCAAATCACAAGCTTGGTCCTGTCACGGCTGTCTAATGACTGCCACGGTCGAAGAATTCTGGGTCGCGGCCGGAGCTTCTCCGCCGGACGCAAGGACGACACAACGCCTAGTACGGCGGCAAGTCCCAGGACTGGGCCAGTGACCCAGAGGCTGGCAAGGAGCCAATGGCAAGCTTACCTGATCCAAAGTGCTACACACATCATTGATATATTGATGATATAGTATATTGTTATTCTTTATGATATTGATGAGATAAATATAGCAAAACTTTTGTAGTTATTAGTTCAGCATAGTTTGACCCTTGAAAGTCGGATCTTTTTGTTGCTAACCAGCTTTAGTTCCGGAACTATGGATACTATGGCTGTGTCGCAGACTTTGGAGCCGAAAAAAGAACTATGCTTAAGAAATGGGTGTGCTTAAACAAATACGCAAAAACAAACCTACGAACAAATGTATAAACATGAAGTTGAGTGCATGTCAGACCCCAGAATCATTTTATGAGAATCTCGGGGATGCACTTGGCATCAAATCACGAGGGCTATCAGCAGGATAGATAAGATCATTTGCAAACAACTGTGTGACATGCAGGTTTCCTGATGAAATAGAGGTACCCCAACAAATCATCCATTTATAGATGGATTTTTCCTTATAAACCATCCATTTTTGGGTATCCCCATTTATGGAAACCCCCACATGCAAGAACACGTTTTGTTTTTTTTTTTGGTGTTTTTTGGACTCATGACGGGACTTGCCTAAACATATTAAAAATGACTATCTTTTTTGGGTACCCTCATCCGATGTTTGAGTTGTTCGATGGGTTTGACAATGGTCACAATATAAGAATTTCCCCTCAGAATAGATGCTTTGTGCATGGGATACATGTGTATCTACATATGTATATATATATACATATATGTATACAATTATAACTATATATATATAATCATATGTAAGTATACATATATATATATCACATATATATATATAATTATATATATGCAATATGTGTATATATCAATATATATATATATAATTATATAATATGTATCATTATTCACCCACGATGCCTCCCTCCTCTTGTAAAATTTGAGAGGAGTCCAACAATTAGGCGGTATGAAGCCAATCGCATAGATAATTATTTAGTCTACGGTATTGTCCTGTTTCATGCTATAAACCCAATGCCAAAAGCTATTCTCAATTTTGCCAACGATACAGGAAGGTCGCAATGATCATAACATGAGATAAAATGGTAATGATGTCCAATTTCCTTAAACACATATTCAAATATATCTAGATATATCTAGCATACCTTACCATACCTAATCTACTCTTCTCGTTGTTTCTTCTTTGATGTTGGATGGACGACTAGCAAAATTGGCAAGTTCCAATGCCGGCCGGACGACAGGGATTCCTGACCCGTCCGCGCCTGCCATATGGCTGCCGTAATAAATGGCCCGGCCAAAAGAATGAGAAATCGTTTGGGAAGCCGTGGGGCTCACGAACAGCGAGAGAAGCTGGTTGTTCCAAGCCCACTGGGCCCAAGTGACGCAAACATTGGACTTCCCGCATAGGTCTCTATCGTCCGTATGAGCCAAACAGCCGAGGCTGGGTTTTCATCCTTGACCCACGGTGTAATCACATTTTCTATGGCTTCGTTCGTCTTCACATTCGTATTCCCACAACCAAAGGATAGCAAAACATTCAAAACCTCTCTGCTCGTCTCTGTACAGCCCGGCTATGCCAAAGTCAAGTTCACTGTAGCTGTGCAGTATTCAAATTCTCATTTGGCCTGCCGCGGTCGCAAGTGCAGAAACCATGGATTGCCACTCTGGTCTCGGGTCTCTACAATCTCTTTCCAAAGTTTACCGTATTCAAACCAGAACCCACTGGAAAAATTGATATGAAATGCAAAGATTCCAAGATAAGAGTGATCAGATACTTATTCGCCACAAAGATCGTGGTATAAGAAATGCTCCTTCATTATTTTAGCAGAAAGTCAAGAGGAAAAACCAACTTGTATTCAATGGGTCCAAACATTCACCTATCATTGGTGGTTCAATGCTGTACCATGTGTTATTTATGTATGAATGTATGTATGAGTGTATGTGTGTATGTATGTTTGTATGTGTGTATGCGTGAATATGTGTATGTGTGTATCTGTGTATGTGTGTGTGTGTATGTGTCTGTAAGTCTGTAAGTCTGTCTGTCTGTAAGTCTGTATGTCTGTAAGTCTGTAAGTCTATCTGTATGTCTCTCTGTCTGAATGTCTGTTTGTCTGTACATCTGTACGTATGTACGGTTGTATCTATGTACGTCTGTATGTGTGTACGTGTGTACGCAGGTATGTAGCTACGATATAGGTACAGTATGCAGGTATGAAGGTATGTACGTATGTAGGTGTGAAGTTATGTAGGTATCTAGGCATGTAGCTATGTAGCTATGTAGGTAGGTAGGTAGGTCGGTCGGAAGGCAGGTAGGTTAGGGAGGTATGTATGTATTTATGCATGCATGCATGTATGTAGGGACTTAGGACTTAGGTAGGCAGGCATGTAGATATATGAGGTATGCAGGTATGTACGGTATGTAGGTATGTACTGTTTTGAGGTATGTGAGTATGCAGGGATGTATGGTATGTAAGTATGTGGGTATGCAGGGATGTATGGCGTGTAGGTAGGTGTGCAGGGATGTATTGTCTGTACATAGGTATGTATGTCTGCGTGCGTGCTTTCGTGCGCCTGTAATCTGAGGGAATCTAGAGGTTTCCTATTTTCCTGATTCATAGGGGAACCCCAACAAATCATAGTCATCATCCCATTTTACCCTCTGGTAATTTAACATAGCTATTGAAAATGGTCATGTATAGTGAGTTTTCCCATGAAAAATGGTGATTTTCCATAGTTATGTTAAATTACCAGAGGGTAGATTGGGATTTTCCATGAAATAAACCATCAGCTGGGATATAACTTGGGCTATCCCCAGGTATGGTGGAACAGCCCCTGCCATCTTTATGGCGTTCATCACAAAAAAACCGACACCTCGACACGACAATCTCCACTGGTTCTGGGAAAAACATTGGGAAAATCAGAAAAAATCAACGCATAATCAATCTGGTTGGTAGTTTTAACCATCTTGGAAAATATTTGTCAATGGGAAGGAATATCCCATTTATTATGGAAAATAAAAAATGTTCCAAACCACCAACCAGCAATGTTTACTATATATCTGAACATAGTATCACCATAATATCATATATATATATATGTCATATGTATCACCTATAACTGGTTGGTGGTTGAGCCACCTACCCCTCTGAAAAATGATGGACTTCGTCAGTTGGGAGGATGACATTCCCAACTGAATGGGAACATATAACATGTTCCAAACCACCACCCAGATTTTGGTAAACACATCCGACATATTTTTAAGAAACACAGCCCATTTCACACCAACTAATTCACCAGGCTGAAACAAAGCCATTTGGGGAGTGACGTCGCAGGGTTTGGTCGTTCTCCCAAAAGCTAGTGCCCTTTACTTGGCGAAGTTGAGAACTCAAATGACTGTCGGATATGCGGTAGATAAATCTATAAATGACATATTTTATGTAGTATATACGCGAGGGGACTGAGGTTCTCCGATGCCATCAGCTGTGTTTGAGTGTCAACATGTAAAAAAACAGCTGGCGCCTAGGTAATTTGCCACTTTTTCAATAGTGGCAACGTCCTTTTCAGCATCATGTTGAACGGATCAATTTTTTTTTGTCCGTTTTAAAGCAGAGTCATCTTGTGCCATAAATCATGTTCTCAGAAGTCAGAAATCGCATATTTTGATGTAAAATTGTGAATTTTCATCGTATAGCCATGGCGTGGTCATGTAAAATTGAGCAAATGTACTGTGTTTTCTCAGGCATTTTGCGTCATGCTACTTTTGCACTGTTATTTGCAATGAATTGGCAATGTGTAGAAAACTGACAGTCAGGCGATTTTTGTGTTTTCATTCTATATAGTACACTGTTTTCATTCTATATATCCATCTGAGATGCGTACCTGCAGCGGCTCCGGCATGATGTGTGGGTTCGAAAAAAAGAAGAAACCAATACACATATTTGTGTCAATACAAATATGTATATATATACATCAATATATATATATATATACACATCAATATATATATATATATATTTACACATATACCCGAGAGGCCGCATGCGTAGCATCAACGTAACATGAACATGACGGTAACATGCCCCACCCCACCCCACCCCTCCCATCAACGTAGCATCAACGTAACATGAACATGACGGTAACATGCCCCACCCCACCCCACCGCTTCTCCATCGGAGAACCCCAGGCCCCTCGGGTATATAAATATATATATATATACATCAACATATCTATATCTATTATATATCTATTATATGTATATATATATATTACATATTTATATATTTATGTATATGTACATATATGTATGTCACTGTAGGTCTATATATATATATTGTATTGAAATCGTGGCTATAAACCAACTACTACCCATTTCATCCCATTTCGGAAAAAAAAAAACCACCTGGTGGCGTGCCCTCAACGTGGAGCACAGGTGCTCAGCAGCGGAGGGGCCATGGTCACAGGGTCCTCAGGGGCGAAACCGCGGTGTTTTGCTCAAATAAAAACGGATTTTCATGGGAAAAGTGGGGATTTAATGGGATTTTAATGGGATTTTAATGGGATTTTAATGGGATTTTAATGGGATTTTAATGGGATATGATTTTAATGGGATTTTAATGGGATGGGCAAACGGAAAGCCCACCTAAATAGAAATGTCAATGGGAACATCATCTATCAATAAGATAAAATAGAATAGAATAAGGGATGAAAATAGAATAAGGGATGGTCCATTGCCACGTTTGATTACAGAACAGGCCACTGCGCGAGTGCGCAACTTGCATCAAATTGCAGCATTTCCTGTGCAGTGAGTTGTTTGTCTTGGTTTTGTATGCCTAGAGAGTTGATATCTGCCAATTTCTCTATGTTCACCTCCACAGCATTTCTCCTAGGCAACCATCCTACTTGTCCCAACAGATCTGCACAGAGCTGCTGGCCCAGATCTGGATTATCCCAGCTAGACTGTTGGATTGTGGATGGGTTATTTGCTACTTATCCAGAGGATGCACATCCAACAATTATCCAAGACAATCCTGTAAAAATCATATCATTTTCCCAAATATAGGCTCAATGTGGTTTCATGTTTCTTTGTCATGTTCAATGGTTTTCTTGGCCCAAATATAAATTATAAATGATACTTCTGACATGGGAACTTATACATTGGACAAGCGGTGAATAAAATTCAACATGTACATGAAACAGCAAATCATATCAAAACATACACAATTATCTCAAATTATCTCCCTGTATTTTTTGGCTGTGGTAAGTCCAGATATCAACTTTCACAAAGGCGCTTTCCATGGCAGGTGCTCTGCAGCTTGGATCGCCGTGTTTTTTTATCCATTTCCAGACACACCTTTAAATGGAAAGCACTGTAGTTGGACGATGTAGTTAATAATTATTAGTTATAGAACTATATCACACATATATATATGTACCACATATATATATATATGTACATATTCTCAATCTTATAAATCCGCATTGTACTTGCACTTAACCCCTCATTCTTCGTGATATCCCATATCTGCTCCAAGTGGCGACTTGACGCATCGGTCGCACCTTTGCCGGGGTATCCGTCAGCCTGGGCATTTTTTGTGCGCTGGGGGATCATATACCAATTTCATCCAATTTCTGTGTTGATGGAGGGTGGGCAGTTATCTATTGAATCATATCTGGTTGGTGGTTTCAACCCCTCTGAAAAATATTAGTCAACGGGAAGGATTATTCCCAATATATGGGAAAAAAATGTTCCAAACCACCAATCAGATATTGAATCTATTGGGAATGAGGCCGTGTCCAACATAGAGACCTACCAGATCGACCAGCCATACATTGGGCGCTTTGGCAGGGGGGTTGAAAAAACAACCTGCCGCTGAGGGATCACTCCTTTAAAGGGAGCCTTCATAATGACCCGAGGTACCCTCTGGTTATTTAACATAGCTATTGAAAATGGCCATCTATAGTGGATTTTCCCATCAAAAATGGTGATTTTCCATAGCTATGTTAGTTCACCAGAGGGTAAGACACATGGTGATTGCGCAATCACTTGATGGTCCAATCTCCGCGGGTTCTATCCCGCAGATTTTTTTCGGGCAAAACGCGGAAATCATCTTCTATCCCCCGGCTGTCTTGGTGCTACTCAAATAGTCCCGTCTTCATGAGAATTATCGAGAATTATCCGGGATTCTCTAATGCGGCTTGCTGTACCTCAATTTATGGTACTTATGATATTTTTTTGCGGAATATTATATGAGTTCTGCTGAGACGTAAGATATCTGGTGAGTTTCGAAACCATCAGATTGTTCTCTTGGGGATCCACATCAATCAACAAACAAATTACTAAAACACCAAATATGATATCATATGATATCTAGTATTAGTTCATTTCACATGTATTTAATATTCATCAATTTAAGATGCGTGAAAATACTTTTTTTCCGCACCCACATCCCATGACGGATCCATGGTGCTGCTATATTATTAGGTGATTCATGGATCCCATCAATATACCCCCCGAGCGACAACAAGGCTTGGCAGTGCGGATCAAGGCGGGCTTCCTCCGGTGAGGGACGACGAAGCTCACGAAAAGGAGGTGTACAGCTGGACAGATTAATGTAAAGCTATATGTTTTTAATATAAAAATGGCATATATCTATATATATAATATATGTATATATATATATATGTAAATCAATGGCCAAGAATTGGTAGATGTTGGTGTACTTGGACATCTTGGACGTAATTAGATGTAAGACTGGATGTAATTGGGGATGTAATTGGATGGAAAAAAAAGGTGTAATTAGCAAATTAGATCAAGTTAGCCACTTGGCAGTGTGTCAAAACCTTGTACCCCTGTAGTTCACATCAAAATAGCTGGTAAATGGATGTTCATTCCCCTAAAAATGGTATTAATAGGTATTGATCCATAGCCACTTCAGGATCATTTGTTCTTCCGCCTTCAGCCTGAGCAGATTGGGTCACACGCCCGGCTCGCCGCTCACGAAAAACTGAAGACACCACCCGAAATTGGTCCAGTAATGTCAAGTAAGCCAAGGTTTCCAGGGCTGTCTTACCTGTGTGTACACCATGCTGGAGCACAGTTTTTGCATGGAACAAGAGGCTTGTGTGGCCCCCCAAAAAAAACGCATGGCACAGTTTCGTTTGGGGGGAACTTTTGTGTGACACAATCTCTTGTCTTTCTAATTGCATATTGTGGGCGCTGATGATACTCTGATCCGATTTGAGAAAACCGTTGATCTTGGTTGGCAGTCCCTCACTTCTTTCAGGGGGAAGAGTGCGAAGATTTCATGAAGTTCACTGGAACATGTACCCCAAGATTGTCCTGTGGCAGAGGCACTTTGACAGGTAGTCCCTCCAAAGATTGGCCCCTGCGCAGTGGGGCGATCAAACACGACAAGTGACAAGTACAGATCCGAAGCCGCACATGTTGAGAGACATGAAAGCTGTCAATGGCCTGTCAATTGCCTTAACTTCACCATACTTTTGCGATGGTGAAACAGAAACTTTGCTGTTCATGACCCAAAAAAGGTTGATATCTGAAAACTTCCCCCATGGTGCCTGCTGCTGATAGGCTGTCTCATGGAAGTGCGCTGCATATTCCTTGGGACATGCCAGAAGTGGTCATCTGATCTCATCTGCCATTTTTCTTGGTGAAATTCCCATTTGTGCTCTGGTTCCCATTCTTGTTCATCTCCATTCCTCATTGAAAATGAGTTAACACCCAACATTTTGCTACTGAAATCCCAAGTTTTTGTTGCTTGGCACCAGCTGAATTGAAACATCACCGGGACCCCGGGCATGTTGCGAGCCGCAGCCGGAAACAATCCTGCTGGCAATGGGGAAGTCCAGCAGCGGAAAAACTCATGTTTCATGGGAACATATAAGAACCTAATCTGCAAATCATCTACAAATCATCTACACATGAGGAATTTTCCAGTGCCATGTTTGCGCAATGGAGCCATGACCCCAGCAAATTGCTCCTGGCTACTGTTGAAGCCTCTTGCACCATGAAAAACCGGGCTTGGGAGCGTAATGATTTCCAAGAAGTGTGTATGTCATATCAATATCCAAAAATGGAACATTCCATAACATTCCACAAATGGCCCGCCCAAGGGGTCTATTTCAGGAAGGAGATCAAGTGCTGGATACTTCTTGATTTCTAGATATTCAAGTCCTACAAGATTGGTGTCATGATATAGGTATCTATATTTTTTACTATTTTTTCAGCTACACCCAGCCCATTTCCAGACCCACACAACTAGCATTCAAACTATTACCCTCTGGTAATTTAACATAGCTATTGAAAATGACCATTTATAGTGAAGTTTCCCATTAAAAATGGTGATTTTCCATAGTTATGTTAGTTTACCATAGGGTAACTTTGATGTTTGCAACCTCAGAATCTGGGGATTTTCTGGGTGAGAAAAAATGGTTTCAGACCAGGATTCATTGGGTGGTGAAATCATCCAAGCACCGCCATCCTTTTCGGTCATCCCGAGCAATGGATCATCACATTCGTCGGTTTTGCTCAGTGAATCTCCAACTGGTGATGCTTCACAGGTTTCATATCTGGTTAATGATGGTTTTCATATACTGTTAATCATGGTGAAAATACCATGGTTATTATATGGCTGGTTAATGATGGTTAATAATAATGACTGGTTGGTGGTTGAGCCACCTACCCCTCTGAAAAATCATGGAGTGAGTTCGTCAGTTGGGATGATTTTCCATTCCCAACTGAATGGGACAATAAATTCATGTTCCAGTCACCACCAATCAGATTATATATGGATTATAAACCAATATAACCCCCATTTACTAGTTCGTTATATCTACAATAAACCATAGAATTCAGCCAGTTATACCCTCTGGTAAACCAATCAGAAACCACAAACCATCGCTATGTCTCGGTTCAATGAAAATCGCGGTCAGCTAGAGAAAAAATGTGCATCCATTCTAGATGCTTCAGTGACCATGGTTGTTCATGAGGCAAACGCAATAAATTTACAAGCCACTTGCGTGGCTTGGTGACTGGGTAGCCCTAGCAATGGGATGATTGGTGACGACGCTTTAGTATTGGGTTGACTGGTTTAGTATGGGATAGGATTGGATAATACTGGGATAATGGGAGAATAATTTTGATGACCCATCTCCAATAGGTCAATAGGAGGTTTATGGCATGTTTCCGGTACCCCTATTTGCTATTCCAGCCAGGTTCCCTGGGCAATTGTCTCAACAAAAAACAACAGCAACCCATCCTTTGCCGGCACCAACAGCATCGCTTGGCATTATATATACTCCCATGCTTGGTGAGTAAATGAATCCTCCATTCAAATTTCCCATAAAATTCAGTGTCAACCAACCATCATTGTACATCCCACCACAAGAACCATCCCCACTAATCTCCGGGATCAATCCCATTTTTGCAACATCCCATGTATTGACGACCAAACGAGCGCAATACATTCCATTGATCCCACACACGTCCCATATTGCCAGGGGAACCATATAGTCAATATACTTAAGCATGTATCAATATCCAGTATAGTCAATGGGACACTAAATGTAAGTTACTATAGTTCAGCATTTTATACTTCATATCCCATTAACTCTATATTTTAACTTCCATATGCCAAAGAAAACATGGGATACACTTCACTTGAGCAGTTTTCAAAATCCCTCTTCGTCATTCCATTATATTGGTCGGTTCATAGGGATTCCCCTATTGGCTTATTTGAGTCCCCAATATATTGGGTAGTTTTTTTTAAAAAAAATTCCCCTTTTGAAAATCTGAATGATCAACCAACAAGGGTGTGGTATATATTGGGTAGTTTTTTTTAATCCCCCATGAACATCTTAATCTGGTTGGTGGTTTCAACCTACCCCTCTGAAAAATGATGGAGTGAAAGTCAGTTGGGATGATGACATTCCCAATATATGGAAAGTCATAAAATTCATGATCCAAACCACCAACCAGATTATATATGGATTATAAACCAATATAACCCCCATTTACTAGTTCGTTATATCTACCATAAACCATAGAATTCAGCCAGTTATACCCTCTGGTAAACCAACAATTACCCCCCTTTACCTCCCAATATGGCTATCAGCCTCTTGGAATCATGGGGAAAATCCATGAAAATCCTCCAGTCACTGATCCATGACTGAAGAACCCCCATAGCCTCTGGTAATTTGTTACATAGCTATTGAACATGGCCCAGTCGAAATAGTTGATTGTCCCATAAAAAAAATAGTTCATGATCAACCAACAAGTTACCAGATATTTCTTATTAAACTATATTAAATGTTATATAACTATACTATAGTTGGTTAGATATCCCATGATTTCTATCCCCATGTTATATCCCAACAAGTTCACACTGATCTCCTGGTGGTGATCCGATGCTCTTGGCTGAGGGAACAGGCTCTCCTGGCCAGGAAAAACGCTCAGAAAATACGACCCTTAAAAAGATGCAGTGACCATTGTAAGAAAACATCATAGATACCACTATAAATCACTATATATGTATAGTATTATATAACTATATCTATATAGTAATATATAGCTATATAACTATATAGTATTGTATAACTATACACAATGTATATATATATATATATACATATATAACATATATAACATGGTATTCTCATAGGACCAGCGCGGGCACCGTGGCCGCCTGGACACCAAGATGGTGGGCCACCTGCGGAAGGATCCACCTGCGGAAGGAGCCGTGCGCATAAATAGCCCGTTGTAATTAATGGTGAATAATTAGGTGAATAATGGCAAGGTGGTGCCCCATAGTTAGCTAAGTTGGTTTATAACTCCCATAACTATGGATTATGGCAGATATAACTATAGTTACTGGGGTTTATAAACCAACAAACATCACTGGGGGGCACCATACTGGGTGAATAATGGTGAATAATTAATGGTGAATAATGGTGAACAATGGTGAATAATGGTGAATAATTAATCGTTTTAATTGTGAATAAAGGTGAATAATTAATGGTGAATAGTGGTGAACAATGGTGAACAATGGTGAAAAATGGTGAAACAATGTTTATATGGAGGTTTCCTAAAATAGGGCTACCCCAAATGGATGATTTACAATGGAAAATCCTACTAAAGTGGATGATTTGGGGGTACCCCCATTTTAAGAAACCTCCATATGTCATATTCCATCATATTCCATCACGATTATGAAAAATAATATTCGATGGTTGAATTCCAAATTTGGGTTTTATTTGCTAATTCGTATTAGGTAAAGAACGGTAAATACCTACTTATACAGGGGTTGGTAAATGTCCGTAACTATGGAAATAATGGGTAAATCCACTATAAATGGCCATTTTCGCTATGTTCAATTACCAGGTACGTTTTCAAGTGACACAAATCAAGCCATGAGACAAAAAAACCAAAGCCTGTAGTTTGTTTCCCAATTTCGGTGGACTCCTGGTGAAAAGCTGCTCCCTCTTCAAATCCCTCCCTGTTTCACCCTCAATGTCTCCTGTTGAAATCTCGAAATTTCCCTATTTAAATTGCAATTATCATCGCTTAAATCCAATTCATAAATCTCAGTTCCTGTCGAAATCTCAATCTTCACTGTATAAATCTCAATGTTCCGTGCTTAAAATCCCATGCTTAAATGTCTTGAATCCAAATTTTCCATGTCTAAGTATGCTTAACTCCCAATTTCCCCTGTTTTAACCCTTCCCCTGCTCTAAGCCACATTTTCCCATGACAAAATCCTCCGTTCTCACCACGGCATCCCACGGCACTGTCGGGACCTGCTTCGGCACTGTCGGGCGCTCGAGAGGTGGTGGTGGCGGCATCCCTCGCGGCCTATCGGACGTTCTGAAGCTTTGGAGATCAACAAACAGAAGTATTCACCATCATTCACCATTGAGTATTACCCTCTGGTTATTTAACATAGCCATGGAAAATCACAATTTTTAATAGGTAAACCATCTATAAATGGTGCATTTTCCATGGCTATGTTAGTCATAACCAGAGGGTAGGTGAATTATTAGGTGAATAATGGTGAATACTAAATGGCTCAAAACATGAACATCTTAATCTGGGTAGTTTTTTTTAATCCCCCATGAACATCTTAATCTGCTTGGTGGTTGACCTACCCCCCAGAAAAATGATGGAGTGAAAGTCAGATTGGATCATCATCCCAACTATTGGGGACAATAAAAAATGTTCCAAATCACCAACCAGGCTCACATTTTTGCTGCTAAATTATGATAATTAGACGTTTTAAAGGATCTAAGAATTCGAAAGGGACCAATATTTGGAGATGTGGCCTGGAATTGCAGGGGGAAACCAGCTCGAATGAACCGGTACAGTAGTTGACCACAAAATAAATGCCCACCTTGGGCCTTGGGGTGACAGGGGATTTGATCATCTCCAACTGGACGGCGAAATCTGACCTACCCTCTGGTAATTTGTTACATAGCTATTGAAAATGGTGATGTATAGTCTGTATAGTGAGTTTTCCCATAAAAAATGGTGACTTTCCATAGTTATGTTAGTTTACCAGAGGGTATACGCAAATCTAGGCGTTGGAACAACATCCCAACTTTTGCTTTTCTCTGCAAATACAAAACCTGAACTTGACTAGAGCGATATGTAATATAAGTGGTTTCTTAAGTTTGGAGTACTCAATGGTAATTTAACATAGTGTAACATAGCTATTAAACAAATTGCCTATTTAGACGATTTATCCATGAAAAAAATGATTTTCCATATTGTTTTTTGTATGTTTAGAGGCTATCCCACACCAGCTGCATGAAGTCCTCCCGCTAACTGCCATCGTCGTAACTGCAAAGTCGACCTGCACCAGACATCACCGACTCATGGCGGAAATGGGGCACCAGCAAATTTCACGGTGTATTTCCATATACCCTCTGGTAATTTAACGTAGCTATTGAAAATGACCATTAATAGTGGATTTTCCCATTAAAAATGGTGATTTTCAATAGCTATTTTGACATAACCAGAGGGTATGTTCCATGTATTTCCATCATGTTCCCCATGGTGTCCATCATAGTTTCCATAGTTTCCATATTGGAGCAAAATCACCATGTCTGGACAAAGCCATAAACCACAAACACGACTCTCAGATATACAAACATAGTCCTTCAGTATGTTGCCTTGTGAAGCTGACCGTAGTCAACTTTCATATCAGCCATCTTTGACGTGAACGCTGCATCTGGTCCCCAATTCTAGCTGATAAAACCGTGGAAAATCCATGGGATCAACTCTTTGGGTCCCCCCCCAGCGCCTGGCTTGAACCTGCTGCGAGCGGTGTCTCGTGACACAAATTGCTGGCTCGGTGATTTTAGGGAAAAAATTGGAACATGTTTTTCTACATACATGTCAGTAGATGATTGATCCCATCATAATCCTCTTATTGAATGATATCTATATTATTATACTATAAATCCAATCTTTTTTTTCACTCGAAAGCAGCCATTCCCACAGTCCCTGACCTTGAGAATTGCGCCTGGCGCGGTCACAATGCAGAAGTCCACATGGCCGGAAAATCCCAGATGGTTCAATGGTTTAATGATGGTGATCCAAACAGCCACAAAAAAAAGCATTGATTAGAGGAAGACCTCCGACATGACACAACCGACTCATCCAGTTCCACAAAGGATCTCTGGTTCAAAAAATACCGTGCCGCCATTCCATCCATGGATATCTCTCAAATAACGCGCTAACGATAGTTCAACCAAACTCAAGCAGAACCAAATTGGATATATGTTTTGATGTATATACATACCTGAAGCACCATTTGGTACACAAGGTTTTTGTAATACTGTAGGCACACACACCAAGAGCGAAATTGGATGCCCCTATGAACTAGACACACAAGGGAGGGATGCACATATAACAGGCCCACAATAAGACCTCAATACTTCAAATGCCTGGCTGGGTTGGCTGGGTTGGCTGGTCGTTCAAGATTCCAATCTAGCTTTAAAAGTGCCCGAAAAACAGTTTTCGCTCGCATGGTCTAAAAGGGGCCAAAAGCCAGAAAAGTGCTCGCACCTCCAAAAAGTGTATCAAAGCCCAATTGAGCATAGATTTGTGTACCAATTGGTCCTTGAGGTATATATACAGTATATATACATATCACATTATATCATCATTGCAGAGCCAATATATTTTATCATTTTATATTATATTATATTATATATTATACTGTATCATATTATATTGAATCAAATTAAATTATATTATCTTATGTTATGTTAAACTAAATCATATGATACAATATAACTCAACATAATATTGTATTATATTATATCATATTGTATCATATTATATCAAATCATATTGTATAATATTAATATATAATTGAACCATATTATATACATATGTACATTAAAATAACTATATTATATTATATTGAATTATATATGATATTATATCATACCATGTTATATTGTAAAACTGTTAAAACATATTAAATTAGATTATATCATATTATATTATATAATGTTATATCATATTAAATTATGTTATATTATATTATGTTATATAATTTTATATGTTATCTCATATTAAATTATGTTATATCATGTTATACTATATGATATATTATTATAATAATAATAATTATTATTATATTATATATATAATACAACATAATAACATAATGAGATTGTATTAAAATATATTTTATTCTATTATAGTGCATCATATATTCTAAATATTCACTATTATATACGTTATATTAACTATTATATTCACTCTGGTAAGGCCAGTTTCATATCACCATGACTAATGTGAAACAGTTACAAGTCTTGCCGTTGGTTGTATTCATCCTGCTATATCCCACCGTATTCCGTTACATCCCCATAACTTGCTCCGTGTAATCTGTCGTTCCTAGTCAAAAACAAATCCAGAGGTTGCTCCAAATACCCTGGGTGCAAGGGGGGTAAATTCGGTAAATAAAGAGGTCAAATTACTGGTTGGTGGTATACCTACCCATCTGAAAAATATGACTTCGTCAGTTGGGATTATTATGGATTCTTATTCCCAATCTATGGAAAGTCATAAAATTCATGTTCCAAACCACCAACCAGATTATATATGGATTATAAACCAATATAACCACCATTTACTAGTTCGTTATATCTACCATAAACCATAGAATTCAGCCAGTTATACCCTCTGGTAAACTAACAATTACCTCCCTTTACCTCCCAATATGGCTATCAGCCTCTTGGAATCATGGGGAAAATCCATGAAAATCCTCCAGTCACTGATCCATGACTGAAGAACCCCCATAGCCTCTGGTAATTTGTTACATAGCTATTAAACATGGCCATAGAAATAGTTGATTTTCCTATTAAAAATAGTGATTTTCCATTGTTTTTTGTATGTTTACCAGAGGGTATATCAATTGGATTAAATTGACATTTGGTAAACCATCATTTCCCATTGACCAAGCCATGATTTTCCCAGCAACAAAAACCGCTTGCCTTAGGCGCTCGGAACCTGACGGTCACATCATGTCTTGAAAATGGGGATTGTAATGTAATTCATGGTGGCTAAGTGATATCTTAGCTTAAATTTGGGATGATGTGGATTCACACTTGCAGTATTATCCAAATACATCCAAATCATTTAAGTCATTCATGAGCACAGATATATTATCAGATACACTAACAAGAATAAGAAACGCTCAGCAAGTAAAACTAACTATTTAAGTAGGAAACTAGGAAACGCACCAAAACATGTCAAAGATCCTAACATGCCCAGTGGAATGCCCAACATCTGGGTGTATAGCAGACCAATTTGAGGTATCGACAGGGTCTGTTTACCCCTTTGGTAACCATTAACATTTGTGGGCAACAAATTTCGCCAATGCAGCAGGGATAAACACTATCTGGCACCTGTTTATAAACATTATAACACTATCAACACTATAAACACGATCAACATCTATAAGTAAACACTACTAGTAGATTCGTGGATATTTGTTTGATAAACGTTTCAGTTGTATTTTAGCCGTATCACGGGCCCGTGGCGCCTGTCTCTGAGCCACTGCTAGGCTCAGTGGTGTCGTCCTCACAGAAACCAAGGCCATGGGAAAATCATGACTGTTTAACCATATTGAGACAGTATATATATATAACGTAATGGTTATATATATATATATGTATGAACATATATGATATAAATGGACATCATATAACTTGATACACGACATACCTAACCAATTCCAGAGGTCCAATCTGGATGCGTTTGATTATCCCCTGACACTTGTAACAACCACATGATAGGAGGATGTATATATATATATATATACACATATATCATAATATTATATATATATACTCCATTAGCCCGCAGTAAACTATACAATAACTATGGAACATGGCGCATTTATAGATGATTTACCCATTAAACATGATGATTTCCCTATTTAACATAGTAATTTTCCAAAGGAAAACTTGTGTTTCTTGTTTCCCAGCGTGGCGTCATCCCGCCTCGTAGCTGTGCTCTTTGTGGGCCGGAAGCCTGCGAGAAGCTGCGTCGCGAGCGTTTGTGTCTCTGGGTTGTGTCCCCTCCCAGAGAACACCTGGTATGAGCATATGTCTATATATATATATATACACACATCATCATCCTGAAGTAGCTAGAACATGATAGAATGTGACATGTTCGAACATCTTCCCATATATTCATGATGATTTTTGAGAATTCCATTTTCCATCTAGTCCAGGATGACTATATATAATATAATTATATATAATTATACATATATATATATATATACGTACATAAATACATACAGTTGAGTGATCAAGTAAGAGGCAGTCATTATACGACAAAAATAGCATCTGGTAGTCTACCATAGCCATGGAGAATCACCATTCGTAGTAGGTGCCATTCATCTACAAAGGTGCCATTCTCATCCATTTTCCATGGCTAGATGAACAGAAAAATACCAATAGTTCCAACGTGCCAGGACTGATATCATGCTGTGATACCAACCTGGGAGACACGGCTGACCTTCCAAACAGTGTCCTTGGCTTCCCCACTTCTCAAAATCTCGTAGCTGCATCATCTCGAGCGGATAGAGTCACAGCGGGGCCGACCGAAGAGTCGGAAGACTACTGATTTGTCAGAAACCTTCCTGGCTGCGGAGGAATGCTTATGTGAGTGTAAATTTCTTCATGAATTGGATCAGCTTTTTAATCAACGCATCCATTTTGGGAGCGACGTGAAGGGGCCATTCATCACGACTGATCACCTCATCATTCGCATGTAGAAGTATCTAAGATCTATCACCGACCAACCATCTGTCACCCTTCATGATCATTGAACAAGCATCATGAACATCATGAACATCATGAACATCATGAACATCATGAACATCATGAACATCATGAACATCATGATGATGATGATGATCATCATCATCATCATTCTTATTGTTATCATTGCTTTCATTGATATGACTATGATTATGATTATGTTCATGATTATGTTGCTACTGCTGCTGATGATGATCATTAAACTATCATCGTCAGGCCACTTCACCATTTGATTTATGCATATATATATAATTATATATATATATATGTAGATGATATATATATACATATTTATACATGATGTATATATATATGTACAAATTATATAGTAGCCAGATATTTTGGATGAACACAATATCCTCGATTTAGACTCCCAAGAGCACAGCGTATGTTGTTTTTGCATCCAGTGACCTTCAAAGTACTTGTAAAGATCTGTTAAAGGCACCAAAGTTTTCGGAGTAAACACGCCCATTTCTATGAGGCATGCGGGTCGAACTACATGCGGGTCGAGCTAGCTGCGTGTTTCTTCACACATGAGGTAATGCGTACATACGTTCCTGCAAACTATATTAAAAACATATACTGTATATTACATACATACATATATATATAATAAGTTACAGTTTAAATTAATTATATATTCATACTTACATATATCGATATATCCAAATATATAAATATATATATATATAATAGATTTGAACTGGGAGACACCGCACAAATAAGCGAACAACAGGAACGGCTGAGGTTTCCAGCTGGGCCACCGAGCCGAGATCACCGGACTGTAGCCACGTTCGGCCAACCTGGGCATCCCATAGGATCTGTGCATCCAATAGCTCCAACAGGACTACAGGATGGGGCCCCCCAGTGATGTTTGTGGATTTATAAAGCATGAAATAACCCCTATTAACTAGTTCGTTATATCTACCATAAAGCCACTGAAATAAGGCAACTGAACGCTATCTTCTCGGCCCCATCCTGTATGTTTTTTTTTTTTTTATGGTGTTATATCCCATAGGATCCATGTATGCTATATATGGTGCTCCATGGATCCCATCAATATACCCCCTTTATGTTTGTTAGCATATATACCAGCACCATGGATCCTATGGGTATGGATTTATATGATTTTTATTAATGTGTTTTATGGTTTTATACGGTTTTATATAATGCGTTGTTAAAAAATATTTCATAATGTTTTATATGTTCTTTTTTCAATGATTTTATCCTATCTCATAACACCCGAAATGAATGAATCCAAATAAACGATTCTGAACGATGAAATTGTAATTTGATGCAAATCGGGTTTCATGTACCCTCTGGTAAACTAACATAACTATGGAAAATCACCATGTTTAATGGGAAAACTCATTATAAATGGCCATTTTCAATAGCTACGTTAAATTACCAGAGGGTACCGGAAATTCCATGGGATTTCCGTTGTGTCCAACATATGGGATGACCCCCACCGATCACGATCACAACGCAGCCGATTTCCGAGCAGCAGCAACGGCAATTGAGGTCCATCACCAAAGACCAGCGCGGCAGCACGGCATCCGGGTGGAATCTGTGCCAGGCAAAAACCCACGGGGTGGAGCTGAATTTCCACAGCTGGATGCTGAACCCAAAAACTGGTTATTTAACATAGCCATGGAAAATCCCCAAAATAAATGGAGGTTTTAATGGGAAAATCATCTATAAATGGGCAATATGTGGTTAATATACTGTTAATAAAATGGTTAATATGATGGTTAGAAAATATGGTTCATGATGGTTAATGGTTTTCATGATGATCTGGTTGGTGGTTTTTCGCCAGCCCTCTGAAAAATGATGGAGTTCGTCAAATGGGATGATGAAATTCCCAACTGAATGGACAAATAAAAGCCCATGTTCCAAACCACCAACCAATGATGTAGGATATATGAGATACATAGCTTGTTGAGATGGCAGCGGTGGCAATTTTTCTAGCCAGCCTTCAGATGAAACCAAATGTTTCAGTTTAGTGAATTCCTACTGTGAATGGTTGCGAAATCCCGCACCACCTTGCATGGTTGAAACCCTACAAATATATAATGGGATAAACATGGATAAACCATCAACTGGTGGATTTCACTGGCCCATCCACAATTTCAGAGTTCAATGCATCTTGGTTCGCTTGGTTCGTTCTTCAAGACTTCGGTAGGACAAGAGTTGAGTCCACGTGTTATGTCCGGGTTTTTCTGCGCGGGTCATAAAGATCGGGGGGACCCTGTCAGACTTCCAAAAGTGGATCACCGTTGATCCCGATGCAGTGCAAATGAGTGTTGACACCATTTTTCCAAATACCAATTGGATAAATATGTTTGGATAATATATCATTGATAATGTATCATTGATAATATATCATTTTCAACATATAATTGAATCAATGATAATATTTTTGACGGCACCGAAATCGCTCGCCAAATCATTATACTTCACCACGCTTCCCTAAACAGAAGTACCAGTCAATGTCTGTGTGGAGGTTATGTCGTTCATTGAGGTCTTAACTTTCCAATCAAAATAATACCGGCATGATTAGCCCATTAACCCATGATTTTGGGATGCATTGATTTATTTGGATTCTTCCTAAGTCAAAGTAGAATCAATATGATAGGATAAGTGATCATTGATAGTGATGATTTGAAAGGACTTGTACAGTATTGCCCCGGAGGCCATAGAAAAACAAAAAACAGTAGATCCAGGATGATAGCAAAATCAACACTTTTTATACCCCCCAAACATAGCATGGAACCCACACATGGTCGATGGAAGATCATTCTACTATTGGATATGGGCGTATCTGAAAATAGCACCCCAACGGCTATTCTAATAGAAAACATGACCATAAACCACCAAATATTGATGTAGTTTGTTTTCAAACAAACCCATATGTGCCAGGGTCAAAACATGGGCATGGTGATCCCACCATCATTTAGGGTTTCCTTACATTGAGTAACTATATAGATCCCTGTGAAAATGGAATTTATCTTTCCCATTTTGACCATGGCACATATGGGCTTGACTGAAAATAGGATACCAATACCCTAAAATTTGTTAGTTCGCCATCATTTTCCCTATCAAGATTTCAGACGTTAACCGAGATAAATTGATCGTTTTTGAGATCCATTCATCTTTACATGCCCATTAGTTCAATGATTTTCCGATTAAAAACCTCCATTAGTTCGATGATTTTCTTATCTTTTCCTATATTTGTTCCCGCGTTTTTTCAACGCTTGGGCGTGTCCCAGTCCGGAGCGGGCTCGCCCCGGCACTCGCCAGACCTCCATGATCTCCATGTGCCAGTCCGTCATCCCCAGGCGGCGGCGGGCTGTGCCCGCATGCAGGCCACACCTGGAATTCCATGGGAAGAAATGAAATATATATATATATATACCCTCTGGTAAACTAACATAACTATGGAAAATCACCATTTTTAATGGGAAAACTCACTATAAATGGCCATGTTCAATAGCTATGTTAAATTACCAACGGGTATATATGTGTGTATATATATACATGTGTGTATACTATATACTATATACTACATATACTTAATAGGAAATTCCATATCCCATGACGGATCCATGGTGCTGGTATATATGCTAACATTCATAGGGGGTATATTGATGGGATCCATGTTACCATATATTATATAGCATACATGGATCCTATGGGTATGAAATTCCCATCAGATACTATGAAATTACTATGAAATTACTAATGAAATTCCCAGAAAAGCACAAGAAAAAATGATGGGATACTCTAGAAGATCATTCACCATATGAAAGGGCTGTTTTTCTAGAGTATTCACATCAAGTATGATCAAATTTGGCTGGTTGAATGGTAGAATCTAGAACGGAAATCAATTAGGAGAATGAATTTTTGATTGGAACATTAATAACTTAACATAATATAACCATACTGGATAGAGTAAATTATAAGCACTAAGAATTCACCCTGAAAACTTGGGCCATTTGGAGATCCATATGGATGAACTTGAGCGTAGGTCTTCATTGCAGACCAGATGTCATGCATCGCCGGAGTCTCCGAATCACTTGGCAAAAGGTCCGCAGACCGAAGTATCTTCAGAACAGCAGGTGTGGATTTACCACCTGGTTGCCAGCGTCCAGGACAGGAATCTGATAGGAAGGCTGTTCTCAGCTTTGCAGCCGCCCCAGATGTTGTCTCATGCGCATCCAAGTTTCCGCAGTTGCACCTTGTTGGCAGCGGCATTCCAGAAGCAAGTCAACGCCTCGGTAAAGTCAGTGTTCCAAGAGTCATCAAGATAGCCGAGCTTGCGCAAGGATTTCGCAACCAAATCTTTAGAATCCCATAACATGAATGGACCTCCGCCTCGAAAATTCTCCATACGGTCCATACGAGCTTGCTGCCGAAAGTTTTGATATTGGACTTGCTGACTCTACCTGATCTGGACGGGAAGAAAAATGCTAGGTCTTGCGTTTTCGAGATCCATTTCCGAGATTCTTGCCGAATAGCATGGTCCAAAGATAAAACAGCAAAAGGCAAGGGGAAAATGGTCAATGAACCCAAACCATTCGTAAACCAGAATTTGGAAATTCTTTGAATTGGATATGCACCAGACGATGAGAATGAAGCTGTACAAATTTGGTCCTTCAACAGGCTCTCAAATGAGTCGTACACTCCCTCAGTGTGAGAACGTTTGGCCACTGAATCAAAGGCTTCCCCAAACTCAACTGTTCCTTGGCCATCAGAGCGGAGAAGTGCTCTAATCTTCGTGAATCTTCCCTCAGGAAGCAGGGCATCAATCTTTTGGCTATGCCTGCTTTTGGAAGGCATAGCCAAAAGAGGGATGCCCTGCTTCCTGTAAAAATTCACCACTGATGTACTCCGATTGGACACGAAAACGAAAAATTGCCGCTTCTGGGAATGACATCCTTAATGGCACTGGCAAAGCCCTTGTCATTGGTCAACAAAGCTATGCACTCACTGCTTGGGGACTTGGCACTCTCTAGCATTTCAGCGATGATAGCATCATCATTCGGCTCTGCTGCATGATTCTTTGAACGTGGAACTGGAACGAAGGAAATATCAGGCTGCTGCAATAGCACTCTCATCTTCTTGTTATTGATGCGTCCCGGGGCCGCATAAATAAGCGCGTGTAAATGAGTAGACTTCTCAGCCAAAAATGCCACTGCGTCACGGATCTGACTGCAGCCAAAGTGGTCCCCATCCACTAAGAGTTTGATCTTTCTGACCTCAAAAGGCAACGAATCACCCTTTTGCACCCGAAGTCGACGACTCTTGGCCCATCGCTTCATGCATATTGCGGGGACGAGAAATGCAACCCATCGAGACGCATATGGACGATCGCTTTTCCAAGTCCTAATCCGATTGCCATGTTTAACACACATAGATTTTGAATGGTTTTGACACCGTGAGAAATTGGCTGACTGGCCAACGCGCCAGCTTTGTTGCCACAACAATAAATGTTTTCAGAGACGGTTGATGACGTCTGTGAGGTAAGCCGACAGGGTCTGATGACAAGCTATTGATTTCCAGGATGCGTTTAGCTTCTGATCTAATCCTATCCCAGATCATGCATGTATATGAGATCAAATGTAGGTACACCATGCATCGGTCGGTACGTTCTATACGTCAGTCTACCAAACATTATATATGTAGATCGTTGGTGAGGACCGCTAGATAGTGCTTGATAGGCAAGTTGGTTTATAACTCGGCTAGCTGGGGTTTATGATTCTGTGGAGCTGGTGGATCTATTCACAGATGGGTTTATTATCCATCAAACATATGTGGAGCAAGCCGACCTTGATCCCGTCACTTTCCTACTTCTCCAGGTGGTTTTCCAACTAATCTTCCAAACAAGCAAGTTCGTCTGTGTATATATATATATATAATTATATATATATATGTATCTATATATACAGTATAATGTACAACCAACGTGGCAGCTGTGAAGACCCAAAATACATCAAAATACCGTCGTCGAATTCCGGATTCCCAAGGATGGTTTTCTCTAACGGCGGAACCCTGAAATTCCATGGTTTATTATGCTTTATTATCATCTTCCCCATCTTCAATCGTGCCTCTCAGCGTGTCATGTCATGGGTCCGATTACCTGGAACCCCCTGGTAAACGTTGACATCACGAACTGGAAAGATCCACCATTTTTCATGGGAAAAACACAGTTTTTAATGGGACAATCAATTTTTTTTAATGGGGAAAACACAATTTTTAATGGGACAAATTCACTAATAACTGGTGATTTTCCAGTTCGTTATGTTAGTCATTACCTGGAACCTATGTCCCCGACCTGCACATGGGGGGTTTCCCTGCGTAGCTCTTCTCCGCATTGCGCGGAAGAGTGACCTGGGACTCACTGGGCTTGGTAAAGTCTTTCTGAATCACATGATATGGGCCCAAAACATTGGGGTACATACCCTCTTGCAATTTGTTGCATAGCTATTGAAAATGGCCATTTATACTTAATTTAAACATTAAAAATGGTGATTTTCCATAAAGGGTACCAAGTTTGTGGTCATTTTAATGAGAACACAAAACCGGATAAACCAATGGACCAATGATGACCAATGGCTTTGGATTTTTGTTGGGTACCCTACTTTCAGACAAACTCATATGCACCATGGTCAAAACAAATGGTATAGGCTGTCTGGATCTGTCTGGTCATACATCCCATGCCGAATCCAGGATTGATGACGCGTGAATATGGGTTAATTCCATGGAATGAATCTTTTGACCATGAAACGCTAATATGGGCTTGTCTAAACATAGAGTACCCTAAAAATTGTTAGTTAATGAATCTTAATGTTCGTTAACCATCATTTTCCCTATTAAGATCGCCATAACTGGGGGTGTACCCTATTTCTAGACGTTAGCCCAGATAACCGGATAGCCATCATCCATCATCTCAATCCCGAAGAAATATCAATATCAACGACATTATCGATTGTAGTAGCAACCCCCAAAAAAGATAGAAAAGTACTTAATCACTGTTTTGGGTTCGGATTTGACCAACTTCTATATCTTTTCTGGGGTCTACTAAGCTACATTAAGCTACATTAAGCTATATTAAGCTACAATTGGTTGATACCAGCTGCGTGCTGAGTCGCCCAAATCGCATCCTCATCGTGGTGCCACTCCAACTCGAGTCGACTCTCCAGCTTCAGGGGGCTGCGGAAGCACAAGGCCGCCTGGGAGGAAAGGACGGCCCCGATTGGACCCGATTGGACCAGAGTTTCGGACATCCCGAGCGAATGATTTCCATGGTTCAAGAGAAAAACCAAGAAAACATGGTTAATGATGGTTAATATACTGTGAAAATCATGGTTAATACCATGGTTATTATATGGTTAATGATGGTTCATAATAATGACTGGTTGGTGTTTTTTCGCCACCCCTCTGAAAAACATGAGAAAGGTCAGTTGGGATGATGAAATTCCCAACTGAATGGATCCTAAAATTCCATGGTTCCAGTCACCACCAACCAGGAAATAACTTGGGATATTCCATGTATATGGGAGGTTTCCTGAGATGGGGCTACCCCGAGTCATCATCCAAGTCACGAAAGACCATTTTAGTATGAAAGATCCTGTGGTGACTTGGGGATCCCCATTTCAAAAAAACACCATATACATAGACATACATATCATATAAAACATACCGTACCCGGTTATAGATTCATATATGCAATATATATATATATATAGAGGTGTCCCTTTCTGATTATATATATATTATTCTACAATTATATAATGATGTATAAATGGGATCCCTTCCCGAGGCAGCTCCTCCCGGCACCTGCCGCCAATGCTCCCTTGGCGCCCCACTTCCGCCCTCTACGGAAGTGGAGAGCGTCACATCTTCGAAGAGCTGTGCGTCAAACCAGAGCCTCAAGGCTGGTTCCAAAGGACTTTCGAATCTGGGTGTGTCTAACAATGGGTGGCCATTTCAATTATATAATCATTTTTGGAGGTACTATATTAATCTATATTTTGAGGCAAACCCAAATCTGGCTAGTTTTTTGACATGGTAAAAACCATGGTAAAAACCATGGTAAAAACATGTAGGGATATGATGGGACACCAATAACTTTATTCAATAATAGTTTTAATGGATCACCCCAAACACTGGCCGTGGAACATCAGACTTTATTATCAGGCCGTTTTCCGATTCTCCATCCCATCACACTGATTGTCAGTTGGAGATAGTTGGAGATCTAACAAGATTGATTTGAAACAATAGATAGTTTGCTTATGTTTGCTTTACTGATAGTTGATCTATTGATAGTTTGGTTTGATCAAAATTGTTTCAGACTGGTTCAAGAACACCAGACTCGAACAAGTCGACCCAACTATTCACCTCATTGACCTCTAAAGGAATATCTGGTTTTCAGGCTTTTGGCCTAGCAAGTTGAATGTGCATTCCCCATTTTGATCAATGTTGGTTACATCAAGGTGGCCCCTTCTGTATTTTTCATCCTTCCAATCAGATCCAAGTAAAAGGGAATTTGTGCTGAAGGGAACACCTACAATGACCTGGACATTTACTAATTGCGAGGGTGTTGGATAGCCTCCATGTTGGCGTTGCAGCACGATCTTCTGGTTGTCTGCTTTTGAAGATCATATTGCCATCGTTCTTAAGTGCCAATCTGTCGACGTGTTGACGTATTTCACCATTTTTGCAGGTTGCTGCTCTGCCATCCACGGTATTTGTTGGTTAACATCCGCCATTATGTTGGTCAACATGCCGTCCACATGTTTGTACCCCCACATCCACGATAATCACAATATAGTGGTTTCCGCGCAACCTTCCCACAAATTGTTAACAACATCCTTTCTGTTGGCTCACCTCCCCACTCTTGTGGGTTTATGTCCCATATTTTTTGGTCATATCCAGCAATTTCCTTCCTGTAATGCCCATGTACTGATTATTTATAAGCGGATCTGTAACCGGATTTGAGGCCAACAACTGTCGGCTATCAGAGATCCCAACCCCGAACTTACCACCACTTGAATGATCCTGAGACTTAATACGTGGTAGTTAAATGATGTTAAATGAAGTGGTTGGTACAATAGGATGATAGCCTTCCCACTTGTTTTTGGTGTCTGAAATTTTAGTACAGCCGCAAAAAAAAACATTGCATTTTGACGTTCGGAACAAGCATGTTCAACCATGGGGGTTGAGATGGGTTGAGTACCAATACCCAACTATTTTCAGACCAACGAGCAATGATCAATACCACCTGCTCTCTGGCAACCATGGAAAGCCATCTTCTTTAAAGGGTAGATCACCCACACACGGGTCGACCATTAGCACAGCTATGTTAGACTACAAGAAGGTAATATCAACTAACCCCGATCGTGGAACTTCGTCAACTATGGACAATACCAACTATGATTGCTACATGTTAATACAAACTAATATGCTTAGTAACCACTTAAATTGTTGGTAAATGCTTAGCAAATGGTTATCACATGTTATTCATAGACATTACAGTAATACCAACTAATTCCAACTATGGCTAGTAAAGGATGAGTAACTGAGTAACCACCAGCAACCACCACCAGGATTCTCCGGGGCACGCCACGCCATGCGCTTCCAGGGCTTCCGGAAACGCCACCGTGATGGGGACGGCGCAGCGGCGGCGGCGAGAAAGACAGGGAGCGGAGAAGTCGAAGTCGAAGACCTGCAGAACTGGCACTTGGATATCTATGTTAGTAATATGGGGATTTTAATGGTTAATAATGGTTAATGGTGAATAATGGTGAATATTGGTGAATAGTGATAGTGGTGAATAATGGTGAAAACATGTTATATAATATGGAGGTTTCCTAAAAGGGTACCCGAATGGCTGGATGGTTTATTTCATGGTCAATCCTACTAAAATGGATGATGACTGGGGGTACCCCTTAAAAATAGGAAACCACAATGTATGATTTGAGGAAAACTGGTGATATAGCGCAGATTCATTTTTTGGAGCAATACACACCAAGATTGTTTTCCATCAACTATATTTACTACGTGGTTTCCCTGACAATATGGGATGAACGATATTTATATATATATAAATATAGTTCCATGGTATAGGATTTCTTGGTATATATACACAGCAATTGGAGTGCATGGAATATATCGTATATAGGTTCTCTAGGTATGGTGTATGTGTATACACATTGACATATACATATATATATATATATTTATATTTATATACCTTGAGCCGCTTGGTCACTTGTTTTGAGGAAAGATCAATATTTCATACACGGTTCATATATGAATGCCAAGATACGCCCCTTTGTCAAGAATGCGGCTTATTGGGCTTTGCAGATATGATATATGATATATGTAAATATATGTAAATGCGAAATTCTGGATCCATTTCTACCAAATTTGGTAAATCCCCGGTATGTACCGGACCCCCAAACCATGTTGACATGGCCTCCATGGGGAATATGAACCAAGAAACAAATGGCTACCGGAAATGACCAAAAAACATCAAAAAACAAGGTATTCGTTGAAGGCCCAGGATTGATTAGGTGGGGTAAAGGATACCAGATGTTCTCCATTATTCCATTGCCAAATTAGGCAATCCGCCAGTACTCGACCCTCTCTGGGAAATTATGTGAAATCTAGCGAAATAATCCGGAAATACGAGTTCTCCATGGACATGTTTGATTACACTATGGTACTCACAACAAGACATGTATTGTATATATATATATAATATGTTGGATGACTGTTGAGGGAAAGTAATCAACGTGTAAGTCAACACAAGGAATGAAAATCAGCATGTATCTCATCCCGAACAGTGAACACAAAAAAAAACTTGGCTCGGCATCAATGGTACCCCTAAATCTAAATTCACCGGGGTCATGAATCTTCAATCTTCACTTGCACAAGAATAAGTTTATTGTTTATATCCATTTTTCAAACACACGTATACTAGTATGAGCAGTGTTCAAGCCTTCTGTCTTCCTTTTGTACTGCTTGCTCGTTGATAGGTTCATTGTCTGTCCATGATATAGCAATTTTTTTGCTGGCACCAATATTTGATGGCAAAATCCCATTAAACATATTCAGCAATGGTTAAAATGACGGCTAAGAAATGCTAAGAACACCCTTTAAACTGGTTAAAATGATGGTACATTTCTCTATAGATTCTATAATAACGAATCAACATGTGGATGTGGCTGCTGATATGACACCCTTACCATCCAACACGCATATCTATCGCACCTCAAAGGCTTCCGACACGAAGCTCAATAGACCTGCAAATTACTCACAGCGACAAACAAATCAGCATATCATATACCTATATATATATATATATGTATATGACTCATATGACTATAGTAATATTATATTACCCTTTGGTAAACTAACGTAACTATGGAAAATCACCATTTTCAATGGGAAAATCCACTATAAATCACCATTTTCAATAGCTATTTTGACATAACCAGAGGGTATATAATTATCATATGATCTCAGATGATCTCATCCATTCATACGTACAATATGTATCACAGGCCACCCAATAAAACCAGCCCATGGCCGTGGAGAACCTGGGAGGATCCCACTTACCACAACCATTTGCCTAGCCAAATCGAACAGAGATGTGCTAAATTTCATGAACTTTCAATAGATTCGGTTGTTGGTTGTTGGTTTCAATCCATCCTGACTAGGTATAGATAGAATTATATAGATATATTATATATTCTAATTCCATCTGGCAATGAGACCTGGGAAATTCATGGCATCTATTGCTGAGAAATTATCCCCATCTCACCTCGCAAAGGTACAGCGCGACCCGTCGCTCCTTGTTTTACCCTCTGAGCACACAGAGTCTGCATCTTCGATGGGCTTTGCGGTGTCTTTTTCGCAAGAATATGTCGTTGTTTCATTCGAGTCCAAACATGGGCGATATATGGCGATATCCCATTTTCTTTTGCAAATGATGATTAACCATGGGATTTTAGGTTACAGTACTCCTATTTCCAGACAACCCGTTTAGGTAGAACACCGTGTCAAAGCAAATTGACATGTAAAGCACAAGACCACTGTACCATTGTACTTTGTCAAACCAATAAAAATTGAAAATTACCATAAACTACCTATGTCCATAATGTACTGTACTAGTTGTTTGGGTTTTTGAAATAGCCAAGCAAAGCTTGCAACAATTGGAGCTATGATTGAATTCACCAACCTTGTGCTGCGAAGAACTTTGGAAGAAAGCTCGCTCAAGCCTGTGAATGCTGTTACGGTTGGGGATTCACTCAAGAAAACCAGAGAACTGCTTCTTCCATGGAGGAATTTCTCAAGAACCTACTAAATGGAAACCAAGATGGTGAGCCTCCGCAATCAGAAAACGACCAAATGTCCCTTCAATCCATTGATGGTTGGGGCAATTGCCTTACTTGACCTCTTCATTTGAGATTGATTGGGATCAATCAATTCATCCAACCCATCTTACCCTCCATTTTCACATGGCAAATATGAACAGCATTGATGCTTTTTTTGATATGGTTGGGATGATGAACCACCCGATACAAGATATGACCAAGCCCTTAAAGATACAGCCCCTGCAATATGACTCTGGCCATGGAACACTGGCTGGCCATAGCCTGGTCGAAGCAACTCACCTGCAGGCACTTCTATGGATGATACGCTTTCCACGTGAAGCAACACAATTTTGCGATGATAGCCCCAACTCCACGAATGCCTCGAAACCTCGACTAGATTCAAACCATTTCAAACCAGTGGTTTCATTTCAATGAAAACACACAACTTTCAGATACTTTTTGCCATTTAATGTTATGATATGTTATTTATTTCATTTAAGTCCTATGTAAACTCCGTTTCAACTATTAATCTACAACTAGAAACATCCTCACCATGGCTTCCTTCGACCTGGCTGCGCCCTTCAGTCGTGCTCCATCTTTTGCACATCCGTGGGAAAGCCTTCTCGTTGCTGGGCAACAATGCCTGACAGCAACGGGTTGCAGCTGTCATGGCTGTCATGTTGTCCAGTCCCCGACAAAAATCGTGACTTGGCCATGGAATCCATGGAACTCTGGGTACCAGGTACCCTTGGTCTTCACAGCAAAATAGCTGGCCAAGTTGGTTCTTATGGATGTTTATCCCCTCAAAGATGGATCGCAACTTGGAGCATGTGCCCATGTGGAAGAAATATGGCCTCAGGCAGCAATCCAAGCAGCCCTTGTGACCTGTCGCCTGTCACTAATCTGATCTATAGAAATTCCTAGACTCTAGACCTTTCATGAGATTAGTTAGAGTCTAGGTATTTCTATAGAGTCTAGGTAAAAGAACCCCCCACAATAACTGTGCAGAATCTTTACCAAATCCGTCAATCCACAGCATCACACCTTTCCATTTTGTTCCTGGCCTGGCCAAAGGAAATAGCCTCTGGGATGCATGGTATGATCTTGATGTCCAGGTCTCGGAGGCTTCAACCCTGCGGGTCCATGGGGTCCATGGCCCTAAAACGAGCCAAGTAAGGACAGGGGGTTACCATCATGGACCCACAAAAAACCTGGGGGTTGGAAGCAACTCGGTGAATGTGAACCTAAGGCGATTTCGCAATTTCAAGCCGAAAAATATGGCTATAATGGCTATAGTCACCACAAAGTTGCAACATACACCGTATGTCTGTCTGTCTGTCTGGCTGGCTGTCTGTCTGGCTGGCTGGCTGTCTGTCTGTCTATGTATGTGTACGTATGTATTTATGTATATATATATATATATATATATATATGTATGCATATGGATATGTATATGTGTATATGTATGTGTATGTGTATAAGTATGTGTGCATCTGTGCATGTGTGGATGTGTGGATGTGTGGATGTGTGGATGTGTAAGTGTATCTGTATGTGTATGTTTATGTATGTTTATGTGTATGTGTGTATGTGTGTATGTATGTCTGTCTGTCTGTGTGTGTGCGTGTTTTAATGTAATGAAATGGAATGTAATGACATGTACGTGTATGTGTATGCGTATGCGCATGTGCATGTGTCGATGTGTTGACATATATATATAATTATATATACGGGGGGTTCAAAAAATAGGGGTACCAAATCCTCCGTTTCTAAAGGATTTTCAGGATTTTCCATTGTAACCATTCATTTTGGGCTACCCCGATTCTGCTCATCATCCCCAAATCATGTCCGAAGTCGAACGAGTCGATGCTCAAATTGTGGCTTAAACATGTTGAAAACATCTATAAACATCATATAAACATCATATAAACATCACTTAAAACTCCTGGGAAGTACCCCTTTTCTGAGTCCAAGTCGACTGCGGAACACGGAGCACTGGGAGGAGATCGCGCAAGCGATGGGGATCCGGTGCTACCAGCGAACTAAGTGAGTGAAATAAGCCCATAGAAATGGCAGCCGTATATCCCCATAGAAAGAACCATTAGACATCATAAAATCTAGCTGGTTTTTAGGACTAACTAACAGTTATAACTGGCCTAAGAAACCTCATTGAAGTGATTGCTTAACCTTAGTTGCCAGAGTTTCAACCCCATTTACAAGTGTTAAGTGCCCATGAAATATCTCCACTGATCAACAAAAAACGACAAAAAAAAACGCTAATTTTAGATGGTCAACTCCCCATGGATGATGTTTGGGCTATGGCAACTCAAAAAAGGTTACAGCACCTGGATCCTCCAAGCACTGGATCCCGGGAAATTATAGACACCTGGATCCATAAAAATTCTGTGTCTAGCCCATAATTTAGTACGTTTACCATCTTTTTGCGGAATTTGGAGGGTCTACACCGGGACTTCTGACACACTGCGCTACAGAGAGCGACCGAAGTCTGCCCTTTGCCGTTTCAAAATCTTTGTCTTTCAGTGGGATATGGATATGGATGTATTTTGAAAGACTGAGAAAAAAATCGATACAGCTATCTGTATCAGATCATCAGATCTTTCCCCATCCAAAATGGAACAAACAATCAACTGTAGCCATTTTTACCAAGCATTGGGATGCCCCCGGATCAACTGGATCAACTGGAACCTCTCTTTCGAAAGACCCATGGCAATGGAACACACCGGTTATGTCAAGTTATAGCTATTGAAGCCATGGCCCAGTCGAAATAGTGAATTTTCCCATTAGTTATGTTAATTAATGTTAGTTTATGTCAACATACCCTCTGGTTATGTCATAATTTTCCCATTAAACATGGTGATTTTCCAGAGTTTGTTGTAAACGTTTACCAGAGGGTATCCCCCAAAAATCGTTCGATGATTCAGTGAACTGAAACCTCCATAAAAATCATCGGCAATTTCCCCACCAGAAAATCATCTACTGTATAAACGTGGTGTGTTTTCCATTGCAATGTTGGAGTACCGGATGGTATTAAGCAATATTCCATGAATCTTCAATTATATCCCAATTGTATCCCTACATCTGTATAATTATATCTTATCATATCTTATTACATATATATATATATCTTAAAATTTATTATATATATATATATCAAATATATCCTATTCTAGCCCCATTAATTATCACACCATTTTTGTTAGTTTAACGCCTTCACGAAGAGATTCATCGTTCATGTGGGTGTCGATCTGCCAATGGAGCGGCACGCTCACCTGCCAGGGTGAGCATTGTGGTCGTAGCTGTTCTATCTGGTTATGGATAGATATATAATGAATTATAATGATATGATGTATGATGATTTACCTATTGAAAATTGTGATTTCCCATAGCTACGTTAAATAAGCACAGGGTATATATATATATACAATGATATATATATATATAATATATATATACACTGTATACATAACTTGACCCTAAAAATGGTCTGGAAGAAATGGACAGATCGTCTTTTTCACCTAAACGTCTCCTGAACTTTTCCATGGACCAACCTGTTGGATGTTTTTGGTATATCACAAAGGGTATAATATATATATATATATATAGCAAGTACTCATGGGACAACCCCAGTTGAGGCACATGAAGTTATGAACCAAAGTTTTGACGCAGTTACTTAAGTAACAATCTGTAATTGGCTGAGAGGATCCTCCAAGTATAATGAACAATGAAAGGGGAACGAGTCACCAGGATGAACCAGTTGTGGATTGGTGCTTAAAACATGCATCAGAAAATGCCAATGTCTGGGGGCGGGGTCATCTTTCTCAGTCCAAAAATGGGAATGGACAATGGACACATGTGTATCCACCACAATGCGCCAAGCAAACTGGATGTCCAGTTGTCTTTGGATGTCCAGTTGTCTTGGGGAAGACATGCATGATATTCATGTCATCATCCAAAGTCATGGTCATCACTTGTTTGGGCATGTCTTGTGAACTTGGTGCACTTAGATACATGTAGTAGTGTACCTGCGTATCATGTTGGATTTGTGTCTGCGGAATCCAGCTTGTTGGGACACTAAGCTGAAGGAAAACACCATACTTCCTGCCAAGCTCAAGTGACTCAAGTACGCCACAGAGGTGCCAGAGAGTTTTGCTTCACCAAATAGATGACTCTCCATATTTGGTGTATTAACAAAAAAATAATAACATCTATTTGGTGAAGCAAAACTATAAACATCCATATTAACTGTACGATTTTAGCTACCGTCTCCCATCGAAAACTCCTGCTAGCACTGCTAGCTGGGAAACTCATCGAACCACATGGGGTGATGAAGCAAGAGGTATTTAACTAGATATTCCATAGAATATTTACATATATTTACCACAATTTAATTTTAATAGAATATGATCATTGGAATATTAATGGTTAAATATCTATTTCCATTCTGCTCATATTCTATGAATATTTCACTAGATATCCCCGTTATAATCATTATATCACAGATGGCAGCAGTCTCCTGCGACAGGAGTTGTATGCCCAACAAAAAAAGGGAATGACAGGTGAACAGCGCCAGGTGTGACCTCCAAACAAGCTTTGGCCCCTGCGTCATTGATGACGTAGGCCGTGGTTTCCTGGAAGCCAGTCAGCAAAATATCAATGGAGATCATCAGCCACAAAACCATCGACCGGCCAACAAAAAATGGCAACCCATCGATAAGATCTGGGATTTCTGCCTTACAGTGGCTGGATGATTCATGACCAACTTTTTTCAATCAAAGAATGGGAAGAATGGGTATGTGGGGGATGCAGTTCCACTCATGGCTACTTGTTGCCATAGATAGTTTTTGTGCTGGATGAATCTCAAGATTCTGGAGAAGGTACCGCTGAAAAATCAGGAATCTCCCCACAAACGTTTGACTACATCAAGTACATCTATCAAAAAAAACAATCTATCTTCATATACTGCACATCAAACATAGATTCTAAATGTATTTTCACATATTTCCCCCTCACCAAAACATGTATTGATATTGATCATTATTGATCTAGATCCACTCGTATTCCACAACATATCGCCGGGGAACTCGAAAGCCCTTGTAGAGCCGTCGGACGCCTTTGCCCACTTCGTACAAGTGTTGCCTCCAACGGAGAGACAGACATTCAACGGCCGAGGATTTGGGGAGTGTTGTTTTGTTTTTTTTTTGCGGGGGGTGGAAAAACAATACTTGAATTATGAAAATTTGATTTACTTTGATAATTAATATGGATCTGGATTCCTGACATTTTTCGCATGCTGTGTTTTGTTTTGGGCAGGTGATTCATGTATAGTTCATGTATGGGTCAGCGATGGAACAGTTCCAGTCCGTTGGAAATATCCATGGGACCAAGGGACATCCAACATTTGTATATCACTTGGGTTCCCGGGAAACCCATGGATTCCATATCGCCGGAAAGTGTCATCCAAAACATCAAGTACTGAAGGAACTGAACATAGAACTGCTCCTGGGAAACAAAAACTATTCTGGCTTTCACATGTTCAGCAAAAATGTGTAACATTTTGTTGACTGCTCTTCATGGTGGGAAAAGAGGTATGACATATCCATACATATCCCATTGACATGTTTATCTTGGTCGGTCTTCAACGTGGTCAAACTTGTTGTCATATCAATTTGAAGCAATGGACTCTTCCGGCCGAATAGTCCTAAAAGAAAATAGTTAATGGCCCATACAATAAACAAATACAAACATCGTATGTCGGACTTGGCTGTTGGTTGGTACAATTCAACAAGGCCACTACCAACAAGTCATTACTTAAGAACTGTCACGAGCATGGGTAACCCGACCTTGTCACCATTCTATTCTATTTGATATTCCCAATTTACTATTATAATTCTATGTTTATCATATCATCATATCCCATCTTACATCCCGGACCAGTCTTTATATCTTACTTGTCTGAAGGGCTATCACCCAGTCAACATAGGATATTATCATGACCGGTTTCTATATGACTAAAGATGTCCTATCAAAAAATGTTGGGAAACTCTGATTGTAGCTCCAACTGGCTCCCCCTTTCATAAGAATATGGATATCCAACCCGCATGTATCTGCTCCCTCCATTCACCGGACAGTAATCCGATTACCCCATTCCTCGATCTCTAACATTCAACGATGGGACATGTTAATATCATATAAGAAAGCATGAGCACGCAAAACTGGTCTATATTCGCCGAATAATCTACAATATGACCAATCCATGTAAGGTTCCCATAGTTCTGGTTGATATTATATATATATATTATATACACCAACAAAATCCAACAAACATATGAAGGCTTCCAATCCATGGAGTACCCCGATTTTTTCGCCTGCGGAGTAAGTCCTGGCCGCCCAAGTACACGATTTGCCAGTCCTTCATCGGACTTGCATAAAAAACGGGGGTTTTGAACCCGAAGAAAGTGGGATTGACGGTAACCATCGAACATTGGCTTTCAATTAATTCAAATATATCCATTTAAGCTTCAACACGAGGGACTTAGCTAATGTTGGCTTGCTACACAAGGGATACCCACATCTATGACCGTTTTAAGAGCGAACATCTTTGGACACAGATTTTGTCAGAAACCCATGGAGATGCTGTTTGTAACAATCTCCCGTTCATAGCAAAAACATGAGGTAATACCCACAATTTGTGGTGCTCACGCGGCATAATTCTATACAGTAGTTGATTTATAATCACAATTGATCATCTGACTATACTTATAATATATATATATATTATATGTCGAACATAGATTTCTCTTGGCCTACTGCACCAAACCAAGAAACACCTCTTTTTCGAACTCGGGGCAAACCCGACGGCCCGACCTCCGGCACGTGGGAGAGGCGTTCCAGCAGCAAGGATTCGGAGAACTCGGGGCAAAACTGGCAGTCGTCCTAGCCGCGACTGAGAGCAGCCATGATCAATGGCCACTTGGGAAGTACATTAAAAATGGAGGTGGCCAGGATATGATAGGTACCATTTAATATCATAGCATGTCCATTTTTTCTTGACTGATCCATCTTTAAATGGAGCTACCTATCATATCCAAAACCTATTTTTTGGGCCCATGTAAGGGGACATATATATCCCCAAAATATGGCCAACAATATGTGATCCTGGAATTCCCATTGAGTTTCTCCAAAACTTGGCTACGGCATACTGATGGATACTGGAAGCCTACGTCCAATGCTAAAAGAAAACAACGACCTAATAATGATACTACTACTGCTGCTGCTACTACTAGTACGAATAGCAATTATTATTGCTACTACTAAATATGATATTACTACTATTGATAGTAGGTAACAATAAGGGTGCGGATTTTTTTTGGGATTTGTTTTTTCTTGTTTTGGGAATTTTATTTTTTTTTGGTCGTGGGCACGGTTTCCTCACTTTTTCCTTGTTTTCCATGACTTTTCCTTGGTTTTTCATTGGTTTTCCTTCATTTTTCCTCACGTTTTCCTCGTTTTCCAGTATTTTTCTTTGGTTTTTCATAATTTCCTCACTTTTTCATCGTTTTCCATTACTTTTTCCTTTGTTTTTCATCATTTTCCTCACTTTTTTATCGTTTTCCATTACTTTTTTCCTTGTTTTCCATGACTTTTCCTTCGTTTTTCATTGGTTTTCCTTCATTTTTCCTCACTTTTTCATCGTTTTCCATTACTTTTCCTTAGTTTTTCATAATTTTCCTCACTTTTTAATCGTTTTCCATTACTTTTCCTTGGTTTTTCATCATTTTCCTCACTTTTTCCTCGTTTTCCATTATTTTTTCTTAGTTGTTCATTGGTTTTCCTTCACTCCCCTCACTTTTCCTCGTTTTCCATTACTTTTTCTTTGGTTTTTCATCATTTTCCTAACATTTTCTTTCCTTCCTCAATAAGAAAACAGGAAGGGGGTATGGGGGAGAGGGCTGAGGAGGAGCAGTAGCGTCCACTCAGAATCAGCTAAAGCGTCTTCCCAGGCAACCTTATATACAGATATATAGATATATAGTGGTATATAGATATATAGATATATAGTATATAGATATATATATATAGATATAGATATATAGATATATAGATATATAGATATATAGATATATAGATATATAGATATATAGATATATAGATATATAGATATATAGATATATAGATATATAGATATATAGATATATAGATATAGTATATATATAGATATAGATATAGATATATAGAGATATATAGAAATATAAAGAAATATATAGAAATATATATATATAGGGGATATAGATATATAGATAATTATATACATATATAGATATATAGATACAGCCATAGATGTAGATATAGATACAGATATAGATAGATATAAATAGATATAGATAGATATAGATAGATATAGATAGATGTATATACATGCATGACTAATCATGACTATATGCATATGTAGATCAATGTATTTACAAGTGTAATCAATATATCTGCCGGGTTTGGTTTTAGGGTTGGTTTTAAGGTTTCTTTAGGGCTGGTTTAGGGTTTGTTTAGGGTTGGATTAGGGGTTATTTAGGGATACAATATGTACATACAAATAACTATACTTATGTGGACGCATATGCATGCACATGATTATTTACAGTTTATTTTGGGATACAACATGCACATACAAATAACTATTTTTTGTGGACGCATATGCATGCACATGATTATTTACAATGTATTGGGATGAAAGCTGTGTATATAAACAACCATATGTATATATATATATATACAATATAAATATATATATATAGTCTAACCAAACTAGTGTATTGAAATGTGTGCAAGTTTGAATTTAAATAAAAAAAAGCGGGAGGGGGGGGATTGGGGGAGAGGGCGCAGCGCCTCCCCCCCAAAGCAGATTGGAAACACCTATTTTCACATGCAAGGTGCTGGGTTGAATGTGATACTCAAGTTAAGGTGTATATACTACACGACATGCACCTTGGAAACATGTGGGATGTAGATTAAGGCACAACGATGCACAATAGTTTCATTTGATGTTATCATCGAGTTGGTTTAAGATCTCTTTATATAAGCTTTGGTTCAGGGTTGGCTTGGGGTTTGAATATCATCCGGATGATAATGCAAACCTTTTAGATAGATAGATAGATAGATAGATAGATATATATATATATATAGATATAGATTTAAAGATATATAGATTTAAAGATATATAGATTAAAAGATATAGGAATATAGATATATAGATATATAGATATAAAGATATATACAGATATATTGATATATAGTGGTATATCGATATATAGATATAACTATAGATATATATATATAGAAATATATGGAGATATATAGAGATATATAGAGATATATAGAGATATATATATACATATAGAGATATATAGAAATATATAGAGATATATAGATATATAAATATATATAGAGATAGATATATAGATAAATATATACATATATAGATATATAGATATATAGATACAGCCATAGATGTAGATATAGATACAGATATAGATAGATATAGATAGATATAAATAGATATAGATAGATATAGATAGATATAGATGGATATATATAGATATAGATAGATATAGATAGATACAGATAGATATAGATAGATATAGATAGATATAGATAGAAATAGATAGATACAGATAGATATAGATATAGATAGACATAGATAGATATAGATAGAATCAAGTAGATAGATAGTTTGATAGTTAGATAGATAGATAGATAGATAGGCAGATAGATAGTTAGATAGATAGATAGACAGATAGATAGATAGACAGATAGATAGACAGATAGATAGATAGATGGATGGATATAGATAGATAGATAGATGATACTCAAGGTGTATCTAATGCACAACATGCACCTGGTGAACATGCTTCACTGATAGATTGATCGATAGATGATAAATGAGCCATAGGAGCGAGGAGCTCTAGGAGCCAGGAGCCATAGAAGCCACCAGGAGCCACCAGGAGCCGCAAAAGCCACCAGGAGCCACAAGGAGCCGCAGAAGCCACCAGGAGCCACCAGGAGCCACCAGGAGCCACCAGGAGCCACCAGGAGCCACCAGGAGCCACAGAAGCCACCAGGAGAGGAGGAAAAAAAAAATACCCCCCCCCAAAAAAAATAAATTCCCAAATTAAATTACCCTCCTAACAATAATGATACTATTGCTGTATTACTACTTGATAATAATAAGAGTACGCACATCAATCGTACTGATAACAATAATATCAATGACGAATAATATAAATAACTGCAATAATATAAATAATATTTTTTTCAAAAAAATATAGATAGTATGAAAACTATGAATAATATAATAATGTCAATACTGTAATTGTCAATGATATTAAAACTATCAATATTACTAAACACGCGAAACATACTAACAATACTAAGTGATATTAACTATATCCAAGATTTTAAAACTATGCATAATATTATATAACTATATTAATAATATTAATATCAAAAACATATTGTCACCATTATTAATATCATTACTATCACTAATATTCACAACATTAAATTACTAATTAACAATCATTAGTATTGTGCATAATATTACGAATGTGATTAATATCATCGATATTATCAATATCATCAATATTATAATTACTATTGTTAATATCTATAATACTATGAGTATACAGTAATAATAAACATTAGTGTTTCCGTTGTCCTACCGGTCATGTAAACAGGAAGGTCTCAGGAATGTTGGATACCACTTCGCCACGTGGGATTGCCATGGTGACATTGATAGGTGTCCCATCACTCATAAATATATAACAGAAAAAACATGGGATGCTCTCTGAACATTTTTCTAGGACACCGACACCTCAAAAATCCCATTTCTATTCATCATCATGTTCCCAACATTGACTTGTATATGTTATGTTTTTGTATATAATTCTACATATATATATAATATATATATATGATTATATGTATATTATATCGTTTTCATACGACCTACACATACCTACACCATATTACCCGCGAGTGGTCGAGTGGGACCCGAATTTTCGAAACGGCCACCGGTCCTCGATCACCAAGAAGGGCGCGCGTGGATCAACCCCATCTGCAACGTCAAGGCTTGTGGCGCCGGTGGTTTCTGCATATGATATCTGATAAATACATATAAAATCATATAAATACTTACCCTGTATGCTATATATGGTAACATTTACCATATTTTACCATCAATATACCCCAAATGTTAGCATATATACCATACATGGATCCTATGGGTTATGTACTGGTGCTATAAAATCATATACATATAAACTCATATAAATACTTATGTACTGGTGACTGGTGCTATAAAATAATATACATAAAGAAATCATGTAAATACTTATCTGGTTGGTGGTTGACCTACCCCTCTGAAAAATATGAAAGTCAGTTGGGATGATTATTCCCAATATATGGGAACATAAAAAATGTTCCAAAGCCCCAACCAGTTATGTACGGTTAAACCAAATCAAATGGCTGCTATCAAGATGTATTGCCGAAGATTGGTGCTTAAAAAAAAAAATGCGACGATTTTCATCACGAGGCCACCAGGTAATCCCCCTGTAATCCACCACCTGGCTCTGAATCCATCCACTTCGCTGGGCTGGAAGGTGTTGATCATTCGGGTGGAATTGTAAAGTACCATGAATATTTGTAGTTCTAGAATTTCGGAAGATTTTCATAGATTTTCAATCAATAATTGTAGGATTATCATCCAATGGCCCCTCTTTTACCAGCAAACCTGCGATTGGAAGAAACGTCAACCATTCAAATGGTTGCACCTTCGGCGCAGCGCCGCACAATGTCGCGCCAAATGAGCCTGAGCCAATTGTCGCGGGGCGGCTCTCGGGATAAAAGTAGAGATCAGAGAAATCCCACGTCACGAAAGTGAATCTGGAGAAGTGTGGTGATTTTATCCAGCAACGAGGTGAAGCCTAAGTCATAGGGCTACACCCCAGTCATCATCCATTTTAGATTGGGATTTTCCATGAAGTAAACATAAATAAACCATCTATTTATGGGATTTTAATAGGATGTTCCATGAAATAAACATAAATAAACCATCAAGCTATTGGGGTAACCCCCATGACTTAGGAAACCTGCCACGTGAAGATGTTAACCCAGAACTTGGAGATTCGAAACACTGCTCCAAGAGGTGTACTGGAAGAGTACCAACTGCTTGCCGGTGTACTAGTGTGTACTGCTGTGCATTGGTAAATACACAAAAACCTTAGTAAATACATGTAAAAATATGAAAATACCAAAGTGTGGAGATGTGGGGAAGGCTTTACAACTGGTGACTCACTGATGACCCACAGCTTGTCCTGCCAAATTAGGTGTGCCTCGAAAACACGACGCAACAAGTGGTGATGAATGTCCACCCTCTTGGGGAATGGAAGACGTGACACCTGATTCATGCAGGAAAAGGCAATGGTTGCTGACTCATCAACATCCCAACTCTCCTCAAGAGACCATAGAAGTTCCGGCAAACTGCTGGGAAAAAAACATGTTTTATCATTTTTTGCTGGAACTGTCCGCATTCTTTCGGGAATTAAAACCGGCTGGTGCAACAAAAACCCAGGCTCGGCCGAGCGACATGTGCGAAAGAGCACAGCCAATGGCTCCAGCGGTTAAGTCCGTGCCAAAGAGTTTCCTCTGGCACGGTGCGGTTTTTCAACACAGTCATATGGTGATCCCATTCCAGGGCTATCCAGGGCTTATTTATTGTTAAACGCCATGAGGGAGTGGTTGATATCAAAAAGAATTATTAAGAAATGATGATCCTGGAGTACTTTCTAGAATCCCACTCCACCCAGCCCAATTTTCGATAGTTTTCGTGTCACGTTCATCTTGACGGGGATGATCCATGATGGTCCAATCTGCCCAACAGGTGACCTTCCATGATGGTCCATGATGGTCCACTCCGTTATCACAAGCCATTCATCTAGCTTTGTCGCAAGTAATTCTCAACACTTACGTCACTTACGACTTACGATTCCTTGGCCAATCCTTCCGCCCCAACCACTCCCTGCATTTTTTGGATCCAGGTTTACACATAACGCAACTTGGTCAAGTGTGTCCTGGGAATGGACTGTGCCACGAAGGGCCTAAAAATCGGGAAAACACCGATTCCGCAAAACATTCCCTCACTAAACCCATAGGATCCATGTATGGTATATATACTAACATTGGGGGTATATTGATGGTAAATGTTACCATATATAGCATACATGGATCCTATGGGAAATGCAAAGCCAGGATCCCGGACGCAATTCTGAGACAACACAGTTTCGGAGACATATAATATGCATTGAAAGAGCTACACCAAATTGGACGAAACTCCCAAATGTAGAGATGTAGCTTTGACATGTTTTGAAGGTTTACTTTGGTCATGAATGACGTCAAGAATCTTACAGGACCCCACATGTCCCGATCCTGAGACAATTCCATTAATTAATGACTTGAAAAATCATTTAAGCCCCTTATCAACACCAATCTTGAGTGGGATATCATATAATATTCCCCCCAATCAAAACATGGCTATGAAAAGCTAATCCACTTTCAGCAACCATGCACCAAGGTAGTTTATTTGCTATCAGCTGGGTGTTTCACCAAAATCTTAGTGCCTGACCAATAATTTATCCCCCATAGGATCCATGTATGGTATATATGCTAACATTTGGGGTATATTGATGGCAAATGTTACCATATAATTATAATATATAGCATACATGGATCCTATGGGTCCTGGATTGCAACTTAAGGGGTCCCTCATGGTTTCCTATGGTTTCCTGGCCCATTTCCAAACCAACCAGTCCAGTCGGTCTCCAGTCCAAGGAGCTGTTCGTCTGGAAGATAGTACCGCGGCAAGGCCTCCATCGCGATGATTCCGTTCCTGGGGGGTGGTTTTTCATCGCTTTTTATCGCATGGGCGCTGCCAGCCGCCATCACCAGATTTGGGGCTTTGAAAGTGGCAATTTTCATCATCTAAACGAGGGATTCAGTTGTTTTGGTCCGATGGGATAGCTAGGTTCTTTCTGGAGAACAAGAATGAACAGGATGTCCACATAGGATACTGTAATAGGTAGAACAATATACAAATACAGGGTATCATATACGGAGTATGTATCTATCTCTGAGGTCCACTTAATATAGGGAAAATGTACGCTGAACCATGAAGTTCACAACTCTTGGATTCTCTTGGACCAACCGAGACACATGTACAAATATGTATATATATATACACATACATACATAGTCATGTACATATGTATATGCACATGATCATGCACACATAATCCTATATATTATATACCTATGAATCTAACGTCAAGTTACAGTATATCTGCGGTTCTGTAGTTGAAAATATCCATTTGCGTTATCTGATGCCCCCAGCTGTTGCTGTATATCGACATATCGCGCCTGGTTTACATCCCATTCTGCTTTTTCCAATTCCACGTTTCATTCTATCAGACTTCTGTCCTGCTAGCTGCTATTTATTCAAACTTTCTGTTGGTTCAATCATCAGCATTGTCAAGTTCTAATCAATTCCCCTGTTTTGCCACTGGAATCTCCAACTGACCCCTTTGAGTCCCCACAAAAAGCAACTGTTCATCGATTTCACCAGACACAACTAGAAACGCATGGTACCCTCTGATAAACAGGGCCGGCTGGGAAATCAAACTATAAATAGAGGTTTTAATGGGAATGGGACAACTCCTGAATCTAAATGTTGGATGTTCTAGCCAGCCATGTGACTGTTTATCAGGGGGTTACAGTACTAATTAATCGATATGCCATGGATATTCCATGAATAGTCCCAAGAATATCCACGTTATATTATAGATGACCTCAACATAATATGAATATCAACATATTTTTCCTTTATAGATTTATAGATGACCCCAACATCATTTCCATGATGGATTTTCCATGAATAGCTATCCCCAAGAATATTATCCCCATTACATCCCCAAGAATATCCCCAAGAATGTCCTCATTATGGGTCCCATTTCTACCCTCTGGTAATCTGTTACATAGCTATTGAAGCCATGGCCCAGTCGAAATAGTGGATTTTCCCATGGACAATGGTGATTTTCCATAAATGTTTGTATGTTTACCAGAGGGTATATCCATCCTCCATTTCTATGTCAGTCATCGGCCAAGTGACATGGCCAGCTCCGGCACATCCAGCTGCCGGCCATTCACCGCACTGAAACGCTCCACCGGAAGACGCAAACGTTGGAACTGACCTCAACGGGATCGGTGGATGATTCGGAGATACACAAATTGACCATGGAACATGGATGTAATCTATATACCATCTGGTTATGACATTCACACTTTGCCATGGACAATTCCACCATTTTTAAGTTCGGTAAACCATCTATTTCTATGGGCCATTTCCATGGCTATGTTAGTCATAACCAGAAGGTAATAGTGGATATAACCATGATGTAAACTCATGGCATCTCATAGCCGTGTAGCTTGTGTAGCTTGTGGATGTTGATCTCATCTGAATTTCGAAGATTGGATGTAAGATAATATAAGATAACCATCAAAACCATCTATTTAGTAATGATAACTATAAACCATCTATTGTAATGATAACTATAAACCATCTATTGTAATGATAACTATAGACCATCTATTGTAATGATAACTATAAATCATCTATTTAGTAATATCCTATTATCCTATATTATCCCATCATTGGGATCAACTATTAAATTATCTATATTGTAATAGACAATGCTTCAGTTGATCCCATGAATTTCAAAGATATTTCATAGGAGATAGTGGATATAACCATGACTTAATCTCGTGACATCCCATGGCCATGTAGCTTGTGGATTTAAGTGGCGGGTGTAACTATCAATGAGAACTGATGGTATTTTACCATCAACAATGGGATTTGAAGGGATCTAATTGCTGATTAAGAACTTAAAAAAAAATGAGCACCAACCACCAGTAGCGGTTCATCAGAACATTGGGATTCATGGGATTTCGATGAATTTTCAGAAACAGAAACACCGTATTTACCCTCTGGTGAACTAACATAGCAATGGAAAATGGCCATTTATAGTGGATTTTCCCATGAAAAATGGTGATTTTCCATTGCTATGTTAGTTCACCAGAGGGTAAATGTCTTTAAATCGTCAAAATGCAACAAAATGTTGATCAGGGCTGATGATGGCCGAGCAAATGACGCGAAAAATGGTGGCTTTTTCACCAACCGTGGAATCCCCCATCGTGTCAGTATTCAGGATTCATCCGGATGGATGGTTGATGCGGTTGCTGGGCATATGAAATATATATGGGTATGGATCAATACCTATTAATACCATTTAGGAGGATGAACATCCATAAATCCCAGCTATTTTGATGTGAACAGAAGGGGTACAAGGTTTTGACACACTGCCATATATGAAATATATATGAAATGATATTGCCAAACAATCATGACTTTGTGGGATTTTGTGGGTATACTTATGCACCATCCATGGTTAGTTCAACTTCTGGAGAATTCTGCTGAAAAACATCAGGGGAATCTCTCTTTTTTGCCTCCCGTGAACGGGGAAATAGATGTAGAAAAGCCACAACCAAACGTACTCTCTGGTAAACTAACATAACTATGGAAAATCACCATTTTTAATGGAAAAATCCACTATAAATGGCCATTTTCAATAGCTATGTTAGTCATAACCAGAGGGTAGGTTCCGGGGGTTCACCATGACGCCATCCAGTGACGTTGCATGAACTCCCAACGCTCGGGTCGATGGTCCAAATTCCTCAAGGATGCCCAGCAGCTCAGCATGACCATCCCCTTGTTGATTTGCGGGACACCCAAGGCCCCCCAAAAAACTCAACTTCTCAGACATACAACCAATTTCTGCTGAAACATTGCAACATTTGTAGAAATTAAGTTATGAACGATTCAGATCAGATCTAAAACTGTTCAAAAATACCAATTCCCCATGGTGGATTTATTCGTGCAAACCACCTCAGAGCTGAACCGGTCTTCGCGTTGGTCTTTGCTCCCTGGTTCATGAAATCCCTTGAAATCCTTAAAGGTGAAGCGTAAATGTACCACACATAGGATTTGAGAAAATTGTTTTCCCACTACTGGGTTCATGTTCAACCCCCAAAGCTAGGATTTACGGCTTTCGTGCCTATTAATTTTCATTACTCCCCAAAAATATAAGATTTTCCCAAAGGAAACCCTGGTTTAGCAGTGGGCCTATTCATTTTTTGGGCAGGGGTATTTAATATATTTTAATATTATATAGGCATATGGGGATATGAGAGTGATGTTAGGGGCATGTGATTATATGTGTGTCTGAGAGTGTCCCAAAGTAGCATTTTAATCGGGAAATGATGATAGAAAATTGGATTCCGAGGCACCTTATGAGACAAACCCAAACCAAGGCACATGCAATAGACGTGCGCCAAGCTTTTCCAACCAATCTCCGTCGCGACGGTCGCTGTCGAAGCGCTGGCTGAGGCAACTGCGCGGTTCCTGCGATGTCATCACAGCAACTCTGGGGTCACTGGGTGTTTCACCAACGAAAAACTGGTGTTTTACCGTTTTACCATTAAAATAACATATGGTGTTTCACCCGCAACAACGGGCTTAACCAACGAAAAACGGGGGATGCATCATGAAAAAAATGATTTAAGCATGAACAATAGGAGATGAACCAGAAAACAATAGAAAACATGCCTGCTTCAGATGGCCCAAAAAGATTCAAATATTCCCAGTAGATAAAAACCTGGGAACATGTTCCAAATCACCTTCAGCAAATCGCTGGAGGATGAACCATGAAAAATGGCTGTGAAACACAGGTGATTCTTGGGTGATTTTGTTGGGGAAATCTACAGGATCCGGTCTGATGGAAGGGATAAGGCGTTCCATGCTGAAGTGTCTGAATTGTGGGGAGGTCATGTCCTAATATTTTCAAAGTTACAAGGGCATGTGCTCTACATCTCTGCCCAACAAGTGTAAAAAAGTGTACCCGTATCGCGACAGGTGTTTAACATTGTTTAACTGTTTAATTATTGCTGAACATGACATGATCGTACCTTCTATTTAGAAACCTGGATGGCCCAAAACGTACCTGTCAGATCCTGTCAGCCTGATCTTTGTCAGTCCCAGAAGTAGGCCCTGCTACTCTGACATCCAAGGTGTTCAAATAATCTGTGAGACGCCCGAGGCAATCTGTACACTGTACAACTGGCGATGGCGCTCATATGGGCATGCCCACATTCAGGGACTAATGAATTACTTCTTCCCCATCTACTAAAAAAAAAAATACATAATTAGAAAAATGGACCACGTGAAAAGTGGATGTGGATGTCCGTTGGATGTCCCTGATTTTGGGGCGTTCCCATGTAGATTTTGTTGCTCTATGACTTCTCTGCCGTTTTCGTGGCTGCTTTCGCGATGTGTCTCTCAGGCGCTCACAGTGACTTCCTTGCCATCCAGCAGGAAATGGAACCTGAGATCCCGAAGAGATTTCTGCGGAATCTTCGACTTTGACACAAAAATCTTTCACAATCCCTGAGTTTTTTTGGGGTATGAGGGGATGAGGGGATGAGGGGATGATTGCACTAGGTCCACTGGGGGTTTGATGGGATTTGGAATAGGGAATCCCCAGTTTCAGTTTTCACGCACCTTCACAACGATCCAACCTCGGGATTCGCGAGATTCTGCTGGTGAGTTGTGACTCGTCCTGTTACCAGTCCACCTGTGCAACCAATGGATCCATTGAGCGAAAAAATACCACCGTGGTCACCATGATTTACGATTCACCTGGGCAAAATATTCTGAGCACCACCTTTTTGTGGGTTCTACTGATGGATAAATATTCTATGATATTCTTCAATTCGCACCCAAAAATGTCACGGTTGACATCATCCCGGAGTCATCTGCCCGCAATGAACACGATCCTTAATTATATCGATCAAAACCTCAACCAACACAAAGATAACAACCTCCAACTCCAACTCAGATAAATATAGCCCATCATCATCAATCAAATAAAAAATCACATGCTCGTAGCTGTACTTGCCAGAATTTCTGGAGACCACATCCATTGTGATTAGGGTATTGTGGCTCTTACCAGTCTTACCGATCTGTAGAAGCACAACATCATCAAAGTTCTCTGAAGCCCAACCAATTTCGGTGCTGAGAAAAAAGTCCCAACAATTTCGGTGCTACCCTCTGGTAATCTAACATAACTATGTAAAATCACCATTTATACTGAATTTTCCGATGAAAAATTGTGATTTTCCATAGTTATGTTAGTTTACCAGAGGGTAATGTTGGCTGCCTAATAGTAATTACCCCCCCTCTATTTTTTTTTTTTTTTTTGGGGGGGGGTCAACCTTCCTATAATAATTTGTGGGAATCTATAGCTGGGATCATGATATGTATCTTGATAGATTCTCCATGGTTTTGTTCGGGTTTCTGAAAGATTCTGAATGGATTTGGTGGAGGCGAAGGAGGAGGACGAGGAGGAGGAGAAGAAGGAGAAGAAGGAGAAGGAGAAGGAGGACAACAAAATTGGAGTTGCGGAAACAAGTTTCCACTATTGCCATGCCTGGTGCAGGTTTGTTATTGCTATTCTGGGGCTTGCAAAGGGGGTGCCCTTTGTGGACCTGTTTTTTTTGCTTTTTTCCCGAGAGCGTCTGAGCGCAGGGTTCTTCCAATAGTGGGGGTCTGTATCTCATCTTCTCATCTTCACACCTTCTCTCACACCTTCTCATCTTCACATCTTCTCATCTTCACATCTTCTCATCTTCACATCTGCTCCTCTTCACATCTTCTCATCTTCACACCTTCTCATCTTCACATCTGCTCATCTTCACATCTTCTCATCTTCACAGCTGCTCCTCTTCACATCTGCTCCTCTTCACACCTTCTCTCACACCTTCTCATCTTCACATCTGCTCATCTTCTCATCTTCACATCTGCTCCTCTTCACATCTGCTCCTCTTCACACCTTCTCTCACACCTTCTCTCACACCTTCTCATCTTCACACCTTCTCATCTTCACACCTTCTCATCTTCACACCTTCTCTCACACCTTCTCATCTTCACATCTTCACATCTTCACATCCTCTCTCTCTCTCTCTCTCCTCTTTCCTCTCTCCTTTTTCTCTCTCCTTTCTCTCTCCCTTTTCTCTCTCTCGCCTTCTCTATCTTTCTCTCTTTAGAGGGTGGTGCCGGCGGGGAGTCACGAAACGTCAGCCCTTTCGCACGAAATGAAGGTCGATCGTCAAAAACTGAGGAAAAATTGCGAGTTTACTTGTCCCCGAGCAACCCTTTCGCACGAAATGAGGGTCGATCGTCAAAAACTGAGGAAAAATTGCGAGTTTACTTGTCCCCGAGCAACCCTTTCGCACGAAATTAGGGTCGATCGTCAAAAACTGAGGAAAAATTGCGAGTTTACTTGTCCTGGAGCAACGCTTTCGCACGAAATGAGGGTCGATCGTCAAAAACTGAGGAAAAACTGCGAGTTTGCTTGTGCCGGAGCAACCCTTTCGCACGAAATGAGGGTCGATCGTCAAAAACTGAGGAAAAATTGCGAGTTTCATTGTGCCGGAGCAACCCTTTCGCACGAAATGAGGGTCGATGCGCAAAAACTGAGGAAAAATTGCGAGTTTCCTTGTCCCCGAGCAACCCTTTCGCACGAAATGAGGGTCGATGCGCAAAAACTGAGGAAAAATTGCGAGTTTACTTGTCCCCGAGCAACCCTTTCGCACGAAATGAGGGTCGATCGTCAAAAACTGAGGAAAAATTGCGAGTTTACTTGTCCCCGAGCAACCCTTTCGCACGAAATGAGGGTCGATGCGCAAAAAGCGTCTGTGTGTAAAAGCGTCTGTGTGAGAGTCCCTCTGTGAAAGTGTTTGTGTTAAAGGGTTTGTGTAAAAGCGCCTGTGTGTAAAAAGCGTCTGTGTGTAAAAGCGTCTGTGTGTAAAAGCGTCTGTGTGTAAAAGCGTCTGTGTGTAAAAGTGTCTGTGTGTAAAAGCGTCTCTGTGTGTAAAAGTCTCTGTGTGTAAAAGCGTCTGTCTGTAAAAGCGTCTGTGTGTCAAAGCGTCTGTGTGTAAAGCGTCTGTGTGTAAAAGTGTTTGTGTGTAAAAGCTTCTGCGTGTAAAAGCGTCTGTGTGTAAAAGCGTCTGTGTGTAAAAGCGTCTGTGTGTAAAAGCGTCTGTGTGTAAAAGCGTCTGTGTGTAAAAGCGTCTGTGTGTAAAAGCGTCTGTGTGTAAAAGCGTCTGTGTGTAAAAACATCTGTGTGTAAAAGCGTCTGTGTGTAAAAGCGTCTGTGTGTAAAAGCTTCTGTGTGTAAAAGTGTTTGTATGTAAAAGTGTTTGCGTGTACAAGCTGCTGTGTGTAAAAGCTTCTGTGTGTAAAAGCGTCTGTGTGTAAAAGACTCTGTGTGCAAAAGCGTCTGTGTGCAAAAGCGTGTGTGTGTAAAAGCATCTGTGTGTAAAAGCGTTTGTGTGTAAAAGCGTCTGTGTGTAAAAGCGTCTGTGTGTAAAAGCGTCTGTGTGTAAAAGACTCTGTGTGTAAAAGCCTCTGTGTGTAAAAGCGTCTGTGTGTCAAAGCGTCTGTGTGTAAAAGACTCTGTGTGCAAAAGCGTCTGTGTGCAAAAGCGTGTGTGTGTAAAAGCGTCTGTGTGTAAAAGCTTCTGTGTGTAAAAGCCTCTGTGTGTAAAAGCGTCTGTGTGTAAAAGCGTCTGTGTGCAAAAGCCTCTGTGTGCAAAAGCGTCTGTGTGTAAAAGAGCCTGTGTGTAAAAAGCGTCTGTGTGTAAAAGCATCTGTGTGTAAAAGTGTCTGTGTGTAAAAGCGTCTGTGTGTAAAAGCGCCTGTGTGTAAAAGTCTCTGTGTGTAAAAGCGTCTGTGTGTAAAAGCATCTGTGTGTAAAAGAGCCTGTGTGTAAAAAGCGTCTGTGTGTAAAAGCGCCTGTGTGTAAAAGCGTCTGTGTGTAAAAGTCTCTGTGTGTAAAAGCGTCTGTGTGTAAAAGCGTCTGTGTGTAAAAGAGCCTGTGTGTAAAAAGCGTCTGTGTGTAAAAGCGTCTGTGTAAAAGCGTCTGTGTGTAAAAGCGTCTGTGTGTAAAAGCTTCTGTGTGTAAAAGCTTCTGTGTGTAAATGCGTCTGTTTGTGTGTAAAAGTGTTTGTGTGCAAAATCGTCTGTGTGTAAAAGCGTCTGTGTGTAAAAGTCTCTGTGTGTAAAAGTCTCTGTGTGTAACAGTCTCTGTGTGCAAAAGCGTCTGTCTGTAAAAAGTTCTGTGTATGAAAAACTTTACAAAAATACGATGCAAACTATTGTCTTGTACTAGTCATATATTGTCTTGATACTACTCTTCTCGTCTGCCTATAATACATCTTTAATATATTATCTTGTAATATAGTGTCTCCATACTAACAACAGAAGACTCTGCTCCTCTACGCTCTCGGGCCATCCGTCGTCTAGTTAATAAGGGTTTTGTAAGGAAATCAGCTGTTTGGTAATTGGTTCAGATTTCTGGAATCTAAGCTTTTGCTAATCAAAAGTGAAGGCTGCTTTGAAAAGGATTTGCTTTACTTGACTCTTTTGGCAATACTAAAAGTAAATAGAGCTAATTGACTTTTAGTATTGGAGAAAAAATTGGAGTTGGGAAAAAAGTTTCCACTATTGCCATGTTGGGTCCACTATTGGCCATGCCCTCTGGGCAAGGTCTGAACATGACTCTTTTGGCAATACTAAAAGTAAATAGAGCTAATTGACTTTTAGTATTGGAGAAAAATTGGAGTGGCGGAAAAATGTTTCTACTATTGACAAGATATCACTATTGGTCAGACAACATTAACGAATATGGGGCCCATAGGAATTCCTGTTCCAAGCAGCTTGGGAAATCCCACCAACATGGAGCCGACCAATGGGTTGCTCACATCGCTGGCTTCCGGTGTGACCAGCGCATGGAAGCTGGTCTGAGCGAAGCCGAAGAAGTGGCGCGATCAAGGCAGCTGTGGGGTTTCGATCGCGAGCTTCAAGATGTACCGCGGATTCATGACTCATTTTTAGATTCAATTTCATTCAATTTGGGTATGGGTCAACATCCATTTACCAGCTATTTTGGGGTTCACTAGGTACCAGGGTTTTGACCCATCCCCATTTCATTTAGCAAACGGTTAGCAAATTGTTTGGGGTGGTGGAATGCTGCAGGTTTTCTGAAACCCACCTGGACTTCATCACTGCGAATCTCAAACGTTTAGGACAGGTGACCTGGGGCCAGTGTTGCATGCCATTTATCATTGACCTAGAATGGTTTACAACGGAATTGGTGTAACGCCTTCTGTATGAACCAACCAATGGGAATTCAAAATATGGTAGTTTCAACCCTAAACAAAAATATACATACTATTTATATATATATATACGTATACATATACATATATATATATGTATATTATGTATATATATACACACAGTGGGGCCACTTATTGGGGCTCATTTGATTTTGGGGTTACTTTACATCATCCCCAACAGAGATTTTTATCCAACTTCACCCAGATTGGACATGGTGAAAAACGCATCGGTTGCTGATGGTTGATCATCATTTCACCCACATCTTCATGTCTTATCAGGTACCCTCTGGTTATGACTACCCTCCGGTAAACTAACATAACTATGGAAAATCACAATTTTTAATGGGAAATTCCACTATTAATGGCCATTTTCAATAGCTATGTTAGTTTACCAGAGGGAAACATAGCCATGGTATAGATGGCCCATAGAAATAGATGATTTTCCCAGCGAACATCATACCTCCATTTATGGTTGGGATTTTCCATGGCGAACTGTTAGTCATAACCAGATGGTACCATGCAAAAAAGGAGTCAGCATAATCAGTACCAATTCCCATCCATCAACAAACGGCAACGCGACTCGTTTTGTATCAAACTACTAGCCATCCTTTAACGGATGGAAAGCCACAATCGTTACTGAAAATGTTCCTTACATATCCTTACATTCCCCTGAATCCCCTGAATTCTTGTTCGAATCATGGTGACATCATCCGTACCCTCTGGTAAACTAACATAGCTATGGAAAATCACAATTTTTCATGGGAAAACTCACTATAAATGGCCATTTTCCATAGCGATGTTAGTTTACCAGAGGGGAATATTCCCAGATATTTGGCAGGTTTCTGACATGACGAGGTGCCCATTTGCTTCGATGATGATGCACTTCCGCCTTGAGATTGGTGGGATACATTCCGCCCGCCAAAGGCCAGGCTTCCTGGGAATGTGGGGTGCGTGTGGGGTGCTATTTACCCTCTGGTAATCATACAAAAAACTATTCACCCTTTTTCATGGGTATATCCACTATTTCTTTGGCCATTTTCAATAGCTATGTTTGTTTACCAGAGGGGAAATCACAGATGATGGAGTATCACACCTTATCACAATATACATCACAATATCTCAAAATACATCACATTTTTTTAACAGGAAAATCATCCATAAATGGATGCACATGATATGTTCATGGAGGTTCTCCATTGATATGTTGATGATAGGAGGGTCCCTGGGTCCCTTGCCAGCTTTTGTCGAAGTCCCCCTTGCACGTTTGATGGGACCATCCCATGAACAACCAACCATGACTGGGGGTCATGATAAACATCATCCCATGAATGGGGGTATAACCAATAAACCTTTGGGATAGTTTATTTTTGGGTTTACCACATTCTGGATTTAGTTCAAAGCAAAGGTCACTCACAGCATGGGCACATTTCATACAAAACCAGTTGAACTCGATTCATATCTTTCCATCCCAGTGTTTTTGGCAATGTGGACCTACTGTCGATGGTGTAGAAACCCTCCCAACCACTTGGTGCAGGAGTGATTTACCTGTTGAACATCTCCACCAGCTGGGATATCAGTTGTTCCATTTCAGATCCCAACTAATACAGATGTTGTCCAATTCCATGTTTTTGGATCATAAACCATCCATTCTTTGGTACCCAAGTTTCACCCATGCCCACTTCGATTCCAAAACCATGTTCCAGTGCTCCAAAAAGATGGACAATTACGACATAAAGATGGGAAACATGCATTTTTTTCAAGCAAGAGTGGCTACAATTGCTGGTTGGTGGTTGAGCCACCCCTCTGAACAAAAATTGAAAGTCAGTTGGGATGATTCTTCCCAATATATGGGAACATAAAAAATGTTCCAAACCACCAACCAGTATCTTTTTTTTCATGATTTACCTATATGGAGGTTTCCTAAGTCATGGGGATACCCCAAGAAATCATCCATTTCTAGATGGATTTTCCAATTTTCCATCATAAACCAACCCGCGAGCTTGGGGATCAACCCATCCAGTCCTGGTTCTTTGGAAGACGGGCCTTTTCCAAGACCATGAACCACTGCTGATGAACCTCCAGCGGCTCCAGCGTCCAGGTGAACCAATGCCCAAGTTTCTTGGTGTACAGAGCCCATTCACTATCATTGTAATGATGTATATATATATATACGTATATATATATAACATATATATATATATCATGATATATCTACCAAACAAAACAGCAACTGGAATTATGCAGACTCCAATTTCATCCAATTTCGCTTGAATATTTGAGACAACACCTTTAAATGGGGACATCAAACATGCTTCCAGTGAGAAACCAAAGGACATCAGCAAGTTTCTACCCGCAACGATGTCATCACTGGGGAATCCGTGTTCAAAATGGATGTAATTTTCAGACCAGCGGTGTTACTAACTCCATTTGAAAATCCGGATATAGACAAAGTATACAGGAGTACATAGAACATAAAATTGGATCCCAATTTATACATCTAAACAAAAATACAAGTGCATGGATTTAGTGCCATCTTGACCTTTTTTTTTAATAAAGAAAACAACCAACATAAAAACATAAAATACATTAAAATAGCCCTCCGTGGATCCACATGGTCGATTTCCGAGAAAAAAACAAGTTTCTGCTGTTTGCAGCAAAGCCAGATCATTCCAACACCATCACAACCTGTTTCTGAACCATAAACATCCATAAACCATTCTGATTCTCATGGCTTGGAGAATCATCCCACAGATTGTAAGTGTGAAGGAAAACCCTGATTGTAGAGTCCGGTTATTTTAAGTGGGATTATCGATTCATAAGTGGGTCCTAGTCATTGTTAAAAAAAAAAACAGTGTTTGCTGCTTACATATTATCCAGTTTGTAGAAATCCCACTGTATCTGCTCTTGTTTGTAATTAACTGGTGTTTACTGAAGGGTATTAACTGCTATTGGTAGATCCAGTTGCCAACCAGTTACCCTTCAGCAAACGAACATAGCTCTGGAAATCAACGATTTTAGTACCCTCTGGTAAACTAACATAACTATGGAAAATCACCATTTTTAATGGGAAAATCCACTATAAATGGCCATTTCCAATAGCTATGTTAGTTTACCAGAGGGTAGATCATTTCCGAATGGCTTTCCCAACCACGGATTTCACTCCGAAACGCTAACTTTTTGTACGGAAAAACGTGGACTGGACATCAACAGATAATCCTGGAAGATGTCTCCACTGTATCTCCCCAGTACATCCAAACATATTAGTAACCATATATATATATATATGTATGTATATGTATACAGTAAATACAATCATATACACAAATGGATAAATCCTCATAATGTGGTAAAACCTACAGAATATTGCCCATCCCCAACACCGCGCTGCTATGGCCTATGGCATTGGGTTTCTCGCATGAATCTCTACTGGTTTCAAAATGGTTTTAACCCATCCCAAAAGCTGCAAATGGAAAAAGCAGATAAATCATGATCAATCTGACCGATTTTTTGTATGTTCTATTAATGATAAATTATGGCAGTGATTAAATCAGATAAACAGTGTTATTTTTTCGCTGGTTTCAACATGTTTCAACTCATCCCAAACAGCTATGCTGGCTATGCTCGTCATCTACGAACGAAAACTCCAGTCCCACCTGAACGAAGCCTCTGACCACAGCTTTAGGAGCCAGGTTCCACGTCTCATCCAGCCGTGCAGTGCCAGGCCTGACTCCCAAATAGATAGTTGGACAAATCCAACTAAAATAGGGGTGAATTACTTTACTCTGATTTTACTTTTCTATGGTTAGATGGAGTGAATTACTTTACTAAGATTTTACTTTTCTATGGTTAGAGGGGGTGAATTAAAGTGTTATAAATAAGCATCTCATAACTGTGAAGCCCACCTTCTATACCTGTATCGACGGCATCACAACCAGCAACCGGGGAGTTGTCAAAGGCTGATCAGTTAGTTACATGGCCAGCTGGGAAATCCCCGATCAACATATGAACATGTTAAAATGGACATGTAATATATATATATATCTATCTGATTGGTGGTTGAGAATAATGGTTATATAATGATGGTTAATACCATGGTTGTTATCTGGTTAATGATGGTTAATAGTAATGACTGATTGGTGGTTGACCTAGCCCTCTGAAAAAAAATATGAGCTCGTCAGTTGGGATGATGACATTCCCAACTGTTTCTGGAAAGTCATGTTCCAAACATGTTCCAGTCACTTTCCAGTCACCACCAAAAATGGTATGTTTAAAATATATATGTATGGTTAATATTAAAATAAGCCCAATAGCTGGTTGGTGGTTGACCTACATTAATGATGGTTAATATACTGTTAATAATGGTTAATGATGGTATGTTTTGATGGGAACATCATGGGAACATCAGGGATCCAGTGGGATCCAACCCTGTGACGACAAGCTGAGCTGCTCATCACTGCGCGGTGCCATAGGCAACTCAAACTTTCTGTGGAAGACCTTGGCAAGGAGAGGAGCTTAGCTGGCTTAGCTGTGGACCACGTGTTGATATTTTGAAGTCTTGAAACAGAGTTGTGAATCATTGGCTTGGTTTTGGACAAAAAAATATACAGAAAACCCATCAATTTACCAGCCATTTCTGTAGCTTTTCCAAGTTGTTTTCTCTGTAAATTGTCCCTTCAACATCCTTCAACCATTTCTGGGAATAGGAATCGGCATCCAGACATCTCATGGCAGCCTGGCCCCTGGAAAAAATAGATGGAAATCACCAAATCCACCGGTTATCGCCTCGCCATTTTTAAGGGGTACCCCTGATTCTTAGCCTTGGATACGGGAAAAAACCGGGTACACCGCAAATTTTCACACACCTGACATGAAATCATGGGATATCTGATGATATCTGGATATATCTGGATACTCCTTGAAAAAGGCAAGATCTCACCACCAGCTGTATGCTTTCACAGCTGTTACATCTAAGCTGTGGATGGGATATCCATGCCTATCTTTCTGGATGTTTTTTTGCTGGCAATTCAGATGACCTCTAAATGCAGCATGGTTGGAGTGTGTTCATATGGGGGGTCCCATAAATGGGGGTACTGTATTCAAAATGGTAGGTTTATAATGGAAACTCCCGTTAAAATGGATGATTTGGGGGTATTTCAGGAAACCTCAAATTCTTCTGAAAGTTGAACAAACAAAGAATCTTGGGGATTCCCCTTGCCATCATCTTCTGGTGAGGTTCTTACAAGGTGTGCCCCTAAGTGTTGTTCGTTGATGTCGAAACCAATCTCGCTATATAGCTATATTATGTATATATATATATACACAGTACATATAATCATATATATATATCACACACATATATATATATACATATATCATCTAAGTAGCCTATACTTCCTCTTCATTTCAACCAACTGCCCTATCCTTTGAAAATGGCGCTGAGCCACGTTCACTGCCAGCTGGTTCTTGAGAACATCAGTGGTGGTTTCCAGGCGGGTGACGTAGGCAGGGACAAAGTTGCGGATGAGGACCTGGTATCAATCGAGGGGCGTGGGCTGAAAAACTAAGATACCCGGCCTGGTAAACATACAAAAAGCTATGGAAAATCACCATTTATAGTGAGCTTTCCCATGAAAAATGGTGATTTTCCATAGTTATGTTAGTTTACCAGAGGGTAACTGTAATTAGAGGGATACTACCTTGTAACTAATTGTAACATATTGTAACTATACCCAAAAAATATTGCCATTATATAGCTCTTGTATATCCATCATATAGCCCACATATATATATATATAAATATCTATTTATTTATATGTATAGTTCATGGGGGTTGTAAATCTTATAAACCAACAAATATAATCGATCAAAAACGCTGCGGATGAGGCGACTGGCCGCCTGTCCATTTTTATCTGGGGAAAATGATGAGATGGATGCTTGGTGATGTATATATATATATATACACATGTATTTATGTATACTACAGAATACATGATATATCTAAATAGATATACTGTAGCTACTGTAGGCTTATTCATGACTAGGGGGGCAGTTTGAAGCACACTTTGGTGGCTTTCAGCGCGTACAGGGCACTTCCACACGGCATTTCCTGCTGGTCACGTGCTCGATGAAGCCCTCCAGCTTTTCCTGGTCACCCGTCATGGCAGTCACTTGGGATCATCATCCTATGAAAAGAACCAACACTATTATATTATATATTATAGATATTATTATCACCACAATAATAATAGTATTACATAGTATACATTAATAAAAGTGTAGTACAATAATTGTATTATAGATGATACACTCTTATTATGATATGTACTATGTAGTATTATCATAATATTATCATAATGTATTGTCATTATCAGCTACATGTATATATATATATATACATACATGTATTACTATAATTATCACTATGATGAGTACTATGTATTATCATTATTTTTACTTTTTTTTCAATGGAAAACAACTACTTCGACTTAGTAGGATCAACACGGCGATTCCACGGCAACAGCAAGCTTGCGCAAAAACCATCTGCCATTTTCACCCCGGGAAGCAGACTATCCTGTCAACTTTGCCGGACCAACTATTTTGCAAGCAAAACAACTAGTTATTGATGTGAAAGTTCAGAATTTTAACAACCTATGACCATGAAAACCCATATTCCCCCACCTTGAGACATTGTCATCCTAAACACGACGCTGGATCTCCCAAACGACAAATCATCAGCAATTCATCGGTCACACCCCATGATCATCAATGATTCAGGATTGGTAATTCATAATGTAGTACAGTAAATCACATCAGTTAGGGCTATTTTGTGATAGTTACCTCTTACTGCACTTACCACCATTCCAGTGCCGTCGCAGTGAGTTTGTTGTACTCTATCCAGATAATTGGTGCGGGGCTATACACACATTTCATACCTCCAACTGATGGGAAACCAATCAGGGCAACCCCCTGTTGGTCGGTTGACCAATGCATTGCACTGAGTGTGATCATCAAACAGGGCAAATGACTACCATCAAAATTTGATATACCCTCTGGTTATGACTAACATAGCCATGGTATAGATGGCCATAGAAATAGATGGTTTACCTATTAAAAATGGTGATTTTCCATAGCTATGTTAAATAATGCTTGCTTTGGGTTGGAAAATTTTGAGTGTGGACAAACCATGATGAACCCAGTGGTTTTATCCTGCTCTCACTTGGTTAAATCTCTGGTTTTGTACTTGAACAAAAAGAAACACAATTTTGGATGGGTAAATCCGGATGTTTATTGGTGAGATCCCTTCTCCCGGTTTTACGGCAACATTTTTTGCTGTTTGAATCCACAGTCTTGCATTTCAACTCCCAATTGTTAATAGTTAAATCATGTTAAATCATACATTTTTCATTGGTGAGGGGCAAACCACCATTTTCATGGGTTAACTTCCCATTTTTGTTGGGTTAAACGGTTAAACCGTCCATTTCTGGTTGGGTTGTCATGGAATCATTCACAGCCCAGTTTCTAATTTGCATCTCTCTGCCAAGCTCGGCTTCTTTGCCTGGAGAAAAAACAGCTTGGAAAAGAAAACTGTCTCTGGGGTCGCTTCTTCACTACCCAAATATAGTATTTTATGTGTAAATAATGTATATATATATACATATATATATAATATCAATCATAGAATCATATTACAGTATATTGATGTAAATTATACAATATTATATCATACTAACCCCCCAACAAAATAATATATTAGATATAGAACATGGATTTTTACCATGATTTACCAAATTTCATATGTGACTTTCTATGTATCTCTTTGGTTGCTGACTCTGCCTGCGGTTTGGCCGTCAGCAGCTGCTCAAAGACTTGCTGCGCGCCCTTGGCTACGGCCGCCTTTGGGTCGGTCAGCACGGTTTTCCTGGTGACGGTGAGAAAAGACGGGTTATATTTGGGGGAGTGGGAACATGGGAAACGGAACAGTTGAGGCACGGGATAACAAAACATGGATTTAGTATGATTTAAAGGCTAATCATGGGATTAATCATGACTAACCACTAGTGAAATATGGTGCAACCAACCATTTCATGGGTATAGAATGGGGAATTCTATGTTAATTATGTTATGGGATATGCTTTGCCAAGTATAAACATTTAATTTATTCAACTTATACCCGGTTTTCCGACACATAGGGATTTCCATTGCCAGATACAGGCGGGAGAGTGTATATATCTTAATGAGAACTGGTCAGAAGCCAAGCTTACCATGGAGAAACATAGTGGACTTCTATTTGTTTGGCGTTCTTTTGGCACATCTTTTACGTAGAGTAAGAGTAACAAACATGAACAAAAACAAGATGTTCAGCTCTTGACAGAAGATTCCTCTATCAAAACTGGAAGAACAACCTCTACAAAGCCAATGTTCACCCGAACATACTTCACACAAATTATGCATATATATATATACATACAGTCACCGACAGAATTATGGAAAAAAAAAACGTTTCAATTTACAGGCGCCGCCTGTCTATGATAGAAAAGTTACGAACTTTTTTTTCCATAATTAATGTTTCCATATTTTTTTCCCATAATTCTGTCGGTGACTGTATGTCCATCGATTCGCAATTTGAATGCATTTTAAGGGGGAATATTGAATTATAGAAAATTTGTGTCTAAAGATCTGGTATATGCCCCTAAGTCTTCCATTGATATACATAATATCATGTGATGTTCGCAATTTGAATGCATTTTAAGGAGGAATATTGAATTATAGAAAATATGTGTCTAAAGATCTGGTATATGCCCCTAAAGCCTGCCATTGATATACATAATATCATGTGATGTTCGCAATTTGAATGCATTTTAAGGGGGAATATTGAATTATAGAAAATATGTGTCTAAAGATCTGGTATATGCCCCTAAAGCCAGAATTATGGAAAAAATAATTATGGAAAAAATAATTATGGAAAAAATAATTATGGAAAAACCGGTCAATCTGCCCTAGCCCCCTGATTTCACAGGAAAAATCAATTATGGAAATAATGGCCACCTCCAAGAATTATGGAAAAAAAAAAGGTTCGGATCACTTCCGAGATATTTTGAACCCTTATGGGGAAAAATGCAATTATGGAAAAATCGGACGCAGGCGCCGCCTGTCTAAGTTGAACGTTGTTTTTTTTTCCATAATTCTGTCGGTGACCATAATTATACATAATTCTGACTTTGAGTGGGATATGAATTTGTCCTCTATGCGCAACAAAATTGTTGGCAAAATCATCGAGCTGGCAGGATTTTCCAGCCATCTTTGAGTACCACCCAATGGTTCCCGATCAATCCCCAGTTTTCAATTGTTTTGATGGGTTACATCAGTGTTGAATCATCTGAATCCCCATTTACCCTCTGGTAAACATACAAAAAGCTGTTGATTTTATGGCCATAGAAATAGTGGATTTTCCCATGAAAAATGGAGATTTTCCAATATTTTCCATAGTTATGGGACAGTTTACCAGAGGTCAATGGGCCCCATTTTGGACGGCGTTTTTGGTGCCATTTCTCCATGGCATTTTTGGCGCTTCCAAGGTGCAGGAACTGGACCTGGGCTTCGCAAGCCAGGTAGGCCTTCGGCTCACCGAAGAGTCTGGCCCATTCCTCGGGCCATGAACTGGGGGTATAACTGGTATCAAAATGGGGTTATCACGGAAATATCACATTTTTTGGTTTCATCATACTCAATGGGAGTTCATCAACAGTTCCATAATAGTTGATATGTCAATTAGCCTCTGGTAAACATACAAAAAGCTATTGAACATGGCAATTTATAGTTGATTTACCCATTGAATATGGTGATTTTCCATAGTTATGTTAGTTTACCAAAGGGTATTTCATATAGAAAATTATGATTTCCCAGTTTGAATAGGAAAATTGGATATGATATCTCATTTCTTATATGTCTTTTCCATTAACTCACATGTCTGTTCTATTCCATTATAAAACAATTAATGTTAGTAAAGCAATAGTAAACCATCCCAAATTTTACCACAAATGCAACCATCAAAGTATGGGTGGTCTATTATTGCTTTACTAACATTAGTGCATTAGTTAACTGTGTCACGACATATGAAATCACCAATACTATAATGGGATACTTAAATATTATACGGGATATTATCGACATAACCTGTCACAAACTATATGATATCAACTATTCAGCCAATATTAGTTCCATTAACTCTAAAATATTATCTATGTTCCTTGATCTGGGATATTGAATCAGTAATTCACTATGGGGTATATGATTATATATGTTGATATATGAAATCTATGATGGGATATGAACTTTCTATGGGATATCGATCTATATATTCAGTGTTACAAGGTGATGCCCCCCCAGTCCTAAATCATTTCTTATAATCCCATGAACTATAGATATATCATGATATATCACCAACAAAAACCAGTTGGTGACATTGGACTTGTTTGCACCAACCAATCGCGATTCCGAACTGGGGCACCACCCTGCGACCTTTCCGAGGCGCCGCCTCCTTGGCCAAGAGCTTCTTCTGCTCCGCTTCCGACATCTCCACCTCCGTCTCCTGCAGGTCCTGGAAAGAGATCGGAGCGCTACAATTTTTGATGTGAACCTTGAAACACATTGGAAGGAAAATCATGGAAATCACAAGTTTTTTTTGCATTCAGATGTTTTTTTGTTGGTTTTTTCTCAAGGTTCAGTGGATTATTCCACCAAATGGTCATTTCCTTCGAGGGAAAATCCCTTCTGCGAAGCATTTTTGTGAGTGTCATGAAAAGTTTCATGACAAAATTCAGGCATTGGAAAATAGAAAATCATGGGTTCTCAAGAACAGGTTGCCAGTGAGCCACAAAACATTTGTTATTATATTTACAATACAGCTGAGAAGTGCCGATATCTGGCGTTGTGCGCATTTCTGAACACCGTGTCCCCCAGAAATGGGGCTGCCGGGATAATATGGATAGATGTGGATAGTAACATATGGTACCCTCTGGTAAACATACAAAAAATCTATTGAACATCACCATGTTTAATGGGTATATCAACTATAAATGGCCATTTTCAATAGCTATGTTAGTTTACCAGAGGGTGCAACTTCAACAATTCTCTGGTTGAAAAACGCACAAAATCCAACAACCATATGACATCCCTTCACGCCTGAGGAGTCACCGTAACAGTGCACACCTGGTCATCTCAAAATCTCAAAATGTGATGTAGTCATGTGGGCCATGTTGAGGGACGGAATATGACGAATATCTGGAACTAAAATCAGATTTGGCCGTGTTTTGGTAAGCTTTAGTATGCCTTAGTCTGTTTTAGTATTGCATTCTTATCATTGTGTATATTTCTTTATCCGTTCTGAAATCTAAATCATTAACAGAATTATCCATAATCCAATGCTTCGTTTTACTATGCTCTGGTGCAATGATTCATTGAGAAATTTAGCATCCCCTCAGCTCAACATGTCGACCAGGCGGAAGAGGGAAGCTTTTGAGTTACCCCCCCCCCAAAAAAAAGGTGGTTGGGTGGTTAACTTCCCAAAACAGGTGTGTTCGTTGTATGTTGTAATCATTATATTGGCTGCTTTTTGGAGGGTCAATATGTTCCATCCCCATCCCCATCTCCCCATCCCCCATCCTATCCCGCCCCCCCATCCCTATCCCCATCTCAATAAATCATCATAGTTCATCATATTTCTCTAAGCTGAAACAGTCACCAACAGCTAATTTTTGGTTGTCATACACCAACAGGTCATTTTGGGAGACCTCCCCATAGCCTCGACCCTCGACCCATGCAACCCGTCGGATGCCGAGCTGCGACCATTTTGTCGCCCTTCTTGCGACTCTTTGGCCAAATGGCGTTGTGCTCTGCCACTTCCTCAGCGAAAAAGGCAGTTCCCAACGCTGATTTTGAAGTGCCATTTAAATGACAACAAGATATTAATACATACATGTATACTGTATATATATATATATACATATATATATATATAATTATAAATACATACATATATGTACATGTTTTTTTCCAGCATTCAGCCTTCAGCAAGCAGTTGGATTGTCTTCAAACTACTTTTTTTTTGAAGAAACCGTCGACTTGTCTGCTTCGCTGCGAGGTCGGGAACCACTACCCTCTGGTTATTTAACATAGCTATGGAAAATCACCATTTTTAATGGGAAAATCCACTATTTCTATGGCCATTTTCAATAGCTTTTTGTATGTTTACCAGGCCGGGTATATTTCGGACAAACCAAAATCTCTATTTCCATCAGGACCACTGTACCATGGACCACTGGACCGCTGCAGCCTGGTATCTTGTCCAGACTTCCTCACAATCACCTGACCACGAAACCCGTTTTCGATTTCTGTGCTTTTTGCAACTTGGACAAGAACAAAGGATATCAACAAGGATTCCTATAGCATGCTACAGCCATAGGTTTCAGCCCACACTTGAAATTATTCCCACAGTGCGTTTCTAACAACTTGGTGAGCTTTCACATCCAAGACTGAACAGAATTTGGCAAACCAACCTTTAAACTAATGTGCACATCCCGAATAGCTATTCCTTTTTTGGAACATGTATAACATGTTGACATTTTCAAGAATCTTGTTGAGCATTTCAGCTTCAACCTCCGCCTTGCATGAGCCGTCAGCCGCTACAGCCAATCCTATAATCGCCCCATCAAGCGGCACCTTAAAGGGAACGTCGGCTGCGTCACGGTTGTTGAAGTTGTTGACGCAAAAGGTGAAAGTTCCTTGGATCAGAACATGGGGGAACTCTCAGTCTTCAGAATGTCGCAGATGGGTGTGTCTGAAAATGGGGTTGAATGGGGTTTATATGGTTTATCAACAATTGGTGAACGTTTTTCAGAGGCAACATGATGAACTGTGGGATTTACATATGGATTTACTGTGAACCTCAGGGGTAATGACTTCCGAGGATCACTGACCGGGCACCTACGTTGGGGGGGGCGTAAGAACGGCGAGACGGGATAACAACAAATTCCGAGTTCAGTGGAAACATGTGTCGCAGATGCCAGCTGGTTTTCTGCTGATGAACTCCTCCATCAAGAAATTAAGAAGCGCGTCCGATTCATAGTGACTATACTAAGCCCGAAAAGATGGAAAAGTCATCTTTTTGGAGATTGCTATATCCCATAGGATCCATGTATGGTATATATGCTAACATTTGGGGTATATTGATGGTAAATGTTACCATATATAGCATACATGGAACCTATGGGTATTGATCTTTTTGTTTCCTATGATTCACCCGTTGCTTGTGAACAGTTTTTTTGCTACGCGAGAAAAACCAGGCACCAGTTGCTTTCCGTAATTCTACCAGCATTGTGACTATGAATTATAACATAGTAGTGCCCCGTACTTAGCGAAGCTGCTAACATAACTCAAAAATTAAGAGCAGTAGGGTTTCTGGTAGATATATTTCCATAGTCAATGGGCGTTGTAAACATGCATAGATCAACAAATAGCACCTGGGGGCGGGGCACCACTTTGTGAAAAAGTCTCCAGTCTGATTCAACGAGATGTTCTCTGCCGGGTTCTTCTCGATGGTGCTGGCGTTGGCATCAAAATCCAACTTGCATTTTCCCACCTCACGGCAGGGCCACATGTTTTCTTCTGCATATAGCCACCTGGTAAACCCAAGGTTGGAAGCGTTGGACAGCGGGAAATCATTAGGTGAGGATAAGGCTCAAATTGTTTATGACATCCTACTGGTTGGTGGTATACCTACCCCTCTGAAAAATCATGGAGTTCGTCAGTTGGGATGATGAAACTATTCCCAATATATGGAAACATCCCATTAAAATCCATTAAAATCCATTAAACCACTATAATCCATTAATCCCAAGATGATGGGAACGTCATAAAATTCCATGGTTCCAGTCACCAACCAGCCGAAAAAAACGCTTCGATCCTTGGGCCATTGGGTCGCCCTGCAGAGGTACGACTGGGATACCGGGATACGAAATGATACAAACGACGAATGTATGCATGATTATGCATGTATACTATATATATATATACTGTATATATGGGTAAATTATAATATTTCACGAAACTGAATACTGAATCATATATAATTTACCCAGAATTACATAGTTAATTATAATTATATATATATATATATACGTATATCTATTGCAGCAGCAAAGTCTATAGCAGCCGGCCAAAAAGTACATCAAGTGCCAAAAAAAAGAACCAGCGGATGGATTGATCAATCCTCCGAAGATTTCCACACCTACCGCCCCGCTGTGTCAGAAATGGATCTACTAATCCTCACAGCTATGGCTTTGTCAGAAAATAAGGGGATTTCTTTACTGGACATCACTGGTCAACTTACATATTGAATCATATGATATTTGTCTATTGATGGGGAACATGATTTTTCCAAACAACTGTTTTTTTTTGGGGGGGTTTCCCACCATGTTCCGACTGCGAGTGACAAAGCAATGTGGCTTGTCTGAGAATGCCCCAAGAGTTCATGGATTATCATCATCCGGTCGAAAACCCTTCCCAGTGGTGGTCCAAATCCAATTTACCCTCTGGTAATTTAACGTAGCTATGGAAAATCACCATTTTTGATGGGAAAACTCACTATAAATGGCCATTTTCAATAGCTATGTTAAATTACCAGAGGGTACCATGCAACAACAAAAACTGACAAAAAGAGAAACTGGAAACAACAGCCAGTCATGGTTACAATTTCATTTTTTTTTCTAAGCCATGTATCACTGAGGTTTATCCGCCACCCGTCCCAGAAGTGTTTTCGGGTAGCGAATCCCAAGGCTTGGTACAAGGTAAGGCCCCGTAGAGCTTGACTTATAACTTGCTTGACTTATAACTTGCTTATAACTTGGATGTTATTATAATACATTATAATAGGATGTACAATAATTACTATAATAGATTATAATAGATCCAGTAATAGTTAATATTGGATGTTATTGGGTTTGTAAAACAACTTTTTACTGGGTGGTAATTTTTCCGCTATGTTGGTCCAGCTCGGCTAAATTTTTGACACCTCGGACTCCTCGTCTTTCCAAGCCACAGTTCGGACTCCATAGTAGAGCTCAACCTCGGCACAGAGACCGTTTTCTACCACCAAGAACTTGCATTTTGACCAACGAAGATATGCTTGTTTTAAAACTTGCCATTTTCAACAGGCATATATGTTTTGGAACAATGATAACAATAACAATAACAATAACGAAGGATGATGGGGCCCAAATATCAAATAACAATTAGACGACATGGTGCCACAGAGACGTGCGATTACTTGAAAGCGTCACATTAACACGGTCATAGGGGGGCACATGATATATATATATATATTTATACATATATATATAATGTACATGATTGTATAATACATGTACCCTCTGGCAATTTAACATAGCCATGGTATAGATGGCCCATAGAAATAGATGTTTTTGAATGATATTTCCCTATTGTTTTAATGGTGATTCTCCATAGCTACGTTAAATAACCAGAGGGTATTCACCATATGTCTATGTCCACCTTGGCAGTGAGCCATGGCTCACCCGGATCCGATAGGACTCAAAAGAAGGTGCAACACTCAGAAATCTGAGCACAGCTATCAAGGATCCTTGAACACGGGACACTATCTATGAAACTATTGGAACTATTGGTCAACATTGGGTAAGTAAACCAATTCTTAGATGGGATCATCCCAGCGATGGAACATGGTATCTGTTGAAACCACCAAGCCTGATGATGATTTAGTTAACCTTCACTGCTGGGTGATTTAATGTGATTTACCCTCTGGTAAACTCACATAGCTATTGAACATGGCCATAGAACTAATAGAAATAGTGGATTTAGCCATTAAAAATGGTGATTTTCCATAGTTACGTTAGTTTACCAGAGGGTATTACCATGTTTCTTGCGCAAGATTGCGCCTCAAGCAAACATATGTGACATACCGAGTCCATCCACAAAAATTACCGATCAACGGGGCCTAGATATATACCTTTAATCATTGGCAAAACATAACGGCATCATATACATACAATCATGTGCACAGAAAACCACTGGTATCAATGATGGTAATTAGAAGTATGATTTAACGTAAAACACGTGAAAAAATATTTCATCTAACACATGATATCAGCCATTGTATTGAAGTAATCATTGATAATGAATAATTCATTGTCATCCAATATCTGATAAAGGTATCAACAATATCTGATAGTGTTTCACCATTGCTTCGAAACCATTCGAAAAAGTGCAGCCATACGCAGCCCAGCTTCTCCATTGACCCAGGTGTGGATGTCCAAATCCGACCTCAACAAACGGCCAGGCTTCCGACAGCATCGAGCAACGGTCATGTGAACAAAAATCATGTGGATGTATATCTATATAGTCAATTAATGCATATTTATATATAGAATTATATAGATATGCATCATATTATAGACATTTCTAGACCACATCACTCCAAATCATATCATATCATATGTCAATATGAATGCGGATATGATGGGATATGTATATATATATATGTATAGAGAGAGACCAGATTAATTCTTGTAATTCCTTTCTCCACCCAACGACCCTGCGATATTTTTGGGAAGCCACCCGCCAAGCGCAGCAACTGGGAGGACAACTAAGGGCATTTTTGACCTGACTTGTTATGGCCTTCTAGCAATTCAAGACGTCCCTTTGAAAGGGGCCAGAACCAACAACTCAGCACCAAGTGTAACCCCAGAAAGGACAGACAAGTAAAGCATCGCTTATTTTGGACTTGGATTTACTATCGTATCTATCGTTTTTGGAGGTTACTACAGTTCACAGGAGAATCTCTCTCCGCATTTGTTCGCTGGGCGACCGTTCATCATTTTTTTTATCCGTGAGGTATCCAGCGTGCCACCCGTGCCACCCGTGCTGACCAGCTGAGCAACTTGTAGGGTGCACCATCCAAGCCCCACATCAACGTCACGGTGCACAGGGATGCGACGCGATTCTCACGGAGGCGATCCTGTGGAAAAAATCACGTAGCAACATGGCTGGAAAATCTCCGAACGAAAAAAAAAAGTTTCAATGGGAAACTGATGTTTGATCAATTTTAGTGTTTTATATATATATATGTGGTTTGAATATGTTTGAATATGTTTGAATATGTTTGAATATGTTTGAATATGTTTGAATATGTTTGAATGGTAAATCAATAGTTGATTTTCTAGCCATGTTTGATTACCAGAGCGTAACTGCAAGGTCTCTTGAGGTAATTCTCCACATGGGGGCATCGATTCTTTGCAATTTTTGCATGGAAGTATGGCAGGGAATGCTACAAACTTGGAGCTGGTTGATTGCCTGGTCCATTCCAAATGGATTGGTGTCATTTTATCCATTGTTGCATCCTTTTTCACTATGTTCTTTGACCAAGACCCATTCACCACCCCTCATCGCCATTTCCGGGTAGTAAAAAACACATGTTTCATATTAAAAGAACACAGTTCATGGAAAAGTCGACACACATTTTCATCGTGAAAAAGGTCACCTTCTGCCGAGGCGCAGCCACGCGCGACACCTGATAGGTCTCCGGGTTGCTGCGGTCGTCCATCATGGCGCACAGGGCACTGCTGTTCTCAGCACCCTCCATGAAGTCCACTAAGTTGCTGGCCTGCAACAAGGACTTCCACCTTTTTCCATGGAAAATATATGGAAACTCCAATGAATTTGAACACGATCAAGGCACCCTGAGAATCCATTCGTTGATTCATTGTCCAAACTGGTCCTCTTGGGCGACCCAACATTTTTTCATGGAAACCATAGAGGTTTCCATTGGGTCGACGTTTGGGGCACCGCAATTTGATCAACCCGCCATGCGGAAGTTTAACCAACATTAATCAACAACAATCAAGTTTTCAAAGATTCAACGCAAACGTCTAGTCAGCAAAAGGGTTTTGGGCCACGGTTCATATATGGGCAATAGATGGCAATAGATGGCAATAGATGGCAATAGCTTGTCGTGTATCTCATTGTGTATGTACTGTGTATATATATATATATGTATATATATATATACACACTCAATTACCCAATTAATGACCATTTGGGGTAATCAACAACCAGCCCCAAAAAAAGTTGCATTATTTTTCGGTTTATCATCTCGCTGAATCTATGCTCCAGCGTTCCCCACGCCCCGTCAAGGTATGGTTCTGGTATTTAACCTCCCCCGAGGAGTATGTAGTATAGGTATGCAGGTAGTGTATCAATGGTATATGTGTCGTGTACTGGCTATATATGTATATAGCTTGTGTATAGGTAGGGATAGCTAAGCTATAAGGAGTGCATAAGTGTAGTATATTGCTACGCTGGGGGCAAACATACTATATACATATATATATATATATATAAATATGTAAGTAGTATGGAGATAGTTTGCATTTTGTGGGGAGTATCATATGGGTGAATGACAGAATGACATGTAGTTTGTAATATAGAGAGTATGCAAGTAGTACAAAACATAGGTGATATAGGTGTATATATGTAGTACGTAGGTAGAAGAACGGTAGAAAACAGTAGTTCGGTAGGTAGTGCTGAGGTAGATTGCTAGAATATATAATTAGGTAGTTGGGGACTGGAATGCTGCAAATAGGAGGCTGCAAATAGCATTGAAATGGAGCTTTGGGCTGGAAGGATGGGGACGGACATGGGATGAAATGGGACATGGAAGCATGTATATGTTATATCCTGTATCTGTATTCCCAGTATGGTTTGATAAATCCCGATTTTTTGACGCTTACCACATAAACTCTTATATAATTATATCTTGGACATTTGTTAGTCATATGTCCACCACAGTCATGGCAAAATAACTGCTAGCTGAAGTAGCATGATCATTTTTGATAGTTAAATGACGGTTAAATCACAGTTGTTGATGGTAACAAACCAACATCCATTTGTTGGTTAAGACGCCATATTTGTTTCATTAAATCAGCCATATTTGTGTTGGTTGAAATTATCCATTTGTGTTGACTAAGTCACACGTTTTCTTGGTTAAATCATCAGCTTTGTCTGTTAAATCAACACATGTCTTGGCTGAAATCACAACTTTTGATTACTAAAGAAACACTCTTGCTGATTATATTTTTCTCACAGTAATTCTGAGTTAGATCATGTTAGATCACCATTTTTGCTTGGTGAAACCATCCATCAAAAAAGGATAGCTAGTCTGTTTGGGCTACACCCAGCCGTCCCTTGCCCTTGCTCCGCATTGCTCCGCTCTCCTCCGGCCTGCTGCAGGTCCAGATGGATGGCGTCGCTGATGCGGCCCGTCAGCATGGCGTAGATCATGACCTTGGCCGCGCCGACGGGACCTTGGCGGTGTACCCGGCCTGGTAAACTGTCCCAAAAAACGACGGAAAGATCCACCATTTTTCATGGGAAAAATTCACTATTTTTATGGCCATGTTTAGCTATGTAACAAATTACCAAGGTGTACATTCGGTGGTCCATTCGTTGCTTCGCTGAGTTTTTTTTTACCAACTGGAAAACTTGGTGGTAGGTAAATATCATATAACTAGCTATCATATTTACAAAACTATCCGCCGACCCCAGCCGGATGCTGGGGGAGCGCGCTGGAGAAGGCCTGCCCTGAAGAATGCTCAAGGGACAGACAGAGACAGATAGAGACAGACACAGACAGAGACAGACAGACAGAGACAGACAGATAGAGACAGAGAGACGGAGAGAGACAGAGAGAGACAGAGAGAGAGAGAGAGAGAGACAGAGAGACAGGCAGACAGACAGACAGACAGATAGACAGACAGACAGATACAGACAGATACAGACAGACAGACAGACAGACAGGCAGACAGACAGACAGACAGACAGAGAGAGAGACAGACAGAGAGACAGAACAGACAGACAGACCAGAACAGACAGACAGACAGGCAGGCAGGCAGGCAGGCAGGCAGACAGACAGACAGACAGACAGGCAGGCAGGCAGGCAGGCAGGCAGGCAGGCAGACAGACAGACAGACGCCGTTTGTGAGCCTCGGCGGCTGGAAGACAGCTATAGACAGACAGACAGACAGACAGACAGACAGGCGCCGTTTGTGAGCCTCGGCGGCTGGAAGACAGCTAGATTTTCTTGTAGGTTCAGAAAGTGACGTTAGGCAGTGGGGGCCGTTGCCCGCAGGCCCGGTCCGTCCCTCAGGCCCTGCTGTTTCGCTGTTTCGGACGCGCCGTTTGTGAGCTGCGGCGGCTGGAAGACAGCTATAGATTTTCTTGTAGGGTCAGAAAGTGACGTTAGGCAGTGGGGGCCGTTGCCCGAGGTCCGGTCCGTCCCTCAGGGCCCTGCTGTTTCGTTGTTTCGGATGCGCCGTTTGTGAGCCTCGGCGGCTGGAAGACAGCTAGATTTTCCTGTAGGGTCAGAAAGTGACGTTAGGCAGTGGGGGCCGTTGCCCGAGGCCCGGTCCGTCCCTCAGGGCCCTGCTGTTTCGCTGTTTCGGATGCGCCGTTTGTGAGCCTCGGCGGCTGGAAGACAGCTAGATTTTCTTGTAGGGTCAGAAAGTGACGTTAGGCAGTGGGGGCCGTTGCCCGGAGGCCCGGTCCGTCCCTCAGGGCCCTGCTGTTTCGCTGTTTCGCATGCGCCCGGCAAAGGTGGCAGTCGGCAGCTTCCAGAGCTACTAAGGGCTTCAGAAAGCAACGTTAGGCACTGGCGCCTGGCCTTGGGACACGCGGTTGGGACCAGCAGGCCCTGCTGTTTCGCTGTTTCGCATGCGCCCGGCAAAGGTGGCAGCCGGCAGCTTCCAGAGCTACTTTTCTAAGGGCTTCAGAACGCAACGTTAGGCAGTGGCGCCTGGCCTTGGGACACGCGGTTGGGACCAGCAGGCCCTGCTGTTGCGCTGTTTCGCATGCGCCCGGCAAAGGTGGCAGCGGCAGCTTCCAGAGCTACTTTTCTAAGGGCTTCAGAAAGCAACGTTAGGCAGTGGCGCCTGGCCTTGGGACACGCGGTTGGGACCAGCAGGCCCTGCTGTTTCGCTGTTTCGCGCCCGGCATGCGCCCGGCAAAGGTGGCAGCCGGCAGCTTCCAGAGCTAGTTTTCTAAGGGCTTCAGAAAGCAACGTTAGGCAGTGGCGCCTGGCCTTGGGACCCGCGGTTGGGACCAGCAGGCCCTGCTGTTTCGTTTCGCATGCGCGCCCGGCAAAGGTGGCAGCCAGTGGAGGCCGTTGCCCGGAGGCCCGGTCCGTCCCTCAAGGCCCTGCTGTTTCGCTGTTTCGGATGCGCCGTTTGTGAGCCGCGGCGGCTGGAAGACAGCTAGATTTTCTTGTAGGGTCAGAAAGTGACGTTAGGCAGTGGAGGCCGTTGCCCGGAGGCCCGGTCCGTCCCTCAGGGCCCTGCTGTTTCGCTGTTTCGCAGCCGGCAGCTTCCAGAGCTACTTTTCTAAGGGCTTCAGAAAGCAACGTTAGGCACTGGCGCCTGGCCTTGGGACACGCGGTTGGGACCAGCAGGCCCTGCTGTTGCGCTGTTTCGCATGCGCCCGGCAAAGGTGGCAGCCGGCAGCTCTCAGAGCTATACTTTTCTAAGGGCTTCAGAAACCAACGTTAGGCAGTGGCGCCTGACCTTGGGACACGCGGTTGGGACCAGCAGGCCCTGCTGTTGCGCTGTTTCGCATGCGCCCGGCAAAGGTGGCAGCCGGCAGCTTCTAGAGCTACTTTTCAAAGGGTTTCCGAACGCGTCGTTAGGACGGGCCAGGTTCACGCGGCTTGGCCACCTGCCATTGGCTGGTTTTGCACATACGCCCACATACACACCCACACACACACCCACACACACACACACACACTAGACAAGAATGGATCATTATATGATCCGGCAGGAACTGAATCCTGAAACATGCAAACCAGCCTAGATTATTAGAAGAATAAAAGAGCCACGTTGCTGTCGGCGATATGGTTTCGGCGAAAATCTGAGGAAGGTTCTGATGCATGTAAATCTCAAAATTGATTCCAGATTGCGACAACAGTGCAGCAAACAAGACAGCGTGTTCAACAGTTCAACTTGATTTCTGCAGGTACACAGTTGGACGTCTCCAACTGCTTCCCATGACATCACTAGCTTCGTTGGCCAGCGTCGTGATGCCATGCGCTGGCCCCCTGCATTATATTTAGAATTAGAAAGGGAGAGGACAAAGGAAGAAAAAGAGAGAGAAGAAGTTTTACATCTATTCAGATGTTACACACACACACACACCCGGCCGGAGCCGGGTCAACCCTGAAAGGCAAGAGGAAGAAAAAAGCGGACACACGAAGGGCAAACGGCCAAAAACAGCGCAGGGGGGGAGGGGAACAGACGGACCTCCAGAACCAACCTACACGGCGAAACGGACCTGACAAAAACAGCGCACACACCTAAACCCCACGACACATTACGGAGAAGCACGCGGGGAGAATTAGGGACCAAATGGGGGACTAGTTGATGACAAACAAAACCAAAACAAGTAGTTAACAAACAGGACTCAGCTCCTAGACCTACTGTTCGTGCAATTGTGCCACAACAGGCCCGATGTCAAGTCGTGCCCCAATGGCATAAAACAGCTTTCAAGTTCCATCGAATTAGATGCACAAAATGTTTCACCTCACCAGACAACCATCAAAAGAAAGAATCACCACACCTGAAAGTCGTGTGCCTGCCTGGTCCATTTTCATGTAATGTTGCAAAATGTCGCTGTGAAAGTGCTGCAGAATAAGAGGTTTCTGAATGTTCGGCACAACGTCACTCCGTGGAAGAAAATTTCACCAGGATCTCAAGGGACGACAGGAGCCGCGGGACTTCACAAAGGGTGCAGAACAGAAAGGCTGACTGTTTCGCTTTACTTAGATGAATTACTAAATTAAAATGTGTTAATTCGGCAGTCAGGACAGTCATCACTCACCCTAAAAGGGTTGCCTCAAATGGCTCCATGGCACCATGTCGGAGCCACCATGGAAATCACACTAGACAAGAATGGATCATTATATGATCCGGCAGGAACTGAATCCTGAAACATGCAAACCAGCCTAGATTATTAGAAGAATAAAAGAGCCACGTTGCTGTCGGCGATATGGTTTCGGCGAAAATCTGAGGAAGGTTCTGATGCATGTAAATCTCAAAATTGATTCCAGATTGCGACAACAGTGCAGCAAACAAGACAGCGTGTTCAACAGTTCAACTTGATTTCTGCAGGTACACAGTTGGACGTCTCCAACTGCTTCCCATGACATCACTAGCTTCGTTGGCCAGCGTCGTGATGCCATGCGCTGGCCCCCTGCATTAAATTTAATTTAGAATTAGAAAGGGAGAGGACAAAGGAAGAAAAAGAGAGAGAAGAAGTTTTACATCTATTCAGATGTTACACACACACACACACGCCCACATACACACCCACACACACACACAGAGACACATACACTATATGCCACACTACTCCCCAGATCTCCCCATAAATGCCTCTCTGCGAGGCCCTCCCTGTTCAGGAGTTTATGTATATATATATATATATGGCCCCTATTCAGGGCTCTGCTCCCTGTGCAGGAGACTAATGATCCCTATCCGGTCCTCGGTCACGATGTCCTCCGCTTCTTCGCGTTCTTTTCCAGGGGTCGGCGGCAGGGGGCGTTAGCCCTTAAATGTCTTCACTGCATTCGCTATCGTGACAAAACCAGAACAAGAAACTGTCAGTGAGGTAACCACAATGCCAATGTCGGAGGGCTGCTTTTGGCACATGATCAATGTCAATAAATCATATCGCTTAAACTTGACTTTTGTATGCTGAAAGCTTAACAGCTACATCCAAACCCTCCACAAAAGCACAGTAAGAACAGGTATTTTATCCTGCAGAAAGGGAAAGTGAAACTATATGATTGGCAGGACCTTCAACCTTCGACCAATTATAGGGAATGGATCTGACGGCAAAGAGTTTAGCTCAATCTTCATAATCAAACCATTCCAAACCTATACCTATGCTCAACAAATCTCACAATGTAGAAGAAAAAGACTGCAGCTAGGCTCAACACCTGTACTTCTAACTGTGCCCTCTGAACGCTTGGCCAGGTACCGATCTTAGAGTGTGGCTCCTCTGGGTCGACACCAGCGCTCAGCAGCTGCTTTGCCAAAGTAACATTGCCGCTTTCTGCCACAGCATGTATCGGTGCTGATGTACAATAGCCCACCGGTTCTCCTCCAACTACTCAATCTGGCCATCTCATATTCACCAAAAACACCCGCAAACAAGCCAGTCCGTATTTGCTGAAAGGTCTTGCAACATGTAGCAATGTAGCTCCTGCTTCGAGACCACCAAAATCTGCGGCAAACTCGACCAACCTCAGGCTATCAGCTTCAGTGAGGCTGCTGTTATGACGATCAAGATCTGGGTTGTCATCAACTCTGCAACAGGCAAAGCGAAGCGAAACGTGTCAACAACGTGTCAACTGCTTGCAAAACTCTTGGATGTCTTTGTCAGCTTGGTAGCTTATCAGCAACTGCACGATGTCCAAATCCCAAGGCACGCTGCAATGCGGCAGCATATATTGCTCTTCGTATGGTCTTTCGCATTGAGTTCTTCTTCAACTTCTTTCCTATCACGGAAATATCGCCAAGACTTGCTGTTTTCACCTCAACTTCAGCGATGGCATACACTTGGGACCTGCAAAAACGCGTGCTTGTCATTTCACAGAATTTCACAGTCTATTGCTGTCTAAGTCACGAAAAATGGCCAATCAGCATTGCTGCTTTGTGATCCAAGGCCCCAAACAAAGGTGTCCATATTGCAAGTGGCATGATAGGAATTGTCCGGGAAATACCTCGCTTCAACATGTGTCTTTCATCCGTTTCAGAACCAAAAGAAATAATCACAATCACAATAATCGAGTTTTTGCTGCCTACACCCTTGCAGCGACTCTCACCACACAACTACAGCATACTACAACCTCGCTTCCCCTGAACACATTTCATCTAAGCCCGGCACACCAGTTCTCCTGCCTTTTGAACACAGAACTGGAACCCTTCCGGCAGATCATTGAGACTGGTTCCCAGGTTTTGACACGGGTCTCGCTGCCCAAAGGATCTTGTGCGCGTTGTTCCATCCGCAATCCACCAGGCTTTGAGTCCAGTCATCAGCAAAAGCCAAGTGCCCTCATGCTGATGCATGCTTGTTCCTGTTCCGTTGTTTCCGAGTGTGAGGATGGGAAAAGCCACATCCTTCTGGAGGATTTCTGGCATCATTTGAAATTTGGAACGCCACATGGACCGGCTCAGCTTGCCAATAAATCCATGTTCAAAGACGAGATCTTGTTGACCTGCGAGGGAAGGATGGCAAAGGTTACCTGCAACTTGCCTCTTGCAAGCAGGTTCAAAATATTCAGCATGATGCAGGATGCATGCTAATGTGGGCATTGCTTACTGGATGGAACAACAAGATGCAACAAGAAGATGCATGGAATTTGGATGAATATATATTATATGATATATATATATACACATAATATATACCATTGTTATATGTATAATATGTATATATCTATATGATATAGGCATAGATCTGTAATGACACGTGTGTCGGGCCTGTGGGATTCTGGCTGTAGTCTCGAAAGCTGCGCCATTCCTGCCCGTCTACAAGGCCGAACAATGTAAAAGGGGCAAGCTACGCAAAAGCAACATTTGATTGCATTGTCGGCAACGATCAATCAAGTTGAACTATATATTCTTTGAAGAACAAATTAGACTGCAATACAAAATGGTTTCGGAGCAGCGCCGTGAAGCCGGTTGCATCAGAGTGGCTTTGGTCAATCGGAAGAATGCGGATGCTTCGTCAATGCCAGATTCGAGCTGAACCTTCACGTTTCCAAATGCTTCAAGCAGCTCATCTCTGCTGGATGCCAGCTCTGGAACCTCCAAAAGATAAGAGCATCAGCAACATATGGCAACATCATTAATAAAGAGACATCACCAAGTCACCAACAATCAGATATTTCACGCTTTGTCCGAGGCACTATATCGAAAGAATGCACCACAAATGGCCTTCCAGGGAAGTTGCAACATGTAAGTAGATGTAAGTAGAGCAACGTCATACAGTATGATGTATGATGTGTGACAGTCGTCAATTCCCAGGGCCTTCCATTGCGCTGAAGCTGCTTAAAACGGCTGAACGACAGCCCATGGCTGTCGACGCGCTGCAAAGTGCACGATGAGTCGCCCTGCAGCAAACAAAAACAGGAAATCTGCATGGCGTCCAAAAACAGGTGGTCTTTTCTTTCAAGAGGTGTTAAACTGCTTTGGCTGTAGACTCTTTGCCAAGTCCGGGCAGAGTAGGATCCCTGGTGGAGGTGTCAACGCATTTCAAGGTCTCAACATGTTCTGGCATTCTATCTGTTCACAAGAGCGGGATATGGCCGATAGTTGCACTGATTTTCCAAGTCTGGCATGTTCTATGTTTCAGGTTGTCAGCAAAAGAACTATGTACTACTGATCAGTCTGACTACATGCACAAACACTATACATAATTTGGTATACTCACACACCAATAAAAACGAGAGGGGGCTAGAGATGGGAATAGCCGCCGTACTGAGCCTGCACGCCAACGACCAGAATGCTTAGGGTGGCTGGATTCCATGGCATGGCATCCACAAGGTGACGACATCATCTGTCGCTATGTCATTTGAAATTCATCTGTGTCCGATCTATTGCTGTTGCAATTTCTTGAATCAAAAGTCCATCCCTCGGGCCAAGCTGCGTACAAAGCTGGAACAATTGATCTTGCTATTGGATTGCTGTGAGCTGAATTCAATGACTGACAGAGATTCTTAAAAGTTCCTCCCATATAAAGAATAACAAAGACCAAAACAACTTGGAGTTCCGTGTTAATCATTGTGAAAATAGAAGGTATTATTCCACGTTAGCACCACACAATTGTGGTGTTGTTGTGGTAATCTTTCAGTAGTTAGTTTTGTAGGACCCGAGCATTCAACTTGAAATTAACGTTCTGGATATATACCGACGACGCCTAGCGTGGACCAAGATTCACTAGATTAGATCGGCTTAGATTAGACAAGAGTATATATATATAGATTAGATTATATTGTATAGATTAGATTAGATTTAGATTTAGATTTAGATTTAGATTTAGATTGGTTTCAGATTTAGATATATAGATCGATCGACCATTTCATGGATGAATAGATATGATTCCGTTTGATTCTGTTTGATTCCCTTAAACTTGGTGCCAAGAGCCTGCGGTCTCTGCTCCAAGAGCACATTGGTGCACTCTTCATCTAGCCCCCATTGGCTGACGAACCTTATAGTGCACGGGGGCCAGAGAATTTGCAGCTGCAAATGCCATAGTGGATTAGTGGATGAATGCACACGAGAAATAGTTCTGGCATGTGCAGAAGATCAAGATAACAATCTGATAACATATATGTAATATGTAACATTATGTCAGATATGTAATACATTTTCTAATATGTTCTAATCAACCACATCTGCGTCAGATTGCGGAAGAAACTTGGCCAAGTATCCAACAAGACTGCAACTGTCGAGCAAGTTCCCAATTGCAAGCGAGAAGCTGAGCAACCTCTCCCTGCAACTCTGGGGTTACCATGGCTGGAGCCTCAAAACAAGCTCACAAGAAACCATACCCACACATTATCACATTATCCACAAAGCATTTCACAAGGCAAAAGAATTATAAAGAATCGGTTGTTGTTCTACGACACAACTTCTCCAGCGAGGTGCTGGAGCTTTGCCCTTTCCTTTGGCACCATGTTGAGCTTGCTGAATGGAGCGAACGTAGCCCATCTCAGTTCAAACAGTGAACATAACTTGTAAGAGCTGGGTTTGTGGCTGGTTGCAAAGCAGGAACACAAACAACCTATCCCTACAATCTCTTCGATGTGATCACATTTGCTGGTGCAAGTAGGAAGGCTAAGGAAGATTTCCAGTGCAATCTTGTCTCAGAAGTGCACGGTGTCGCTTCAGATACATAAAGCATCGTAAATCGTAGGTTCACATGACCTGGTCCTATCCTGGCCCAAGTCGCGAAAAGGCCAGAAGCGTTCATGGTGCCAGGTTTGGGTGAGAACCCTTCCATGACAGTTGCCATCCTCAAATCGATGCAGGCTGAGACAATGCATACATCCACAAGAAAACGATACTTTTTGAAGGAACAATTGACGTTCACAACTGGGTCTGTCTCAAAATAGGGGATGCTGCAAAATGGTACAATCTTCCTGTGGAAAATGAGGATAAAGAGCAAATTATTGGAGAACCCCAACTAGAGCCGGAAAAAGGCAAATCGCATCAAATCGCAAACGCCAGCTGTTTGGTACGCCAAGCAGCATGTCAGGTGTCAGCTCCAGGAGCTTGTTGACGCATGCCTTGTCACCGCAGGGCCACAGGTGGGTTTGTGATGGGCCCAAAAAACATAAAAGAACAGGGAACATCATAATGAACCAGTGGATTTGTTATATATATATAATGTCAACATCGTATTAATAAACCCCCCCCTCCCCCCAAACATTAAGAGCATCAGAATAAAGTTAGGGCCAAACATTCAACTATCGTAAAAATCACCTATGTATTCCCAAATGAATTGCCTAATTGAAAACGAATACATAAGGGAACTTTCCAAAAAAAAAATCATCTATGTATTCCCAAATGAATTGCCTAATTAAAAACGAATACATAAGGGAACTTTCCCCCCAAAAAAAAACACGTATGTATTCCCAAATGAATTGCCTAATTGAAAACGATTACATAAAAGGAACTTTCCCAAAAAAAATAAAAATCATCTATGTATTCCCAAATGAATTGCCTAATTGAAAACGAATACATACAGTGAACTTTCTTGGAACTTTAGTATTCACAAATGAATTGCCTAATTGAAAACGAATACATAAAGTGAACTTTCTTGGAACTTTAGTATTCACAAATGAATTGCCTAATTGAAAACGAATGCATAAAGTGAACTTTCTTGGAACTTTAGTATTCACAAATGAATTGCCTAATTGAAAACGCATACATAAAGTGAACTTTCTTGAAAGGGTTTAGTAAGTAAAGGGTTTAGTAAGGAAATCGACCATTTGAGCCTTGTTGATTTTTTTGCACTCCAGAACTTTTCAGGCAAGATTTGGAGTTTGGAGTTTACTGCTTCCAGCTCAAAGAGTCTTGAGGGCTTCAGAAAGGGTTTGAGAAAGGGTTCAACTAGGAAAGGAATTGAGAAACAAATTTAATTAACCACCAAAATTTTAGAACCCTGAAATCCAAATACTTTATTTAGGGGTGTGCAAACATACATTATTATTTTGATGTCAGGGGACTTCAAGGCTACCCCCTTTGCGCGATTGTTTTTTGGCATTTTTTGAAAGGGTTTAGTAAGGAAATCGACCATTTGAGACTTGTTGATTTTTTTGCACTCCAGAACTTTTCAGGCAAGATTTGGAGTTTGGAGTTTATTGCTTCCAGCTCAAAGAGTCTTGAGGGCTTCAGAAAGGGTTTGAGAAAGGGTTCAACTAGGAAAGGAATTGAGAAACAAATTTAATTAACCACCAAAATTTTAGAACCCTGAAATCCAAACACTTTATTTAGGGGTGTGCAAACATACATTATTATTTTGATGTCAGGGGACTTCAAGGCTACCCCCTTTGCGCGATTGTTTTTTGGCATTTGTTGAAAGGGTTTAGTAAGGAAATCGACCATTTGAGCCTTGCTGATTTTTTTGCACTCCAGAACTTTCCAAAAAAAACAAATCACCTATGTATTCCCAAATGAATTGCCTAATTGAAAACGAATACATAAGGGAACTTTCCCTCCAAAAAATAAAATCACCTATGTATTCCCAAATGTATTGCCTAATTGAAAACGAATACATAAGGGAACTTTCCCTCAAAAAAAAAATAACCTATGTATTCCCAAATGAATTGCCTAATTGAAAACGAATACATAAAGGAACTTTCCCTCCCAAAAAAAAAACACCTATGTATTCCCAAATGAATTGCCTAATTGAAAACGAATACTAATTAAAGGGTAAAAACGGAAAAAAACGGGAAAAAAAAGTTGGCGTACTTTATTGCGGGGGGGTTTTATTATTGTGAACCGGGAGTTGGCGTACTTTATTGCGGGGGGGTTTATTAACGCCATGTGAACATTATATATATATGTATGTAATGTAATGTAATGTAATGTAATATAATGTATTGTATTGTAATGTAATGTAATGTAATGGTATGGTATGGTTACGGTCATGGTTATGATTGTGGTTATGGTTATGGTTATGATTGTGATTATGTTTATGGTATGTTATGGTATGGTATGGTATGCATGCATGTACATACTTGATCATACTTGCATCTATCTTGTTTTTGGACAAACCCATAGCACAGGAAAGAAAAACATTTCAGACATCTGCGTGGTGGTGGTACGGCTAGAAGTCTTATCTGGAAAAGGATGGCCGGGATTGGTCACAAAGCGTCACAAAGGCAGGCCTTATCATTCGGAGAGCACTACTATAGGATACTACGTATATAGGTAGGTGTCTGGTTCAATATTATGCTTTCATCAATCTACCCGATGCAATCGGTTGCATTCCATGTATTTAATCTGCTTTCCAGTAGTTCTTCTTCCAACACTAAAACTCACGCCCAAAAATAGGCTCATTGCCATGATAACAGCCAAAAAAACATGTGAACACAAAATTGGATACGCACCTACCCCAGCAACGCCATAATATCAAACGGTGCTAGACCCTTCCTCAAATGCATCCATGATGCTTCGTCCAAGCCTTTTTGCTGAGCCCATGTTTGGCAAACGGACTCCATGGCCGCCTCAGAAAGAATTTGGACATAATTCCTATGGTACGACCTCTCGTCACCATGCCATGACTGGCTCCTCTGATTTGGCAATGCTCAAAATGCCCCTTAGACATCCTTAGACTAGAATACTAGAAGACACTAGAAGATACTAGAAGTCTACGATTTCATGACAATCGCACCTTCACCAGTCTCAGCTGGCTCAGCTGGCTCAGCTGGCTGAGCTGCAGACTGACTCATGCAAAACAGCCATCTGTGGCCCATGCTGTCTAAAACACTCAGGTAGTATCTGATGATGTTCCATGAATACTCTTGGTGGGAGGTGAGAGGTACTATTAGGGCATATTTACATATATTTGCGAGTAGTTTTTAATGAATGTAATTAATTCGTGCAGGCTGACAGGTACTTGTGGTACTTGCGGCTGCAAGTGTCTGAAGGTCGAAGAAGTGCAGTTGAAGTGTGGGGTGGAGATCACTAGTTATGTCTGGTTAGATGTTGCTTGTTGGTCACACTTCTCTATACCCTATACCATCAAATGTCATAGAAGTTATAGTATTCAGGAGACGTTTTCAGATCTGCTGCAAATTAGCTCTTGCCGTCAGATTTGCCGATGTTTCTATCTACCCTTGATATCCCCTTAATGGAGGGTATAGACCAGCAGCCAAAAAGCTGCAGCACTACAGTGTTTGGCAACAACTTTGGGAGGTCTCGGGAATGACATTGTGAGTGTGTCTGTCGCTTTCCAAATGCTCGCTCTTTCTAGTGCGTAGCTGAAATGACATGGAAGGATCAAGGCTTCATTTCATATCATACACATTCATACACACGATCACCAAGCAAAAGGACCATGTAAGACATAAAGTATTATAAAGGCACAAGTATCTGGGTATGGCAGTCAATGTTCAACCACTATCAGGATTATCAGGCATCTATAGACATTCCACAGGTGTGGCTCCTTTGCAGATCCTAGTTGACTTGCTGTTTTCTCATGTTTTCTCAAGCAGTCACTACATAGCAACAAACACCTATACCGCCTTTACCAATGATGACCAATCCACTCAACTCCCGAATCACCTCCAAGCATCCTCCGTATCGTGCCAATGTGAGGCACCAAATCAACCTGAAATCACATGCGCTCCAAAGCAAGATTCGGAAGAGTCTCCATGTGGCCAAGCTTCAACATCCGGAGACATCAAAGGAATGTGTTTGATGACAGATTAAACGATTGAACCAGCCCTTCCCTAGCAAGAAGTAGGAAAGCTGTCAAGTCAGAGTAGCAAGCATGAAACAGCTTCAGATGCTGGGAAGTAGACTTGCAATGTTGTACCATGACTCATCATTGCTGTCAGAAAAACTCAGGATCTTGTTTGACGCACGAAATGGAAATCAATATGTCAATGCAGCCTGCAGTGCATGCCACTATGATGCCACTATGTTATGTGTCACAGAGATCCACAGAGTGCTTCTAATGAAACATTTGACCATCGGTCATGGCAAGCGTCCAGACACTTCTGCAACGATCCTCTGTACCTTCTTTGGATACAGGAGGGTGTAGAAGCAAACAATTAACGAAATACAACCAATAATGAAATATTGCTCGGTCAAACAGTGCCCTGAAAGACCCTTTGAAGTATCAGTGGCATCTGTTCCGCATATTCATTGTGAGTAGTGATGAATGAGTCCATTGGCACATTCTCCACGTCTGGTGCCCGCAAAGGGCTGCATCCAGCCATGGGTGCTCCACCCCGACGGAACTGATAGGACATGAGGAAGGAGTCTTGTGCGAAGAAGCCATTGATAAAACGGCCACTGACCAGCTGGCGAAGCTTTGACCAATCCTCATTCAAAGCCAAAGCCGGTGTGCCTAGCATCACTGCATCACAAACGATGTCCCGAGCCACCGGATTGCCATCTGTCACCATTTCTTGGAGCTCCCTGAGACAGCTCTGAACCACCACCCCACCAGTGGAATATCCCATGAGACTTACAGTAAATGGTGCTTGCCTCCGCGCATTGCTATGTGCTTCCACCAGCTGTCGGGCCAACAGCTTTCCAACCTGCTGAGCTCGGGCGCTGGCTCGGTCAATCAAGTCACCAAGCTCGTCCAACAGCGTGGAGATCAGCCCTTGCGAGAAGGAAATGAGATTTGTGCAGGAGAGCAAGAAACGGGCCACGGATTCACTTCGCTTCAGATCACGGGCCAAGAGATCACTGAGTTGCAAACCCAATGAATACAAGACGGCTGTTTCGAAACGAAGGAAGTAGACCTGGCCTGAAGTCCAAGGTTTATCTGGGTCCACCACCCATGGTTGGCAGACGTCTGCCAAGGAACGCAAAAAACCTGATATGCAAACTACTTTGTGAGGAGACAAGGAAGGACCTATCGCCTCAAGCCGAAGCTCTTGCATTTTCAATACTCGGCGGCGCATGTTTGTGAAAGCCGTCTTGCCATCCATGAATCCTGCGATCAAGAATATGCCTTTGAACCACGCAGGGGACTCTGCAACCCACTCCATAAAGCTATCCAAATATGAATCCTGCATCAGCCAACAAGAAGCCCTCATAATTGCCATGTGTTGATTATCCTTGTGGCAAAACACCCGAGTGTCCAGAGTGTGCACAATTTCTGCTGTCTCAACAACTGAGAAGGCCATCAAAGCTCCACATATTCCACCGATGCACAAAGAGCCTGGTACAATGTATGGGTATTGTCCAGGCAAGGTATCCTTCTCCAATTCTTTCATTTCGGCATCCAACAAACGGTTGCCGTCGATGTCCGGCAAAAAGTTGGCATATACAGCTGCTCGGCCTAAGCGGAGCTGGTCTTGCTGCTCCACCCCTGGAGTGAACTCAGTATCAGCTAGTTCTCGGATTTCTGCTTGATCTGTTCCTAGTTGCAGAGTCAAAGGGTCTGACACCTGTAACTCCCCCATGGCCACCAAATACCGTTCGAGGAGCTCCAGAAAGATTGTGGCTCCTGGTTCGATTGCTTCTGCTGCCCTTTGTAAAGACGAGCGCAGTAGGGCTCCATAGCATGGCCTGAGGAGGCAAAGCAAAGTGCCCAAAGGTAGCAAATGTTCCATTTGCTGGGTGCTGCGACAAGACTGCCGATATCGATCCGCAGCCTCCTCCACCGTTTTGTATCCCACTGCCCGGCGAGCACACGTAAGAAGATCCAGTTGTAGCTCAGTCACCGTCCCAGTCGCTGTCCCAGTCTCCAAAAGCACTTCACAAATCTCCTGGACAATGTCTTCCAGGCGGTTTGCATAGACTGCCACCACGCGCTCTTCATGCCCGACAACGCGACGAGCTGCTACCACGGCACATGTACAGCAAAGGATTGCCAAGTTTTCCTTGGTGCGTCGCAAGTGCGGCAAAATAAACAGAAAGTTGTTCAGAAACCACCTTGTTTTTGCTCCTACATGAATCTGAGGAAGAAATATAAAGGAATATCAGTCCTTGGAAAATGTCAGGATGTGAATGTGTATGTGTATATATATATACATATCCATATTCTTCCATCATATTCTATCTACTAGTCTACCAGTAGTATCTTCCAGAAGTATGGCTTCCATGGTGACAAGTGGACTGGTGATGACTGATGTAGGTTTTGTGTCCTACAAGAAGGAGACGGATGACTGATGGTAATGATGTTTTCTGAGGATGTGCTTTGGGTGTCTCTAAAATTGAAGTACACAAAAACATGACATGTTGATGGGAAACATGTTGATAATAATTATGATAATAATATGATAATTCTGTGGAACTAGGATGAACGTGGATGAAATAGAAGTACCTCGTTTTCAGACAAACCACTTCGTTTTCTACTGATTGTTTGTAAATGACGATGTGCGTGCCCCTCACACAGAAATCTACCAGCTCTCGTACGCTGGATGTGTATCCGCTGATTGTTGATTAATCTATCAGCAAACTTCTAAGTCCACCAATATGGTATCACATGCCAAAAGGCCTTAAATCTACAAAATATGTCGTTGTGTTTAGACTTTGAGCTTGCTCAAAGTGATTGTTCTTTGCTGACGAGTGAGGCGTGAAAGAAATTCTTCAGGATTTTCCACATGGTATTGACTTTCAATGTAGTTGCGCCCAACTTTCACATCTTTCACATGGTGTCTGATGCAGACCAGCCACTCGTTGTTCTGCAAAAAGATCCTCTAAGACTGGAAGACCAGAGGGCCTTGTGTCACGACCAATCTCTGCCAGAAACTGCAAGCTTCTACGCTGCAATTCCTCCGCCTTTTTGGTTTGTGCCAGTGACTGCCGGAAAGTGTTCTCCAGCGCAGTTGGGCACGCAATTGGCTCTTCCATGAATTCAATTTCTAGCTCAATTTCTCCTCCAATTTTGGAACCGGCGGTGCTGCCAGTGCCACCATCATCAACCGAAGTTGCAGTAGTCAACGTGCCAGAAGGACGGAGGCTCGCAAGCGAAGGAGCAAGATTCACATGCATACGGACCTTAGGTTGTTTGCCATCTTCATCTAGCAGCCTACCATCCTGTGTGAACGCACGTCGAAAAGCTTCGTTGAGCTGCACAGCCCCAGTTGCAACCAAATTATCAGGATAGTACATGAACAAATCGTCATACACCATGAGCTCTAGAAGATCTTGCTGCTGGTACCAGAATGTGAATTGAACATTGCTGTAGGTGACCTGCAAACCGTTCTCAATCCGCATATGATAGCCATGCTGTGGATCCGTTGTTCGCCTCTCCTCGAGAGTGGGTACAGACCTGTACTTGTCAAGCTTTCCACGGAGAAGATCTCCGCAATCAAAGTTGCTATTTGGAAGGCCATTGAACACAAACTTGTTCCTGTCGTTCTGGCCAGCAGTCAAAAATGCGGCTTTGGTTCGGGCCGTCTGCTGACCGCAGGCAGCCACGACATAGGCACAAATCTTGTTGCTACCTTGGTTCTGTTGGCGTGTCCCATGCATACATCCGAGAGTTCACATGCGATTTAAACATGTGGAACATGTGGAAATATTAAAACATATTTTAAAGCAGTAGCAAAATGGGCTGACGGAAATTGCAAACAGCAAGGGACCCATAAAATCAAGAATGGTATGATAAACACAGATGAATAAGGTACCTTTGTCGATGGCCAAATTCTCTTCCATGCGCAAACTCCGTAAGGTCACTCTCACCTGTGATGTTTTCATGCGAAGTCTCTCCGCACTTTGCTCCTGCGCTGGTGGTATTTCAAGGTCCCCTTCACGGGTGACCCGTACGAAGAGCTCTGAACGTTCATCTCCTTCGCCAGTTGCCTCCCTCAAAGGTAGGGCACGATTGAAGCCAGAACTTGCTGAGAGCACATCCCGCAGTGGTAAAACGCAACTTCCCATGAGCTGCCCTTCACAAATGACCTGGAAAACCAAGTGTGACTCATGACCTGTGAAAGGCAGCTCGACACGCCAGTCAAAGATGGGATGGGGTCCAAATGCTTCACCCAAAGGTGAACGTTGCTCATGATTGCCCAAGGCAACCACCGCTTGTGGTGGAAGCCAATGAATTCCTGGCAATCGGAGATTTGTCGCCCTGATAACAGTCACTAAGAGTTTACCTTGCGAGTTTTGCTGCGTTTGCTGCAACCTGGGGTAAAGGCGCTGTTGCAGCTGCAGCCACGACATAGCAACAAATGTTCATCCGTGCATCTGTGATGGGCAAACACTATGAACAGACATTTGTTGACAATTCTTGGTGTGACCAGAAAACACCAGTTAATACAGTATTAATACCAGTTACAATCTGAAGCTGTAAATCTCATTTAGGATTTCTATAAACCAACGGCTGCGGTGACCTGGACGGAGTGCCACTCCTCTGCGTTTTTCCAAAGACAAAGTTGGCATTAAGTGACTCAATGGTTGAAATCACCTACCATCACCATTAAATCACCATTAAATCACCATTGAATCATCCGTCCAAGCCATCCACTCCTCTTCAAGCTCCTGGCGCAAGGCCTCCAAGTCCTCCGGGGTTCAAACTCCAACAATACGTTCATCATTGATCCAAGATATGCAGAAATTGCCGTAATCCAAACGTACTTCTACATCATGGTGGGCCCCAAACTTATTTCTATCATGTTCTAGCTATGGCAGTCCTTGCAGTTCCTCTCTGTAGAGCACCTCATTGTCCAAATCTTCATGATGCAACATCAATGTCTACCTTGCAGAATGCACAGATCCACATTCCACTGTGCAGGTTTTAACATCAAGATCTTTTGAGGATCCGACCCCCTCAAGACCTGCTAGCCGCCAAGTTGCTGTCTTCAAGATCTCTTCACCATCACCTGCATCTTCTGACGATCTGACAATCCAATTTCTCATGGGTTGTCTCCAGTACTAGTAGAGCCTTTGCTATGAAGCGGAGGATCTCGCATGGAGCATCGAGGATGTCAAAGAGCGATCGCACGGCATGCATTTCAAATCATTTCAATCTGCATGGAGACCTGGATTCCAAAAGTGTGGATTTGGCCCCAGCACCTCAACATGGGAACTCCACAGGTGATGCCTGACGGTACTTATTGCACAACTTTCCCATCCAAAATGTCGATAAATGTCGATAATAAATGAAAATTATCACAGCTTCCTCAGCTTATCTGCATTGCTGCTGCTAGGCACACTTTCTGCTGACGAATTCTGATCTTGCTCGGAAGCGCCTCTCCCAGCACAAAGTCCTTTCCAAGCGCTACACTTCGAGACCCGTTGATGTAGATATTATACATATATATATATATATATATATGGTATTTTTATATGTGTATGATACATATATATATAATATATATATGCATATATTAATTGTATATACATATACAGTAATATAAATCATGAGGATATATGATAAGTTTGTGATAGTATTATCTGCAAAACAGCTGGTAAACTTCGAGCAAAGCTGGGGCACTGCAAGCTTCTAGCTTCATCGCAAAACCTCGCACTACCAACGCGCTCCGTCCCTCAATCTTCACCTTTTCCTCTTCCATGAAACACGAGAACAGCAGACCGTCAAGAAGCCATACCTCCAGGTCTATGTGGCGAGTTGTTGTCCTTCAAAGCCTAGCCAGAGCGCATGCTCCTAGCTTTCCTTGGAAGAACTGCTGAAACAGGCACAAGCTGTATACTTCTGAGACGGGCAGCCACCATGACCTAGGTGCACTACCAAGACATCGGGAGACAAATCAATATACTGTACTGATGAAATTATGATTTATGATGTCGCCCTCTTTCACATTACTCTGCATAGATAATGATAATAATGATGTTAAACAAATTTAACAATCATGTTTGCTTATCGTTCTTTCCCATCTAGTAGCTAACAGCTTGAGCAAATGCCGCAGGTGGGCAAAATCGATGTCCGGCACACTCCCCTCGTGCTCCGGTCATATGGAGCTACGTCTCAACATGCTCAAATATTGTCAGCCAAGCAATTTTCTTAAGATGTTTCTTTCGAGAAATAGTCCACCAATCGGCGTGTTTTGATTGCCTGCCATGATGAGACGTAGCAATGTCCGCATGCCTTTTCTGCATTGAGTCATGTTGACTCGAGATAGTCAGACATGTCGGCCTGTAAAAAAAAGGTGCAGGATTCTCCCGTGCTCTACCAAGTCATTGTCATCACTTGTGGGTCATATTCCAGTGCGCTGCCGCGAAGGTACCTGTTCTGTGAAATGCTTCAACACTCCGGAGTTGTGCTCGCCTGAGGTGCCCCTGCTAGTTAGAAGTGGGGTATAACTCCGTTCAGTCCCAGCGACCCCATTTATACATAGTTCTGCTGTAATTCCTGGTAATTCTGTGTATAATTCAAATCAGAATACCCCCATCCAAGTCCAAAATCATCCAAAATCTCTACTGGTGACTGGCCAGGGTCGATCATTGCATCTCAGTGCAGACAACTGGCCTGTCTCCATGGAGGCATAGAAGCTGAGCTCGCCCGACAGCACGACACCTGGAAGGCGGAAATGCGCAACGGGTCAAGATGGGTCAAGTGTTCAGCATGACTCCTTGAATTTGGGATGGCCTGCGCAAATTTCTGCGAGCTCGTTGGCACTGGTTGCACCCATGATGGAGCGGGCAGCCTCTCAGCTTTGGATAGCTTTGGTATATTTTGGTATGCTTGGGTCACATATACAGAGTTCTGGCAGTGCGGATCTGTGAATTTCATCAGAACATCAAGTGCCTGGAAAGATGGCAGCGAGGTGCCACCGCCAATGCTGGCGATCTCAGATGACAGAGGCTAGCATAATGCAAAAAAAAATGCAGTTCTCATTGTTTTGTTCTGCCGTATTTGAAGGACATCTGGATTCTTCAGTCGTCATTCGTGTGCAGTATTACAAGCTCCATTCTGTTTCCACACCAGGGTGGAAGATGTGCAGTCTGAGACTCAAGCAATGATGGAATTCAAAGTAATGCTGGCATACAAATCCTGGTCGAAGAGACCTGTGGAGCCTGGAATCATCGCCAGGATTTTCTTGTGGTACAAGGTAGTACAAGGACAAGTGTCAGTAATAATTATGGGAAAATATGGCAATGCTAAATCAATTCTCTACCAAGTCATCAGCCTATCACATTACCATGCATCTCTTGAAGCTGGTTGGTCGAAAATGAAAATATGGGACATCTCCAGTGTCTTTTGAAGTCTTGAAATGTCTTGGAGAGTCTTGCAATTTGCTCGGCCTCCAGATGGATTTACCAGGTCAAAGTGGGTTACTGCTGCTTGCGACTCTGCCTCGGAGACTCGAAAATAAGAAGTGCTTCCGACTTCGATTCAAGGCCCAACAAGGCTCAAGGATCAAGGCTCAGCCCGAGCCCCCTGGCAGTGCAGGCGGGATCATTTCCTGTGGCAATGTAGAAGGCTGCCAGACCATTGGCCGCATGGGCTGTGCCTTAAACCATCACATGTGTACAATCTTGTACATTTGACAGAGTATATGGAAAAAGCTGGAGAAAGCATCGCTTCACAAGAAAGCAGCGAAGGTAAGTTTTTCTCTCTTCAAGCAGGTTTGGCCAGATTGGTCCCAAGTTGCAGCTGATTCCGCCCATGAACTCGTTCGTTCGGCTGTGCATCTTCTGAAAGCGCTGCAGCCTGATCTCAATATGTCAACGAGTCAACAAGCACTTTACTGCACTTCCACATTTTCCGCTCGATGCCCATTACTGCTAAGCAAATTTTGTGCGAATGGTAGTGGGCATGCCTGTATGGCGTGGTGCGCAGAATCGACTGGCATACTTCCTGCCAGTGGCAGAAGGTCTGCAAGCACAATTGACATTCACAACACATCACTTGCCTTGATCTGACCTTCCAGGTTTCCACTGCGTAAATATGCCTCAATCATCTAAATCGTTTAAGTTTTAAAAATTACACCGGCATAGACCCCAGATAGAAAAGGTTGGAACTGATGGTTCCCAACGTGGGAGCCGAAGGTTACCATGGCAAGGAACTGCCGGTTCCCAGACCTTGAAACTTACGGTTCCCAACCTGGGAACCAGAGGGTACCATTGCAAGGAATTGCCGGTTCCCAGAAGTTAGAATTTATGTGCTCGTAGCTAAGCAACTATCATTGCAAGGAACTGCGGATTCCCAAAGTTTGAAACTCATGGTTCCAAACCTGAAAAAACATACGTTATCAGTGGAAGGATCTGTTGATTCCAAAAAGATAAAAATCATGGTTTAATGTTGTTTTGTTTTGTTTACTGAGCCGGTAACAGAACCTTTTGTTTTGCTTAATGGGCCGGTAGCGGAATGTTTGCGTTCGGCTGCTGGACCGGCATAAAGATGTTTTTGCACGAAAAAGGTGCATGTTAAAATGATATGAAAACATTTTCTTTACAACTTTATGGTTTTGCTTAATGGGCCGGTAAAGAACGCTTTGTTTTGCTTAATGGACCGGTACCGGAATGTTTGGGTTTGGTTCATGGCAAGGAACTGCCGGTACCCAAAGGTTGGAACTCACTGTTGCCAACGTGGGAACCACAGGTTACCATTGCAAGGAACTGCCGGTTCCCAGAGCTTGGAACTCCTGGTTCCCAACCTGGGAACCAGAGGTTACCATTGCAAGCAACTGCCGGTTACCAGAGGTTGGAACTCATGCTTCCCAACCTGGGAACCATAGGTTACCATTGCAAAGAACTTCCGGTTCCTAAAGGTTGGAACTCATGGTTCCCAACGTGGGAACCAAAGGATACCATGGCAAGGAACTGCCGGTTCCCAGACCTTGAAACTTACGGTTCCCAACCTGGGAACCAGAGGGTACCATTGCAAGGAATTGCCGGTTCCCAGAAGTTAGAATTTATGTTTTCGAAGCTAAGCGGCTATCATTGTAAGGAACTGCTGGTTCCCAAAGCTTGAAACTCATGGTTCCAAGCCTGAAAAAGTAACGTTACCAGTGGAAGGATCTGTTGATTGCAAAAAGTTAGACCTCATGGTTCTTAATGTTGTTTTGTTTTGTTTACTGAGCCGGTAACAGAACCTTTTGTTTTGCTTAATGGACCGGTAGCGGAATGTTTGCGTTTGGCTGTTGGGCCGGCAAAAAAATGTGTTTGCACGAAAAAGGTGCATGTCAAAATGATATGAAAACAGTTTCTTTACAATTTTATGGTTTTGCTTAATGGACCGGTAAAGAACGCTTTGTTTTGCTTAATGGACCGGTACCGGAATGTTTGCGTTTGGTTCATGGCAAGGAACTGCCGGTTCCCAAAGGTTGGAACTCACTGTTGCCAACGTGGGAACCACAGGTTACCATTGCAAGGAACTGCCGGTTCCCAGAGTTGGAACTCCTGGTTCCCAACCTGGGAACCATGGGTTACCATTGCAAGCAACTGCCGGTTACCAGAGGTTGGAACTCATGCTTCCCAACCTGGGAACCATAGGTTACCATTGCAAAGAACTTCCAGTTCCTAAAGGTTGGAACTGATGGTTCCCAACGTGGGAACCAAAGGTTACCATGGCAAGGAACTGCCGGTTCCCAGACCTTGAAACTTACGGTTCCCAACCTGGGAACCAGAGGTTACCATTGCAAGGAATTGCCGGTTCCCAGAAGTTAGAATTTATGTTTTCGAGCTAAGCGGCTTTCATTGTAAGGAACTGCGGGTTTCCAAAGCTTGAAACTCATGGTTCCAAGCCTGAAAAAGTAACGTTACCAGTGGAAGGATCTGTTGATTGCAAAAAGTTAGAACTCATGGTTCTTAATGTTGTTTTGTTTTGTTTGCTGAGCCGGTAACAGAACCTTTTGTTTTGCAAAATGGACCGGTAGCGGAATCTTTGCGTTTGGCTGTTGGGCCGGCATAAAAATGTTTTTGCACGAAAAACGTGCATTTTAAAATGATATGAAAGCATGTTCTTTACAACTTTATGGTTTTGCTTAATGGGCTGGTAAAGAACGCTTTGTTTTGCTTAATGGACCGGTACCAGAATGTTTGCGTTTGGTTCATGGCAAGGAACTGCCGGTTCCCAAAGGTTGGAACTCACTGTTGCCAACGTGGGAACCACAGGTTACCATTGCAAGGAACTGCCGGTTCCCAGAGGTTGGAACTCCTGGTTCCCAACCTGGGAACCATGGGTTACCATTGCAAGCAACTGCCGGTTCCCAGAGGTTGGAACTCATGCTTCCCAACCTGGGAACCATAGGTTAACATGGCAAAGAACTTCCAGTTCCTATAAAGGTTGGAACTGATGTTTGCCAACGTGGGAACCAAAGCACAGCACGCTGCACAGCACCCTGCACAGCACCCTGCACAGCACCCTGCACAGCACCTTTCACAGAACCCTTCACACCACCCTGCACAGCACCTTTGCGAGACTTCGCCACCACAGTCTGGATAGCCGCGTGCACAGCACCCTTCACAGCACCTTTGCCAGACTTCGCCACCGCAGTCTGGACAGCACCCTGCACAGCACCCTTCCCAGCAATTTTGCCAGACTTCGCCGCCGCAGTCTGGACAGCACCCTGCACAGCACTCTGCACAGCACCCTGCACAGCACCTTTGCCAGACTTCGCCACTGCACTCTAAACAGCACCCTGCACAGCACCCTGCACAGCACCCTGCACAGCACCTTTGCCAGACTTCGCCACCGCAGTCTGGACAACATCCTGCACAGCACCTGCAGCATGCACTCCTGCACAGTCACCCGGCGCAGCAACCTGCCAACGGCACCCTGCACGAACCCTGCACAGCACCCTGCACACCACCACTGCACAGCACCTTTGCCACGACTTCATGTCTGGACAGCAACCCCCTGCAACAGCACCCTTCACAGCACCTTTGCCAGACTTCGCCACCGCAGTCTGGACAGCACCCTGCACAGCACCCTGCACAGCACCCTGCAACACGGCACCTTTGCCAGACCTTTTCTCCGACCGCCATTCTGAACACACCCTACAGCACGTGTACAGCAACATTAGCACCCTTCACAGCACCTTTGCCAGACTTCGCCACCGCAGTCTGGACAGCACCCTGCACAGCACCCTGCACAGCACCCTGCACAGCCCTGCACAGCACCCTGCATAGCACCTTTGCCAAACTTCGCCACCGCAGTTTGGACAGCCCTGCACAACACCCTGCACAGCACCCTGCACAGCACCCTGCACGCAACCCTGCCAGCACCCTTGCGCAGAACTCTTTCGCCACCGCTACTCGGACAACAGCCCTGCACAGCACCCCTGCACAGCACCCTGTGCAGCACCTTTGCCAGACTTGGCCACCGCAGTCTGGACAGCACCCTCCACAGCACCCTGCGCAGCACCCTGCCCAGCACCCTGCACAGCACCCTGCACAGCACCCTGCACAGCACCCTGCACAGCACCCTGCACAGCACCCTGCACAGCACCTTTTCCAGACTTCGCCACCGCAGTCTGGACAGCACCCTGCACACAACCCTTCCCCTCAATTG